TCAAGTGAGCTTTTCTGATCACATTTTGCCCGTTGTCCATCTGTCTGTCCATTCATCTGTAAACTTTTCACATTTTCGACTTCTTCTCCAGAACCATTGAGCCTTTTTCAACCAAACTTGCCACAAAGAAAGCATCCTTGGGTGAAGGGGATTCAAGTTTCTTCAAATGAAGTGCCACACCCTCTTTTGAGGAGAAATAATTAAGAAGTAGTGAAAATTTGGTGGCATCAATTAAAAATCTTCTTCTCAAAAACCACTGGGCCAAAAAAGTTTAAACTTATTTGAAACCTTCTTTACATAGTGTAGATTCAGGTTTGTTCAAATCATGACCCCAAGGGTCAGATGGGGTCACAATGGGGGATCAAAGTTTTATATAGGAATATATAAGGAAAAATTCTTTAAAAATCTTCTCAAGAATAGCAAAGCCATGATTAGTCATATTGATATGGAAGTATCCTCAGGTAGTGAAGATTCAAATTTATTTAAATCATGACCCTCAGGGTAGAGTGGGCCACAATGGGGGATCAAAGTTTAACATAGGTATATAACAGAAAAAATCTGCTGATGAAAAACAGTAGGGCCATAATGATTCAGGTGAGCATTGTGGCCTATGGGCCTCTTGTCAGTTTTAATTTTGTGATGAATGCAATTTGCCCATATGTATTTATATCTGCTAAAAAAAATCTATTACTTAAACCTTGCCCATTACTTTGAAACCACATGTGATGGAGAATTTATATTTGATGAAGGTCAAAGCTGATACCATATCAAGGTCAGACTTTGTGATTGAAGGTCAGACAAATCTTTACCAGCCCTTGGAACTAGCCGGAGTAGAGGACCATTGTTTGTTTATCTAAAGTAGATTCTCTTGCCATCTGTTTCATATGGTTGCATAAACAATATAAGTATTATGAATTAAAAACTATATAGTTTGTAAATACAGTAAGGTAATCTATTTGGACAGGTAGAAATAAAATAAATATTGGAAAACTTCCTTAATATCAATTTTCATTCAATTTGGCATGTTTCATATTTTGAGACATTTTGACCTTTGGATATACAAAATATGTAATGTATTACTATATAGTCATAGTGATACGATACTTCCATATGCACTCTACAAAGTATTAGTATATATTTCAAAGTTAATCTACATATAAACACCAGCATTGCACAATAATTTAATTGCTTTAGATAATTATATATGGCAAAGTATTGAGTTCTACCATATTAGAGTACTGGAGATGATAATGATTTTTCTGGTATACATCAGAAGCTGCATGAGTTAGTAATCTCTGTAATCTTGCTGTACAATTATTTTTACATATAATTTCAGTAATTATGCTGTGATTGGAAATCTTTATCCTCATTAATTCTATTTAATTGACAGAGCTGTAGATCATTTTGGTGTAATATCCATTAACACAGCCAATATCCATGCTTTAATCAAGGCAGAAAGATCAATTAATGTATTTGTAGATCATCCTTTTTTTTTACCAGGGGAAATTTTACCAGTTAACTACAGAACATTTCAAATCCTGGCCTTTTAATTACATCAGAGAATGTAATAGGTTTCTTGGTACAATACCATGGTATCTGGTGTCACAGAAACATACAGTATGGAATGGAGATTTAGATTTCTGTCAATTAATTACTGACTTGTTCAGTCTTAAATCTATAGATAGCTCTTATAAATAAAATCTGCACATGCATTATTTGATATTTTGAATATTTAATAGATAAAATTAAAACACATTTCATTTTGTTGTTCATTGTTATGCCCCTCTTCGAAGAAGGGAGGGCATATTGCTTTGTTGCTGTCTGTCGGTCGGTCTGTCGGTCCACCAACAGTTTCCGTTCATTTTCTTCGCAGAGGCATGTACTGAAATGAAATTTGGTATACAGATTTATCATAAGAATATCTAGGTCAAGTTTTGTTTTGGGTATGATTAAACAATTTTTGACAGAGTTATGCCTCTTGGACTTAGAAAAATTCCAATTATTGGGGGGGGGGGGGGGGGGAGCATAAGTGTTTTACAAACATCTCTTGTTTTTGTTTTCTTTTTCTTTTGTATTTTGTTTGTTGTTTGTTTTACTTAATGATAAAAAAGAAGAGTCAAGTTGTTATATAAAGTTCTGCAAAAGACATTGTTATGATGATCAGTACCTGGTATTTATCCTAGACAACACGCAGTGCTGCAAGATGTTCTATAAACAATGAAAAATGATGATTATCTGCTTTTCACAAGCTAAGCCTTTTTTATTGATATTAATGGGATAAGTGGACCTCCTTGCTAATCCCTCTTATGATCTGTTTTGGCATGTTTAAACTTTGTTTCTTAGATCTTTTAAGGCTGACCTTGGCAACAACAGAATTTCCTTTCTAGGGAATTTTAGCATCATTTGTAGGTAAGGAAAAATTCCCATCAATTTTGGAATCTACATTATGTGGAAGATGTTTATTAAGCTGATAAATCTCTAGTTTTTTTACATTCAGGAATTATTAGGTACATTGATAGCCAATAGAAAAAGAAATGTTTAGATTTAAAGTTGGTTGAGTGAAAGAAATTTGCTATTTACATGTATATGTGCACATTCACAAATAAATGGGTAGAATTGATGGGCAATGAAAAAAATCATTGGTAGAGTCTTTGGAATTTTGTCATTTTCTACAATATTTTCAATGATATTTAATTAGCAAAAGAAATATTCTTTAGTTATTTCAAACTGACATTTTTGTGACAAATCTGTCTTTTTATTCTGTTCACAGGGAATAAACATACTGTAACTGTCAATTAAGCCAACAGATTATTTAACTGTGTTCTTTTTGAAAATCTCTTAACATGGCTGTCACAGAAATATTTCAAAGATCATTGCATTTTAACCAATCTAACTATATGGAACTGAAAAATGAGAAGATATTACCATTTTCTGTTGATTGTCTAAGTATTGACTGTGCATATGTGGTCCTATAGTAATGAAAGAGAGACAACTGTTTTCTGTGGAGAGAAAATCGGATAAAAGTCATTTGTGATTTTATTTGTACGTAATGGTTGGTGCTGTCATAATTCCGAGATTTATTATGTAATATAAAACCCTTGTTTTCTGGCAGTAAGTCCTCATTAGTAATTGCCTCAACAGATTCCCTTTGATTTTAAGATAATCATGTGTATGGCATGTCATTTGATCAGAGATTGACTTCTAATGACATAGGACAGATGAAAGTAAACCGTGTTGTTTTTAAACCAACTTTCCTTTATGTTCGTGTTCTGAGACTAAATGAGGGCTGGGCTTTAAAAAGAAAATAACAATGTATAAGGGTACAAAATTTCAAGAGATGAATATATCATTATAAATTGTACAGAATTAACTAAAAGCTCTGATTTACATATATGGGAATGTTTTAACTTATGAAATTGATATAGTTTAAGTTCTTTTATTGAACAAAGGCAAACAGAATTTGACGAATTATTCGACACCAGTATGCATCATGCGATAATCAAGTTTTGATGGCTGTGCCTATAGCGTTGTGTCAGTTTTCATTAGCCCAAGAATTCGTTTTCACAAATTGCAGTCTCTAATTTCTCCTACTTCAAGCGACTGCTGGCATTTATGATTGATATTTCATTAGAAAAGCAAAATGCAGAAGGACTTGTTTGGAAGAATTTCTGGTTTTGATGTCCGATAGTTAGGTCTGATTTGGTAGTAATTATAACTGAGTTAGGGTAAATTTATGAGCTCCACTGTTGCGCTCATTACATCACGAAGTCTTAACTGATCCCATTTTGGACTCATTTGCATTACAGGAAGGTTTAATGTATAAACTTGGACTTATCTTTGGCTTATATGGGCCAAATTAGTCTTGTGTCTGTTTCAATCTAAAACATGTGGTGCTACATGATGAAATTAACCAACATGTTTTACGTATATGCACTTCTTAATTTATGTCGTGTATTATTATGTAATGTTTGTTGATACACAAATTATTTTTATAAAGTTCTGGTATCAGGAAATTGTGAAAAATGTTAGCTCGCGTGCATTGGAGATAAGAAATTGTTTGAAATGAAAACACTTGAAGACCTGTGTAACAACAATACTTAACAACTCTGCCTTTTCTTAAACTTAATATACTAACATTTGTATTAAATTTGAACAGAAAGTGTAACTTGAAGAACCCACTGTACAAAAGCACTGATTAAAAGCCAAGGTTACTTTCTTATATATATATACGAGTGTATATATATATATATATTTGATTTTGCTGTTATTGGGACCTAGATATGGCTGATAGTTAGTCATTGACACAAGCTACCAAAGTTTCAGTTGCAATTGTAATATTGACAGAAATCTTTATTATCCCCTGCTTTCACTTAAAGTGGGTGATATTGATTTTGGTTTGTCTGTCAGTCATTCTGTCTGTCTGTAACACTAGGTCCTAAATGACACCTTTTAAAGTCCTCTAGCTTTAGCAATTTTGCAATTCTTAAAGAATTTGAGGTCAAAAGGTCAAAGGTAAAAATCAAAAGTGGCTGATAGTTAGTCATTGACACAAGCTACCAAAGTTTCAGTTGCAATTGTAATATTGACAGAAATCTTTATTATCCCCTGCTTTCACTTAAAGTGGGTGATATTGATTTTGGTTTGTCTGTCTGTCATTCTGTCTGTCTGTAACACTAGGTCCTAAATGACACCTTTTAAAGTCCTCTAGCTTTAGCAATTTTGCAATTCTTAAAGAATTTGAGGTCAAAAGGTCAAAGGTAAAAATCAAAAGTTCACATATTACATAAGATGGTTTCAAGATTTAGAGCTTTTGCAATGAAACTTAAAATGTTGACACTCTCTCTTTCTGTTTAAAGAAAGACCCCATTGATTTTGAGTCCAAAATGGTGAAAGGACATGGTCATTTTAAAAGGACATTTTTGAAGTAATGGGGATATATTTAATTTTAAAAAAATACTTTCATGTGTAACATCCATAATATGTTTGTGTATGCTTTTCAGGTAAATAAAGTTCTGAAGATGGAGGCAGACATGAGTTTACATTTCATTGATCATAGAGAGACAAAGGAGAGCTTTCCTGAGAGGCAAAAAGTTCATTCCCCAGACAAAAAGAAAATATTTGTTATGGAAGAAGTGAAAAATGATATGAATGGTAATCCAGATGTGATAAAGAACAAACAGGATACAGAAGTTGAGAAAGATGAATCTGAAGTTTTGTTGGAAGAGCTTCGTCGTTCAGATAGTACTATAGGGAAGGAGAATAAAGTTCATATATCCCAGGCCCTGGAAGATTCAGGGTTTGAGGAGAAGGAAAGTAGGCCGGAAGTGGAGCCAATCAGTGGGAAGAGTTGTGAGGATAGAAATGTTACAACCTTGTCAGAACATAAAGAGAATACGAAAAAGTCTGACTCCTTGTATGAATTTACTAGTGCCTCATCCATGTTCTTGTCGAATGAAAAAGTCAACAAAGGTGCTGAAACTTCAACCAAAGAGAAGAAAGATGATGTAGTGTCCGAATCCAGTGAACTTGTTCAGTCTCCTCTGTCTTTGCAATCAGAAATGATCAAACAAAGTCTTCAGAAGAATCAATTTAGCTCACCTGATCAGAAGCATTCATCTCCTGGACTTGATGATTCCAGTGTTTCCATTGAGGAAGATGAGGAAAAAGTCATCATACATTTAGATTCAAAGCTGAATGAGTCTGTCAGTGGCAGTTGTGAGGTTCCTCCTCTATGTCCAGTAGAAGTAGAGAGAAAGTTCAAGGTCACTGCAGATACCAAGATCAAACTGGTAGAAATTGGTGCTGAACTCCACAAGGAGAAAGTCTTTTTTGACAAGTACTATGATAATCCCGATTATGCCCTCACTCTGAAGGATTGTTGGTTAAGACAAAGAAATGGATCTTGGGAATTGAAGGTTGTAAATGGACGCCTTACAAAATTTTCTACGCAATATCAAGAAATTACAAACTATAATGAAATAGTAGACTTTCTAGTCAATCATTTCCGTAGAGAAGACCTCGGTGATGCACCGATTGACCAAGTGATACAGAAGCTAGATTTAGTACCATTTGTGGAATTCACAACAACCAGACAAACCTACTTCCTCCCAGAATGTACCATTGACCTAGATCTGACAGGATTTGGATACCAGGTTGGAGAGATTGAGGTCATGGCATCAGACAAATCACAGATTCCAAGAGCCTTGGACACAATCACCTCAGTGGCTGAAAAACTAGGTAATTTATATGTATATATATCTCTGTTTAAAACAAAATAATCTAGTCATTTACTGGATAAATAACTCTATAAGAAAACATTTTCCATACTTCTTGCAATTATTAAATGGGACCAAAACTTAGTAAATGTACAACTTCTGTAGTTGGCATTTGATTATCATTAATATTGATACATTTCTCTTAAACTTTGGAATTTAAGTATTGTAAGTATATTTTTACCAATTACAGATTTTTAGCTAGAAGCTACTGCTAGGAATGGTAGTTATAATATCCACACTCTTGTTTGATGCTAGGGTGTGCTCATTTGAAATATTTCTCCTTTTTTCTTTTTTTTTTGGGGGGGGGGGGGGCAGAGTTGGGTTAAGGTAATGCAAATTTTAAATTTAGATGATGTAAAACTCACCTTAGCTTGAATGTGAAGTTGTTAAGTATAGGGTGCTCATCAGCTTTAAAATTTAGGTCACAAGCAGCATCTGAAACAAGATTTGTCATATGTGTATCCCCCCAATTCAATCTCTCTGCAAGTTTAATCATTGTTGAGCTTGTAATTATGTGAAACTGAACCTCTGTAAGAAATTTACACCATCTTACTCATCTCGAAAATATAGGTCTCCTGCAGCATCTGAAGCATACTTAATGATATGCATCCAAAGGTGCAGTATCTACGCAAGTTTGGTCAATATAAGATTTACACAACTTCAGAATTAAAATGTTTATGTTAATGAAGTATTGAGGCAAATTATCCTTCCTTAACGATATGTTATCCATGAAATATTATACATTTATATACTGGGTTCGAGGGCAAGGTGTGTTTTGTTGGACCCAAGAACCAAACTGTTCTCCTCACAGCCTCAAGCAAACAGTTTGGTTCAAAGGGTCGATAAAACACATTTCGCCAAAGAACACAGTCAATAAATGCTTTGTTATACCCTTTACTCTTTTGACATACATGTATCTTGTGCTGGCTTCCATGATGTAAATTTTCTTTTTCCCAAATTTCGGTAAAACTTGGTCAATTCTGTTGAACACCAATGAATGCAAATAAGATTTAGCTGATCCCGCCCACAGTATGATGTAAGGAGTCCAATATCTCATCGACAAGTCTGATATCTCACTGCGGTCAAACAAAGATTCTTTATGACGGCTCAGAAAAACTTTTGAAATGCTACAATTTTTTAGTATAAATTAATATAGGAACCAATTTTTAAAGGTATATGTATAACGATGATCATTGTAAGACATATATTCACTTGCAAACTGACTTACTCTAAAAGTTTAAAATTTGATTATTCATTTGGTAAATATAGGTCAATTGCAGCATCAGAAGCATATTTAATTGTACACATGCTTGCATTATCGATGCATCTTTGAACAACATTATAGAATTTTAGATACTTTGGAGTGGAAGTATACTGTCAAAATTTTATTAATCTACTCACTCTTCTAGAAAAATGAGGGTCAAATGCTGCATCTGAAATATGATTGGTAATATGCTTCTGAATGTGCACAATCTATGCTTGACTGTTCACTGTAGAAATTTCTGGTATTTGGGACAGAATCTTCATACTTGTAATGCTGTACGTGACCTATATTTTCTGGATGAGTGAGCAGAAAGATTTTTTTTTTTGGAGAAGATCGATTCCCATTGGTAAAAGTCCTGGCTGGACCCATTTTGTATAGATGTGCATCTTAAGATTCATATAAATGATGGTTTCATATTATATAACCATTGAAAATTGATTATTTTAGATATTTAATCATCAGTACATTTAAGTTTAAATGTATATAGTAGGCCATTGGCAGGGACTTTTAATTAATGGTTTTCAGGTACTTGATATAGATATCCTGTTATCTTAATTGGTCACGTTAGCTCCAACTTCCTTCTTAAGGATTGTCTCTCAAATTAAGTAAGTTTATGTCTACAAATGCTTTGTGGCACTATTACCTCATGAATTTCATTTCTCAACAGATAATTCTCATATTTGACCAAGAAGTCATTATCTTTTGCTTTCATTAGAAGTTTCCAGAAATGCTATCATTATTTTAATGTTTTATTAGGACTGGCTGTGTTTTGGATTGGATGGGTAATAATGAATTATGATATATAGCCCAGCATTGATTGCAGTTCCAACCCTTCATTTATTCTTTACGCCCATCAGGATTTTTGGAGCATAGCAGAAATTCTTGTTAAGTGTCCAAAATTCATGACAAATTAATAAATGAAACAGAATCGGAAATGATTGATGGTCTGTACTAAGACAAGTTTTTGAATGTTGGTAATAAAAGATGGACCAATTGTCTATAATTGAGAAAACAAAGGCAGAATTTATGTCATAAAAAATTACAGTATTCATTATGGGAGCAGAGTGGCAGATCTTGGGGTAAAGTACGGAGATAAATAAAGAATTCAAATTAACTATTGATGGACGAAAAATAAGAAAATTGTGAGATTTACTTCCATTATAAATCATAAATGAAGTCATAAGATTTGAAATTGCAGGAATTTCGTCTCTAAGTTAATAATGTTTGTTAATGCAATCACTGGTCTTTGTGAAAACGAGATAGTCATTTATCAAATGAATATCATAAAAACTCCAAATGACTTCGAGTGCAGGCCAAGATAGATTACCAAATACATGCAAGACTTTATAACATTTGATTGCATTGATAGTGGGGGCTGATGCCAGGGCTTCTGGGGTGATTACCGAATACAAGCCTTTCTATAACCCAGATTAATCTTAATCGAAATCAAATTTCTGTGGTATTGCAATCAACTTTTCAGTGGAGAATTGGGATCTGTTACTAATTATAAATTAGCGGTATGCGGGAAGAAAGATTGGGTGTTTTTTTTTGGTATGTTGTTGATAGTTAACAGTGATCTTCAAATAAACAAACAAATAGTTAACAGTGATCTTCAAATAAACAAACAAACAAAAAAATTTGTTGCACCTCTAGTTTAATTTAACAGCTAGCTGTGATCCTTCAAGAATGCAGGTTCAAATCTTTGGAGTGAAAGATTTCTCCAGTTTCATGTTCTTACAAGGAAATGATTTGTCTTGTACAAGCAAACTAGCTTACTTATTTTCTTTCCTGGTTTTAAAGAATTGAACTAAATGCAGATTTCAAGAATATATTGGATGAACAAAATACTATAGATGTACTTTTTTTAGCTCACCTGAGCCGAAGGCTCAAGTGAGCTTTTCTGATCAAAATTTGTCCGTTGTCTGTCGGCAGCGGCGGCGGCGTCTGCGTCGTTGTTGTCGTAAACTTTTCACATTTTCATCTTCTTCTCCTGAACTACTGGGCCAATTTCAATCAAACTTGGCACAAAGTATCCTTGGGTGAAGGGGTTTCAACTTTGTTCAAATGAAGGGCCATGCCCTCCTCCAAGGGGAGATAATTACGAAATAGCAAAAAATTAATGGCATTATTGAAAAATCTTCTTCTCAAGAACCAGTGGGCCAGGAAAGATGAAACTCATGTGGAATTATTGCCAGGTAGTGTAGATTCAAGCTTGTTCAAATCATGACCCCCGGGGATAGGGTGGGGCCACAATGGACAATCAAAGTTTTACATAGGAATATATAGGAAAAATCTTCAAAAATCTTCTTCTCAAGAACAGCAAAGCTATGATTGGTCATATTTATTTGGACATCCTCAGGTGGTGTAGATTCAAATTTGTACAAATCATGACCCCCTGGGGTAGGGTGGGGCCACAATGAACGATCAAAGTTTTACATAGGAATATATAGGAAAAATCTTCAAAAATCTTCTTCTCAAGAACAGCAAAGCTATGATTGGTCATATTTATGTGGAAGCATCCTCAGGTGTTGTAGATTCAAGTTTGTTCAAATCATGACCCCCGGGGGTAGGGTGGGGCCAAAATGGACAATCAATGTTTAACATAGGTGTACATAGGAAAAATCTTCAAAAATCTTCTTCTCAAGAACAGCAAAGCTAAGATTGGTCATATTTATTTGGAAGCATCCTCAGGTGGTGTAGATTCAAGTTTGTACAAATCATGACCCCTGGGGGTAGGGTGGGGCCACATTGGACGATCAAAGTTTTACATTGGAATATATAGGAAAAATCTTCAAAAATCTTCTTCTCAAGAACAGCAAAGCTATGATTGGTCATATTTATGTGGAAGCATCCTCAGGTGGTGTAGATTCAAGTTTGTTCAAATCATGACCCCCGGGGGTAGGGTGGGGCAACAATGTATGATCAAAGTTTTACATAGGAATATATAGGAAAAATCTTTAAAAATCTCAAGAACAGCAAAGCCACGGTTTGTCATATTTATACGGAAGCATCCTCAGATAGAAGTGTAGATTCAAGTTTGTTCAAATCATGACCCCCCCCCCCCCCCCACTCCCTTTTTAGGGGTAGGTTGGGACCACTTATGCATTTATGCTTTTCAATACTAAACTGATTTTTCCTTTTTTCCTAGCCACAGTGCTCAGGTGAGCGATCTGGCCCTTGGGCCTCTTGCTCCACATGGGATTAATTTAATTATGCTATGTACGTGGTCACAAATTTTTGGTGGAAATTTCATTGTCACAGTGTACTTTAGGTGCATTTAAGATGTACAATGGCATCCAAGAAATCCGCATAATTTTCTAACCACAGATTGAATAAAAATTGTAATTCTGTGGAATTACTTTTCCACAAAAAACAAGAGGCCCAGGGGCCACATCGCTCACCTGAGCACTATGGCTAGGAAAAAGCAGAAATCACTTCAATCTTGAAAGGTTGAAAAGTTTAAATATAAAAGTGGTTGGGGGGGGGGGGGGGGTGTCAGGAATTGAACAAATTTGAATCTACATTATCTGAGGATGCTTCCATTTAAATATGACCAATCATGGCTTTGCTGTTCTTGAGAAGAAGATTTTTGAAGATTTTTCCTATATATTCCTATGTAAAACTTTGATCGCCCATTGTGGCCCCACCCGACCCCCGGGGGTCATGATTTGAACAAACTTGAATGTACACTATCTGAGGATGCTACCATATAAATATGACCAAGTATGGCTTTGCTGTTCTTGAGAAGAAGATTTTTAAAGATTTTTCCTGTATATTTCCTATGTAAAACTTTGATCGCCCATTGTGGCCCCACCCTACCCCCGGGGGTCATGATTTGAACAAACTTGAATCTACACTACCTGAGGATGCTTCCACATAAGTTTCATGTTTTCAAGCACAGTGGTTCTTGAGAAGAAGATTTTTTAATGATGCCATTAATTTTTCACGAATTCTTAATTATCTCCCCTTGGAAGAGGGCGTGGCCCTTCATTTGAACAAACTTGAATCCCCTTTACACAAGGATACTTTGTGGCAAGTTTGGTTGAAATTGGCCCAGTGGTTCTTGAGAAGAAGTCGAAAATGTGAAAAGTTTACAGACGGACAGACAGACGGACAGACGGACTACAGACAAAATGTGATCAGAAAAGCTCACTTGAGCCTTCGGCTCAGGTGAGCTAAAAAGGACATTCACAGTAACCTTAAAAATATCAATGACCCTGAAAATTTAGTCATGACCAAAAGTCATCATCTATCCCAAAAGAATCGGTACGTGAAGTGTCAAGTCATTGTCTTTTGGTTTCAAAAGCAATAAAACACTGAGAAAGTTGAACTCAGTGAGTGCAGTGACTGAGATATGCAACTTGAATTTAGGACATGTCACATGATCAGTAGGATGTAACATGTCATTTTTTTTATGGCAACAGAAATATGGACCAGACAAAAACAAGACTTACCTGTAACCACAATGACCCTGTCCTTTGATATGACTATCTGTACAAGCTAGTACAATTATTTTGAGATGTTTTTGTGAATAAAGCATGGAATAAAAAAAAAATATTTTGGCAGTACAAATTTGGCTAGATGAACTAATACTGACTGACTGATTGATTGATTTTATACTTTGACCACTGATCCATTTACCTGATCAACACAAAGGGCCCACAGCGGTTATGACAGGTTGACATGGGAATTACTCCTCCTTAGCACACCTGATCCCACCTCTGGTGTTTCAAGGGGCCCATGTTTTTGCCCTTTTCTTGATTCATATTGTTTATCAAATTGATGAGATTTATAGCTGTTCTTCATCACCTTTTTCAGAAAGAATATATTATGTTTATACCCCAATCTTTAAATCTTAGGTCTTAAAAAGTTTGTAAACAGTAATTCATACCATTTTATTAGATTCCATTTCCAGTATTTCCTAAATAATAATGAAAGATTTTTAATGACAAATGTTAATAGATATTTTTGTACATTGAAAGCATTGTTAAAATATATTTCATTTATCAATACCAACCATTTTTGTGTTTTGTAGGATTTGAAACTTTTCAGATGTAGAAGGAGTTAAAAAATAAACATGTCGCACCAAGAAGTGAAACAGGTACATTTGTATAATCTTGGTAATCTTTGCACCATCTGCTTCCAACCTCAGATTTCTCCTGTGCAATATTTTATTTCATTAATTACCCATCCTCTTGACATTAGCTGGATCATTTGCTGCATGAGTAACTAGTGGAGGGTTATGAGTCAAATTCCGAAAACTTAAAATTAAGCACGTCAGAAAAAAAGAAAAGAATTTTGCTTCCTCTTCTATTTTTTTTTTATTTTGTTATGTTAGCTTATTTTATGGTTTTGTGATGTGAATTATAGCATAAATTTTAAATTTATGGCCAGTCTTTTTTTAAGAAAGGAATTTCATTGTTACGAATATGGTCAGTTTGAAATATGAATTACATTGCTCTATTCTTTCATAAGTAGTGGTGGTATGCTCACATTTTTAGCCAATGCCAATTTTATTATCTTGTACAAAACAAAAATATTTGGCATTTTTGACAAAATTGATCCTCAAAAAGTCAGATATGAATTGATGTGTAGTTGGAGAGCTACTGCATCCAAAGAGAGACAACTCCTGTTACTGACAAACTATCTGCTAATTCATTTCATGGACGTGTGCTTACTGGAAAAGAAAGAAGATCCATAGATCCCGTCAGTTAATTGTTTTGCATCTGAATTTCATCAAGAGTCATAATTTGACTGTAAGACCTAGTGGGCTGAATGATGAAGGGGCTAATTGGTGTGAAAATTTTCTGTAATGATTCTGGAGAAAAATCAATAGAGGCACACCATTTAAATTGACAGTTCATTACAGAGCAATGGGATATCACTCCGGTTAATTACAATGCTAGCAGTTCATATATCTTCTATATTTTTCTTTCTATGATTAGCAGGAAATATGGACTGATTGGCAAAATTACCAGGGAGATATCTACCTTCTATGAAAATGATGATAAGAATTAGTATAGACTTTGAAGAAGTGGATTCATAAAAATTTTTTTGATTGGTCGAAAATTAGTGCTGTGCAATAATACCTATATTGCTGTTCATTAACAAAACATGTTGTATTGCAAGATCTTTTTTTCAATACCAATATACTGGCAAAATGCTTGGGCATTGGATTTCTTTAAGAAAATTAAAGTTTAAGATGTCAGAAATCGATGTTAGCAATTGTGCTAAACTGTAAGGTTATTGAAAGCTGCATTTTGGTGCACATATAACTGGAATTAAATCAACAAGAACTTTTTTTGTTATTTATCACAGTTATTTACCTTCTGCATACATAATTGAAATAAAATTAGATCATTTTAATTTTTATTGAAAGTATTGCTATACATTTCGCAATACCATTAATAACATCACAGCATATTGCAATATAAAATTTCCAGCCAATACCCAGCTCTATCAAAAATATGCATAGCTGCAGATCTGTGGCTCACTGGTCTGAAAAAATTGGGATAGACGACCAGAGAGCTACAGTGCTGCCCATAGAAAAAAACTTTGTATTTATTGCGCACAAAAAGTTGTGCTCGATTCTGGATTAATTTCTAAGAAAATCTTACCTCAACTGCACAATTTCAAAAAATTCCTTAGACCTCTATGAACAACTTTTGTATTTGACATCTGCAGAAGAGCGTTGGTCTGGAATATCTTGCCACCCAAAATGGCAGTATAAATATGCCAAATTTTCGATGGTTCCAATTTTAGACCCATGAGGACTATTGATAATTAATGGTTATAAGGATGTTTTATTGTGGAAATAGTAAAAGAATATGGTTAATAATATTTTGAGATGGCAGTCTGAAAAACACAGAGAAAAAAATCTAGAAACAGTGCACTTTTTTGTGTGCACAATAAATATACAACTTTTTTCAATGGGTGGCACTGTAGCTCTCAAGTCTATCAATATATTTTTTCAGAGAGCTACAGTTCTGCAGCTAAAATATGCATCATTTTATCGTTTTAGTTTTTTTTCCCTCTTAACTATCCAGTTGTAAATCATATGGTGTATCTGCATGAACTTCTGAGATAAAATGTTCACTCTCTTATATAGCCTTCTCCTGTCTGTCTACCTTTGATCTCTTGTTAACTAAATTTGTGTTTTTCATTCATTTATCCATATTATTATTAATTGGGGGTAATTGGATGTTCTGCAACATTTAAAGTTAAAATGTTGTAAGCATACTCTTTTTAGCATTAATCATATTTTAGCACCTTTCACACTTCTTCCTGTTTGCTAATTTAAGTACATGCTAATATATGATTTAAACAAATGCATATAAAAGATTGGCCCCAGTGCTCTAATTCATGATTTATATTGTAATCTGATGATGAGGACTTTTGTGCTTAATTTTAAGTATGCTAAGTTATGTATGTTTACAGTATGATAATGGTACATGTACATGCGTACTAAAAACTTTACCTGAAATTCATACAAATTTACATGTTCACATCAGACCATCTTTAAAATAATGGTCTGATGTGAACTCAGGGTAAAAAAGAAATTCCACAGAAAATTTCAAAATCAATGCTGAATTTTCAAAATATATTTAAATGTAAAGAAAAAAAAAGGGGGGGGGGGGTAATTTTTAGTACATGTATAATAGGCAGGGGAAAATGTCAGCCAGCCTGGCTGGAACTCTAACCCAGGACCTCTCACTAACCATGCTTGTGCTGAGTTACTGGGCCAACACATCCAGTCCCCATTTGTAATTTAGATTGCATAGTACATATACATGTATTTTGTTTCATGATACATTGTATGACTTTCCTGATTTTGATGTTTTTTTCTATTGGCAGGTTTAAATAAAGATACAGTCTGTGCAGGAAAAGTCTCACACTACTTGTATGAAAAGAATCGCCATTTATATGAACGATTAGTAGATAGTGGTGCAGTAACACCTATTGGCTAGCTGTTGTAGACAAAATACGCTAAAAAATGTACATGTATAACATTTATCTATTATTGGCCTGCTTTGATATACAGTATGTTGTAGCTCAATTATATTGTACTTAAAGTTGTAACACTGACAGATTTGAATTCTTTTTAAATGAATTAGGATTAAAGTATAAGGTCATTGTAAATATCTGATTTTTGCCATTGGTTGTTCACTTACATGTATTTCAGTTTATAACTGAATTGTTGATTTTGTTATACAGTGTAATTGAAGAATACTTTGTTGATTTATACACTTTTCCTATTTCTGTCAATATTGTTTTGTTGTTTTTTTTTTCTTTAAAATATTTCTTATTCTTTTATATGTTTTTGTACATTTTACACTATGTTTTTGTTGGAAGCCTGAAAAGAGCCCTGCCCATTAAAGGCCTTTGCTTATTGTCAATATATCTTAAGTGGTTATCTCTAAACCTTAATTTTGATCATCAATTATATGTGAGCAGGATTGGTGACTTAAATACATGTTTATGTCCATATTAGCTCATTGAAACTCTATCTAGTCTGATGTTGAAGTTAAAGAACTTTCAATTATACCCTATTAAGCATAATAAACAGTTCAGCTGCCTAATGAAAAGTCTATTCTGTAAAACCCTGAATTTATTTTTATTATCTGTCTCAGTATGATCTACTTGTTTTTCAATGTTATCTTTTCAACCACTTATAAATTTTAAAAGAATATGAGAAAGATTGAAAGTAGGAGTATTTATGGTTTCTTAAGCATTTCTGTGTTAAAAATATTTTTCAGTATATCATATTATACCCTGATATACAAAATTCAATTTTGGATAATGATATGTGATATTTCTGCTTGCTTTATATATTATATATGAAGGATGGAGATTTGTCTTATAAATGTCGTATTTCTTCTTCCTCCTGTATTGTGTCAGGCTCCAAAACTGAGCCATTTCACACATGTAATTACTTATATATTACAAAGTTCCTCAAATTTACAACATTAAGTATAGAATGTTTGTAAACAAGAAAATCAAGAGAGGTTATGGTTATGCCATTTTGTCAAGGTTTTAAAGTAAAAGACCGCTTGCTAGGTTATTATATTTTTTTTTTGCAAACTTGTCACAAAAGAATTTAATAAAAAAAAAAGAACTGTGACATATTGTTAAGGAACACTATTAACCCCCACCCCCTTTTATGCATCAAAGAAGAGAAACTCAGCTCTCTTTTTTCTCAGAAAAGTCTGTCTGGATTTCTTTTTCTATATCATTTACATGCCCCCCCCCCCCCCCCCCCCCAATGAATAAAATAAAATAAATAATAGAAATATCAGAAATGAAACAACAGAAAAATTATTTTGTTGAAAAGTTAAAAAGTCACCATGCATACTTAAGAGAAGTCTCCATCCTTAAGAGTATTGTGCTTATCTTTTTCAAATTCCCTCCAATTTTCAATTTTATACTGAAGAATGAATATTCTATGTGATTTATCCTAACAGTATGTTCATATAATAATATGTGGATATATTATATTATAAAAACATGGTGCATGTTTTTGATTTAAACAATGCAAGCTTTGGGCTTTCTCATAGAACAACACAGTTCATTGCAGACAGTTCATTGTATGGTAACATATGTTAAGGTGGATTGGCCAACTGTAAAGAGAGATAACTCTAAGGTTTGTTTTCCTTTGTGGTAAATTTTTATGCCCCCCTTCAAAGAAGGGAGGGCATATTGCTTTGCTGCTGTCTGTCATTCGGTCTGTCTGTCTGTTGGTCCACCAATAGTTTCCGTTCATTTTCTTCGCAGAGATTGCACATACTAAAATGAAATTTGGTATACAGATTTATGATAAGAATATCTAGGTCAAGTTCTGTTTTGGGTACGGTCATGCAATTTTTGACAGAGTCATGCCCTTTGGACTTTGAAAAATTCCAATTATTTGCAGTTTCCGTTCACTTTCTTCGCATAGGTTGCACATACTGAAATGAATTTGATATACAGATTTATCATAAGAATATCTAGGGAAAGTTCTGTTTTTGGTACGATCGAGCTATTTTTGACAGAGTTATGTCCCTTGGACTTAGAAAAATTCCAACTAATTGGGGGGGGGGGGGGGGGGGGGGATGGGGGGTCATAAGTGTTTCACAAACATCTCTTGTTCTTTTTGACAATGACTTGACTTAAATTTATTCCCCTATGGAATAAAACATTTGCTTGAGCTTCATTCTCCTGTCTACTTCTGCTAAAAGATTATCTTAAGGACAGATAATACAAAAAAAATGGATGCCTGGATTGGTACATGTATATATTTTTTAACCTATTTTGGTTGTAAATGATGAGAATAATAAATTTCTAAATATTAAGAAATTGTAAACTTTCTATGATGTTCAAAATTCTACCTTTCTGCAACCATCCTTATAAATCTATACAACTTTTCTCCACTTTAAATCCTATTATTGTGAACATTTGAATGAAAAATGAAAATCTATGTGGTTAAAGTTATTCATTTTACTCCTTTGAATATGACTTAATTCAAGATTTTTAACAAAAGTTTATACCATCTGTTCTTAATTGGAGAAAATGTTCATTTCAGTAAACAGAGGGTTAAAAAAAAGGTTTGTCTCCAGAGTTCAATATAATTATGTTGTTGTGTTTTTTTTTTTTTTCATTTTTTGCAGATCTTGCAACCATTGTCCTTTTTCCAAGTTATCTCTTGTTCTATGCATAAATAAATATTCTTTGCTTGAACTTTGGTGTATCTTTTGTTCATTATGCAGAAAAATTTCATGGTGGCATGTGAAGTCACAAGGGAGAATTGTTACATTTCTGGATTTTAAACACATCTATGAAATGACAGTATTGTTAGGGAAAACTATTTATTCTCCCCCAAGAACAATTGGCATATATAATGCGTGTATTGAAAGAGTGGGGGATCTGAAATTTCATTTGTTTGGCTTCCTTCAACAGTTCATTCTGCTGTTAACTTTTATACCCCCAACGTGAATAGCATTATGGTTTATGAAGTACAGTGATCTCGAACTCGATGGGACCGAGAAAAAACTTCGAGATATCTGAAGATTCGAGATATTGAGGGTAAAATACGTAAAGAATAAGTGGTTGGGGCCTCCAAATCACTTCAACATAGCCATAGTATTCAAGATGTCAGTGTTCGAGATACCGAAGTTCAACTGTATTTAGTACTGCATGTTTGTACACAAATTGCAAGTAAGTAAACGACAAATATTTTACCATTAAACCTTCTTTGGAGTTAAAATGAAGACATGGTAACTTTGTATACTATTTAGGTCACATCCATTTGTTGTCTGGCTTTTGCACTTTTTTTTCTCAAAAAACAAGCCACCCAATCCCAAATTTCCCTTGATCCATTTTCTACCCTCCCCCTTCGTTTAGTTTCGTCACTTGTTGTCAATTTATGTAGTCCGGATTTCGCGAACTTGTTATGAAGTAAAAACTTAAAATCTTTAACATGTGATTTATCTATGTCCTTCAGACTGAGAAGTTCTTCATCAATTTTTGTGATTCATTGCACAAGTCCTGATTTTGTTTTTATAATTTTGTAGTTTTTGGCCTTTCGTGATGAAGAATATGTTTGCCTCCATGATAAATACATGCTTTCTGACTTTTTGCTACATAGCAAATTTGATAATTCAGATCTGCTAACAGGATTATAAGACCCTAGACTCTCGCCGTTATAAAAATCAGCAATTAATTTTCGATGAATCTTTTCTTAATTTCATGTTTCTTTGTTGACGCCTGTGAAATTATATTTATACATGTGACCATTTTTTTTGGATTGAGATGGACGGCTTTGCTAAATTATAGACGATGGTGTGCAAGCATGCTAATATAAGGGCATTCAATTCCGCGATCTTTATGCATTACTTTAGGTTTTCTAAGTTAATGAACAAATATGTCTTTCATTCTAATTAAACGAGAACTCTGTTGATGAAAGAGAAAACAGTACAATTCCGTCCAGAACTGTTGGTTTTTACCAGAAAGTGCAAATGGAAGGCAAAGGAATTAACTAATTCTATCGATTAGACAGGAGGGTCGAGACCAAATCTTTTATTAACTGCTTGGGAGTTTAATCAAGCTCTTTGTGTTGCATACGGCATTGACAAAATTAAGCAGGGTGTCACCATTTAAGATAAAGATATGTTTACTGTTTGCAAAAAGGTTTGCCAAAATGTGATAACACTTTCCATGAATAAACCTAGTCGATGTCTCGCTACCGTTCAGCTTAAAGAAAGGGGAAAAACATTATTTTAATTCAGAAGTTAGTACCATTTTTTGTGGCACATCTTTCAACCAAATTTGGCTTCTGTTAACTTAAAGATGCATAATCTAATATTTTTATGCTCGTACACGATCTAGATTCTGCATGCTGTAATGAAATCAAAACCGTTGTTTATTTTATGATCGAAACACTAAGTGATATCTTAAATATGCTAGAGCCAAGGTTATGAGCATTTAATATTCAACTTCAACGAATGAGAACTATGGTCGTTCGAGTGAGGTTGCAAAAGCTAGAAGAGCAATTATATAGCAAAATGTATAATATCCAGTAAATTAACGTCTCTTTTTTCCTAATTCTATCGAACTGGCGTTAAAGAAATGTATGTGCTGCAACCACATCCACGTATTATCTTTTACGGAGAATATTCTTTGCAGAATATATTCTTTACGGAGAATATTCTTTGAATAGTCATTGAAAAACCAGATGCCCCTAAACCCCTTTTGTTGTAGTACCGTAAAACCTTCTAGTGTTAATGTATCAAAAATATTTTTTTACTGGGGGGGGGGGGGGGAGAGAGAGAGAGAGAGAGAGAAAGTTGTCTTCCAACCCACCACACTTTGAAAAACGATGCAACATGCCTGAACTAATATTAAAAGGAGAATGCTTCGCTAGAAATGGGTAGCTCTGGTAAGTGCACGTTTTTCTCGTCTTAATTTCTTTTAGCTTTATCATTTAATTTTATTGTACACACATTTTATATCAATACATGCAGTTTTTTTCTCTCCAAATCGACAATGGGATGCCAAAAACTAGCTATTACCTAACTGTCATTAATTGAACAAAACTGAAAATCGGACAGTATTTGTGAGCGAACTATTTTTTCTGGTAATGAGAAAATGGTAATTGTGGCGTCTAATGGCAGGATTAATTATTGTAATCTCTGTGGGCTTTCCATTAATGAACTATAGAGTCACATTAAGTCGGACATTAAGCCTTCGTTTGAAGGCGTATTGAATCAAGCAAGTGCATGTACAGTATATGTGTGAACAACCTTTGCCTCCATATACATGCATAATGCAAAAAGAACTATAACTCTGAAAATATAGTAACTTAATTGTTTATAAATTTTCCAAGGAGAGGACATTTTTAACATCTTAAAATAATTGTATTTCCTTTCAGTATGAATCATATCAATAAAATCTTATTAATTTCGAATTCCAACATAATTTATCGTACTATATAATATTTCGATGTTATTATGAATATTTTTTAAGCATGTTACTTTGATTGTGAAAATTAAACTTAAAGTTTACATGTGCGATTACATCAGATGTTTTTCTTCTAGTTTTGAACATTATTTCACGATTTCTCAATTGGGGGGGAGTCCTGTTCCGCGAGTGTAGGAGAAGCCTTGTGCCACGTGTTCGATCCTGACATGCGATCTACAGAAAGGTTCCAGACAACAATCTAATCTTCGTCCATAAGCCGAGGAACTCAGAACTGGCCATACCCTATTTTTCTCCTGCAAATGCAAAACAACAGGCAATATAAAGTGAGTTGTCCCCCTTCAATGTGCATTATTGCAAAACAACGGGCAATATAAAGTTAGTTGTCCCCTTTCAGTGTTCATTATTAAAATGATTTTATTTTGGTCTGACTTAGACAAAATAACCTTGCCTTTTAAGATATGTCTTCAAGGTCATGACACACTTTTATGTCGTAAGTAAAAACATACTCAAACTTAAATTCATTCTAATGAAGTGTTCCAAATTATGACAAGTATATGATTTCAGTATCTCTTGTTCATCGACCTTGATTATATAGACAATGAGTCTGACAAAGAACACGTTAAGGTTATGGTCATGGGGATGCACTAACATGTTTTAAGTTTGAACCCATTCATATGCAGCGTTCGATAATTTTGGCCCTTAGAGAGAACAAGTCAGAAATACGTTCAGTCAGACAACCACGACAAAAATATTTCTCATTCCGCTGAGAGGGACATTAAATACATAGATCCCCTGGTTAAAAGAATTGGGAAGGGGGGCACAAATCGACATGAAGATCCAGTCCGGGGAAAAAATCCCTTAGAGTTTCCTTCTTCTAGCCTAGCTACTGGAAAGAAAGGGGATCAGACTGGGAGATATTTGACTTCCTTCCACCTTGACTTTTTACCATGTGAAACCAATAGTAATCGTATTGTGTCTATAAGATTACTGAGTAATCTTACAAGTGTAATTGTTCTAAATTGAGGAATGAGACAAAATGTCCATAATAATCTCTATACGGTTTAAACATTATCCATCTTTTACTCTATAACCCAAAATCTACGATCTTCTTTCCCTTTCAAATACATGTAGAAGACTGTACTTATGCCCGAATGCACTCAGAATTGTTCGAACATACGACGTATAACACAAAACATAACTTGGGTGCTGGCACAAAAAAGATTCCTCACTACTTAATGACCATAAGAACCCAGTACAGGTATATAGGTGGCGTTCCCATTTCAGTGAAAAATTCTCGAATGAACACAAAGCAAAACACGATGAACGATACCAGATTAGTTACACATAGAGTAAAGATCGTCAAAGAGTATCTTGATTATTTCACGCTAAAATTACCCCAAATTCAATTTTTTTCTTACGGTATGTTTAAGAAATTTTCTACACTACAGCTGTAGCTCCTGTGGCGGATCCAGAAATTTCAGATAGGGGAAGGGGGGCAGTTTCGAAGATGGATTGAAACCAAAAAACAACAAAATCAAAAGGTTGGAGGGGGGGGGTTAGCTAAATCCGCATTAGAGCTCTCTGGAAAATGAAATTCTGACAAGCATGCCAGACATACTCTGCTATGTCTATTCGAATTTTATTATCCAGATAGCTATATACAATTCTGCAGTTATACTCACTGAAACATTTAAAAACAATGTTTGGTCTGACCATGGGGGAGAAAGTACCACCACTTCCAGCTATTCAAAGCATTGTTACGGATATAACCAGCCAAGAATAAGTAAGTTTACTGTAAAATTGAGGTTGAATTGACTTGCGAGTTCCTGTTTTTGACATGAACGAATTTCTCTTAGGACACACAATGGGATTCAACAAAAAATGTCACCAGAATTCGGATTCTTATGATTATTAAAACTGATTGCTTAATTTTATAACATTTATGACCCGAGCATTAGGATATTCCTCACAATACAGCACACCGTAGGTATATATCTATTTCTTAATGATTTTAATGACATAAACTCCTATATCAATTTTACTGCAAAATATCTGGAGATATTGACTTTAACATACAACCTCATCGTGAACGGCAATTCCGATTTTCAGGATATGGTTCCGATCATCTCGGTGGATCTTACTGTCGTATTCTTCTCTCGGGTGAAACAGTCTATCATATGTCGAAAAACTATCGGCCTAAAAAATGCAAAGATAACAGATGCTTACAGTTGAAGTGCCTTTTAAAAGAATATTCAATATATTTCAACATGGTAAACCTCCTTTTAGGTGTTTTACGAGAAAAATTAACAGCTATAATGAGAAAATTTTCCTCTGAATCTTTCATAATGAAAGGATATTTTTTAATGGCCCTTGGCCATGCACATTAAATTGTCACTAAAACACTTGTTTTTTAAATCAATTCTAATTTACCATTATAACCTGAATATGGAGTTTATTATGACTCCCAGTTGATTCGATACGAGCATGTTCTATGTACGAACGATTTCTAAAGCGATGCAGGCTAATGACAAATAAGTTGATGAAACAAAGATATCAACAATCTTATTTAAAGACAACATTTCGCAAATTCTATGGCCTTGTTTGCAGATAAAATATGTCTTTAAGTCGAATGTTGACTGACGTTTTTCATACAAATTGTTAGGCCATTATTTTCAGACCGAATTGTCTACGTTTTTTTTTTCGTTTACCCGATCATGACAAGAGTACACAGCGGGTGTGACCAGTAGACAGGGGATATTTACTCCTCAATGGCACCTGATATCCCATCTCTGTTTACAGAGATCCGTGTTGGCTCTGCTCAGAATTTGTATGCATGGTTTAAATGGACTTTTGAAAATGATCACTGTTTGTTATCTTCACATTTTACCTACATATTGCAATTTTTCAAGAATTTCATGTAATTTTTAAGAATTTGTGGAAATAAACTCGCAAAATTGTTTTAAATCGGGTTAAGTAAAAATGAAAGAAATAAGGTCTTAATTACCACAGTTCCTCTTGTTCTCTTTCCAAAGAAAGTGTCTTTCAGAGTCTCCAATTCATGACGTGACCACTGCTTCACTCCTGACCAATGTTTGGACCCGTCCCCTTTATTTGCCAGGTGGTTAAGCCGAATGGTTTCTGTCCTCTAAATTAATTATTCCCCCAAAAGTAATTATCAAATTTTTACGTCGTTCGATAACCAAATCGGATGTCATTACCAGATGCATTTTTATTCACTTACTTGAGCAACGATTCGAATTTGTTCACAAGTACCTACCTGAAGAACATTCTTCCACAGTCCAGCCATCTCTTCGGGTGATAGGTAGGATTTCCCATAAAGGGACATTTGTTTTCCTTCGTCTCCCATTTCTGCTACGTGTTAGATTGCAGGAAAACAAACTGTAGCCAAGCCTTTCTTGGCTATTATGACGTAATCTCATTAAGCTGATTGTGACGTCATCTCGTTTCACGTAAAGCAAGTGTAAGATACCTTGATTAAATTTTCGACTTTCAAAATTGATATATGAGGCAGGTCAATGAACAAATCTTTCATTTTTAAGGATATCCGCTCCTCAGCCAGGAAGGATAACTCTTAAAATTATTATTATTTAATTTAAAAAGTCTTAGAATTAGAATTGAAAATTGAAATCATTTTGTGCAATAATTTTCATTTCATGCATCGCAATATGATTCAAGGTTCTTTGAAGTCTTAGAAACGAGCTTTTAAAAAGTTTATATTTGTACCCTATAAAGGTACCGGTACCAAAATAAATACATATTTAGAGAAATTGAATTTCTTGCAATCTAGCCTTAGATACCAATGTTTATTAGAAGTGATCTGTGATGTCTTACACTGATAACAAAGAGGTTTTACACTGTTTATTATATAACAATTGAAGTAAAAAGAAGAACTAAAGTGTTTTAATTGTTTGTAACAATATAGTTACCTCCATCTATAGAACAGACTCGATATATCAGTGAACTTGAAATAAAAGACACCACATAGTCTGTCATATCTGTTTCATATTTGGATGTCTTATTGACTATTGACGATAAGGGTCAACTAACAACTAAATTGAAATAAAAGCAGTTATAGGCAAAGTCTGCAACAGTGAAATTAATCAAAATGGCAAGATGTCAATATGCATGTACTTAGCAAGCTTCAAAACAATATGTACACCTATGTGGCAATTATGGTCCCTGAAATTTAAATCCGATGATTCTTCTAAACATACAATTCTTGAAAACTATTGGAATTGTATAACTACATGTATTATGACAAAATCAAACGGTGTAATGAGATCGTCCTGTCTACAAATTTCAGAAATGTTTGATCCATTGGAGAAGCAGCCCCAGAAATATAAATTTGTTATTTATGTAGGGTTTGATTACTTTATTTATTTGAAAATTATATATGAAAATTGTAAAACAGACAATGGCTAACTAAACCAAATGGAATATATTTAAATATTTAGCAAACTCCTTCATTTGCAAAACCCTGCATATCACCCCTATGTTCTGTCTTTAGTAACAGTGACCAAGTTTTTTTATTGAATTAAAAAGGAAAAGTGGGTCGTTTGTAGACGTCAATATTAGAAAGTTTCAAAAGTCTCCGACAAGACTTTACTGGATTTCTTAACGAGGTAGAGAAAAATAGCACATGGACTTGAAACTACATGTACGGCAACACCAATAAATAAATTAATGATCCCTGGTTTAGTCTCTTTCTATAGTAGTCGCGGATTTGGAACATCTAATTTCAATTCGTAGCCATTCGAAAGATTTTCAAATAAATTACTATTTCTAATCACCATGGCAACATCGTTTGTCAAAATCAAAAACCGATATATAGAGGATTACGAATCTTAATGTAGTCTACTTGTGTACCAATTTTTATTGAAATCGGTGATTCAAGTGATTCAGTAACAAGATCGAAAAGCCCCCTTTTTTCCCCCATTTTTTTTTGTCTTGAATTGATTTTTAAAAAATGTGCATATTATTTCCCATGTTTCGGATTGAGTGAAATTCGTGAAAAACGGAGAGCAGCTTGCAATTTCACTTGTTAGCATTATTCATGCGAACGCAATTTTGAAATCCATGTATATGACTAAAGAACTACGCACGCTAACTCTCGATTCCCGCCTAAATTTTATACCCATTTTTAATTCAATACTAATGGCAATTTGGCCGTAAAATCTTTGTTGAATGCAAAGAACAGTTCAATGGTAATTGACTGATGATTTTAATTCCAGTGTTAAATAGTTAATCAACCCTAATTCCAGCTCTTTAAATAAGGGGGGGGGGGGGGGTAGACGATATTTTTCATTGAAATCGGGCTTTAATTAAAGCATCACCACATTTTAAAATATTCTTGGATATGAATAAATGTTCCTTAAATCTTTTCTTATGTTTTACTCATATAAAATTAAACATATATTATTAATAAAATACAATGTTTTAGTTGTAAACCCCTTTGAAATTGGTGAAAAAATAAGCATTCTTGTAGTTTTTTGTCTGTAAACATATGTCTCCCCCCCCCCCCCCCCGTGTAACACAAAAAGCTTTGGTATGAATTTGTGAAATGACAGTCCATATTACCTGTAAAAAGGAATTTTTGTTTCACGGGGGGGAAAGATGTTTTAAAAATATTTTCCATTTTCCGTTGATTTCTATAGTGAAAAACACAAGTTTTACCAAAATTTTAGAGTTATTCCTCTTTGTTTTCCCAAAGAAGTAATGTTTTATGAAAATTCATATAAATATCTTTATCGAGATGAAAAATCATTCAAATGTGTTAACTTTTGAAAAATTGACTTGGAGGTAGGCGGGAGAACAATACTATCGTTCGCAGTTCTTAGACCCAATCCAAAGCCAAGTAGCTTCTTCTCAATTTTTTTTTTTAAGTTTTAGATGACACTGGATGCCTAAATATTGCCCCTAACTATCTACTCAAGTACAAAATATAGGACAAATGCCGCTTTCATGCATAGCCAGACAGAACATCCTTCTATGCAGCATAAATTTCTGCTCATTTTCGTGTTAATAAGGGTGTTGTAGATCAGCATTGCACTTAGTATGATCGGGGGAGACAGAACTGGGGTAGGTTTGATTTTGATACGTGTGAAAAGCAAGAAGCAGACATTTATGCTGACCCTCATTCTGTAAAGGATAAAATCTAGGAATAAATCCAGCACCTGAAGCATGCATCAGACAATATTCACATAAAGCAATGTTTGGCTGCAATACACTGTATATCCATTGCAAAAAGCCAAGAACAGATCTATGACCTGAGAACCTAATCAATGGATCCTAAAATTAGGTCAGATGCAGCACCAGGAGCCTGCATCAAATTAAGTATCATCTTCAAGTTTAGCATCTTGAAATCAACCAGGAAATGTCCTACACACTAAGCTTACCCTTATGTCCAACAAGCAAAAAGTGTAGCTCAGACACAGTTCTGCAGTATGCATCCCACAAATATTTGCAAGTTTTTGTGGAGGTATCCCTTGACAGAGGCTGGAAAGACCTCGAAGGTCAACCTAGTAAACCTTATCCCCCCCCCCCTCCCCCAATGTGGGAGGAAAGGATACAAATTTTTAAAATTTTACACATCAAAAGTATTACAAATCTCCTTTTGGTCCAGTTTCATTCATTCACAGAAATTGGTATAAAATGGTTTGCACATTTGGTACCAAGACTTGGTGGATGAAGAACACCTACCACGGTTTGCTTATCACTTCAACTCACTTTCTCAGAGGTTTGGGCCAGAATAGAATTTTGTGCTCCTTATCCACTATGTTTTTTTTTCAGTTTCACAGGCCACACATGACAGATTCAAGGGCTTTTCCCTGCACATAGCTTTACAATAATTTCATCAAACGTACCTCAAGGTTGTACGACAATCAAACATTCAAGACATTTGTAGCTATAGTTTTCAGATAAAAGAAGTTTCTAACTGGGCTTTTATACTGTATCAGTCTGAAACACTCTGGCACCATGTACTGTAAGTCAGAAATCCTACCAAAAATGATGAAGGATATAAACTTCAAAAATGTATCCATGCATCTTAAATTCTGACCTAATATTACCTCTGATTTTGATGTAAAAGGATGCATTTAAGCACATTTGTATTTATCATACTGTGTACATCTTTGAAACACTAAAAATTCATCAATTTCAAGATCTCAAAACAACAAAATAGTATTATACATCAACAAATTTATTGATGCTAACAGTTTATTTCTTCACAGGTTTCCTCTTTCGTGGTTTAGGGGTAGGTCTTTTGTTTGTTTTCTTCAGTTTTCCAAACTCCACATTTATCAGACGATTTCTCTGAAAAGAATGAAGAAAGTGCTTTAAAAAACATAGTATTTACGTGTTAACCACCTCCAGTACATTTTTTATTCACATGTCTGACGTGGAGTTGTCAGCAGCATTAATCTGACGGCAATTCCTATCAATACTCAGGCTCTTCATCCATGTGAAAAATTTATACAGGCTGATCCAGCAAAAAATCATGAACATGATCAGTATCAAATACTTATTTAAAAAAAAAACAATGAATTTCTTCACAGAACAGCCCTTTCGATCATCATTGTCATGTGTTTAACATCTATACCTACTAAAGCTTGAACAACTTACAGATTGCTTGGCCTTCATCAGCTTGAACCTGTCAAAGTCTGTCAACTGAGCCCGCTGAAAGAAAAGTCATAATCTTAGTCAAATAGAGGATAAATCAAGGACCAGGATTCACTGATTTAAAGGAGCAAGCTGCATGTCTGACAAGGTGTTGTCAGCAGTTTATTTCTCTGACGGCATTTCCTATCAATTTTAGGTTCGTCATCCATGCAGCAATCTAATCAGACACCTATTAAACTACATGCATTACGACAATGATTTAATTGCCCTTCTCCCACAAATTCGGAATGATTAGAAAAAAATCAATTACAAGGTATTCAATTTGAATACTAGGTATCCATTAAGTAAAGTTCACAAAACACATAAACAATATTTCACATCTGTACTGTAAATGAACATAAATTAGTTAACTCAAAATTTAGTACAATCTTCCTCATCAGCTAATTTGCATAATCTTAAATTAGTGCATTTGGTGCAATGTTACTCTATATATATAGGTTTTAATATGTTTCAATCATATATTAGCGTGTACTTGATTTTGCAGACAAGAAGCAACGCGAAAGGCACTAAAGTATGATTACCACTAAAATAAGTATGTTTACAGTAGATATAAAGTAATGTTAATCTCATACTGCTTTTGTCCCATATGTTTTTTGTTTTTTTTTTGTAGAAAAAAAACTAAAATGTCTTACAAAGAAAACAATTTCATTGAAAAATGTTGTAAAATTTTAATAGATTAAGACCGATTATGAAGATGGAAAATCGTAAAGGTTTAAATTTAATACATGTAATAATCTAAGTAACATTTAAATAAATATTTTCTACACCCAATGTTCATGTGAAACAAAAACAAGGAGGGCATTGCATTTTTTTCTAACATATAAGATGTAGTACTTCTATATACAACTGAATGATTGAATTATTAAAGTAATGTCACATGTCTGACGTGGTGTTGTCAGCAGCATTAATCTGACGGCAATTCCTATCAATACTCAGGTTCTTCATCCATGTGACAAACTCATTCACGATCTTTATTTCAACACCCCACCCCCATCCAAATTAAATAGCAATCTTCAGATCAAACCTTTTCCTTATTTGCAATTTTCTTGGCCCAGGTTGTGCTTTCCCACTGCTTTTTAACTTCCTGTTTCTCCCAGGCTTTAGCGAGGTTTCCTGGGCGTAAACCTCGAGATATTTTCATCACAATTGACGTAAGCTGCAGGGCCTTGAAGTTAATCTGTTGTCTGGATACACCTGTGCAAGGGCCATCCACTAAAGCCTATATAAATGGAACAATACTTACACATTAAACAAGATTTGATGATGTGTGCTCAAAGAATTGAAATGTTCATGCATATAATGTATTTTGCGATACAGAACTGATGCAGAAACTTTTACTAATGACTCAAAAGAATACAAAATGAACACATTAACAATAAGGCCACTTTTTTTTTTCTTTCTTAACAAATTTTCAAGAAGCTGAAAAAAGGCTTTTCACATTTTTCCAAAAAAAAAAAAAAAGATTACATTTGATAACTTAAGTTTGTTAGCTTTTGAAATATCCAATGTCTCTTATAAATGGACGTTAAAGGTGTCATGTGAATAACAATTATTCTGCGAAGTACTTTTTTCCATGGGGTCATAATTCCATGGAATTTCAATTTCTGTGCAATCAAGAAAGAAAATTACAAAAATTTCTTAGATTGCCACTATATGCCTCAAATGTATTTTTAGCATGCTGGGACAATTTTCCGCAGAAAATTTGTGACCACGTGCACCCTAGGGACTTGAGACAATCTTAGCAAAATCGGGTATTGTCTCAAGTCCCTGTGACGTGCACAGTGTAATTAAATACCATGCGAAAAAAGTACTTCTACAGTAAAAGGTATGTAATTTTTAATTTTTGGCAGAGGGGAGGGGAAGGGAGGAAGAAATTATTATCAAATTTTTGTCATTTCTTTTTTACGACCTACCAACCCCATTTTTGGGATTAAAAAAAGTCTTTAAAAACAATAAATTAAAAAAAGGGGTGGCCTTACATTCTTCTGATAAATATTACGATTCAACTCAATAACTGTTATGAATATTCAATTAAAAGTCCAAATCAAGCATACTTAGTTGGAAGATAAATTCAATACAGTGGGCACATGTTCTTATGACAACCCCTGGGTGAAGAGAATTCTGACTTTGCACAATGATCCAAATGAATACTCTTCCCCAGTAACTTCTGGATCAACAATCCTTTGTGAATTGCATCTCACTGCAAACTACTTTCTCGAGGTAAAATAAAAGTTCACCAGAAAATAAACTAACCTTGCTTTGATGGATATTGCAGATAAATAGTACATTAAATGTTCTTCATAAAAATTTACATTTTTTCAGACTTTGTTATGGTAATTCAACTAACATATGTGTCACATGACGACAGAGTCTAGACATTCCAAACGTCGATGTGCATTTGAAGAAGCTGATCTAAATTAAATCTGAACAGCTATATGCTTTCTTCCTAAGGGTCGCACCATCAACACATTAAATTATAAGAAACATAAAATCATTTCATTTCAACACACCCTGTTTTGGTCTATGACATCAACAATAACGGCCAGCTTTCCAGCATCAGGGCCATAGGCAATCATGGCCACACGGCCAATTTCCACAAAGCGGAACTGTAACAAAATAGAATGTCATCACTATATGCTGCTTTAAGAATATATTTTGAAATTCCCAAATATCGTTTCAAGAAGGTGAAAGATTCATTGCTAAAGGAAAAACGTTAACCCCCCCCCCCCTTTCTAAGTTTAAGTACTTTTTCAATATGGTTTACATTTTAAATTACAATTTTTTTTTGGTAAAAACTCTCCCATACAAATCAACAATGTATCCCAGAAGAGTTTCCATTTTTTACAGCATTTAGAGCAATAATCTGAGAAAACTCGAACAGCCTGCTAACCCAACAAAACATATAAAGTTTCATATATTTTAACAATATCATGTAAGATAAAAGGACGCAATTTTAAACAACATGTAATTGGATTCTATTTCTCTTTATTTGTAACACAAAAAAGTTTGAAGAAAAGGGCTAATTTGAACTAAATTCGGAGACACATCTTCACCTGACTGAGAACCATGTTGGATCCCGAAAAAGAGGCACATGTAGGGAAGTTCTATGGAATTCTGGGAAAATTTTGTTAGTCCGTGCTTAAATTACTTTGCTTCAGAATAACATTTGTTGTATATATCGGATAGTAGAATAATATAAAATAAAATTTGAAAACATGTATCATAATTCTATTGAAAATGTACAAGTGCGATATTTATTAAATTTCTTGCATATTTGTTATCTTTCGAATATTTTACGATCGACTTATTATAATTTTAAAAATGAAAGTCAAACTTCGCAGCTGATAACAAAGATTATTAAAATATTCCAAAATGCTTTTGAGACGCATAACACGAGTGACACCTGCTGCTGTAAAATTTTCTGATCATCAGAAGGGGAGACGCTTCACAGCACAGGTTCAGTATACCAGTCTATGCTTCAACACATATATTGTATGAATTACTATACATCCTTTTTTTTTATTACAGATGATAAGCTACATATTTATTAAACCGTTCAAAATAGCATTTTAAACCTTTTTGGCATAATGGTATCGTGAATATGCATTTTCACAGAATGTACAAAAAGTTTCAGTGTGGTACTAATATTTAAGTTTCCCGTTTTCAACTCTTTTTATATCAATGCATGAAGAAATTGCTTTTCAAAATGTGTTCCCCTCACTAATATTCAAAGTATTCATTGTTAGAATTCTGAAAATTTTCGGGTTTTGGTCAGAAATTTATTTGTGACCAAACAGTATCTTCTTAAATGAGATAAAAACTCTTAAGGGAGGCTGATTTGTATTCTGATTGTATTTGTGTCTGGACAGAGGTAATCAAATGTATCCATGTCCCAGAGCACACAATGTGGTTGACAGTACCCAAAGAAAGGAAATACAATATATAATTCTGAAAGTATCTCAAAAGCAGAAATCAAGTATTTGAGTTTTTTTATAATGAGATACAAATCTGTGTACTGACATATTTATTTGCAACTTTCTGTATATTTTATAGATCTGAAGATCTGAAAAGGAATATTTGGGGGGGGGGGGATGAAAAAAAAATAATTCAAGTAGCTGTGTAGCCTGATCAAGATATTGTACTCATCCTTTACAACTAACATTCAGATTATTTGGAATACATGTTATCAATTTTGTATGTCAATTAATATCATACTTTTGTAAAGCTGAATGAGCTTTTAATGCTGATGTAAATGTATAATATAAGTTAGCAAACACAAAATTTAGAGCATTCTTCCTCATCAACTAATTAGCATATCATAAATAAGTGCAATTGGAACCAAGCTTCTATTTGTTTTAGTCATATACCAGCATATACCATAGTTGAATTTGCAGACTAGAAGCAGTGCAAAAGGTGTTAAATGTGATAAGTACATTTTCTGTATTAAGTTTGTAGGGTTTGGTCATATCCAATAGAACAAACAAAACATTCATTCTGTTATTCAATTATATGATTTACAAAATTTATATGCTCATAACATATAGTGTATCCACTTTGACAAATGCATATTTTGTTACATAAATTTCTCTTCCATATACAAGGAACCTATTTCAATTTTCATGCTGTATGTGCAAGTAAAGGGATTCATTTAATAATAGATATGATAGATCCAAGTCAATTTTTTATATTTCAGTGATAAACACTAGGATTTGATATATATTTTTCCTTCTGTTTGTCAACAATCAAGGAACAATTAATAATTTACTGATAAATAATGTAGATATTAATTCATTATTGTATTCTTGTATTTATCATAAGTGGGGATTGTAAGTGAGTATAAAGAACTTGATAAGGACAATTTTGTGCTTTGGCAGCTTTTTTGTACAGTGTATTTATCTTCATTTTTCTACTTACCTTAATTCTGTAAATGTGTAGTTACATAAACATTTCAGTCATCTCAAGTAACTTACATGTAAAAGGATGAATCATTTGTAAACATTTTTCACTTTTTCTTTTTTTTTTTTTTTTTTGCGGTGATTAAAAAAAAATTGTTTGATCTGAGTCCCCCATAGTCCTAAAGGAGTGGGACAAAATTCAAAACACTTAAATATTGTCTTTTCTACTCCTATGCACATAGATATAGTATGCCAAATAATAATATGATTTTAGTAAATATCAAAACCAGTCCTTGTATCAAAACTATATAATATAATTCATATCCATAGATCCAGGATTTAGTCTGCAGTATCTCTCTATAAATTCAATCTTCTTCTCCAGAACATTCAAGCAACGGAACTGTTTCCAAGATTGATGTGCCCATTACCACTACCAATATATAACTTAATAATACACATATGATTGTTCAGTGATATAGGAGTGGGTAGCAAGTTAAACTACAAAACCTGCTTATATAAGTATATAAATGTACACTATTCCCCTGAAATTGTTTAAGAATGTTGATGTCACAGATTTTGACCTCATCAAATTAGATATGTTTATCAAAGGGTTGGGTAACTTGCCAATTATGTACATTTTGAAAGTCTAAATCTATGAATTTAAACATTTTGTTATCTACAGCAATACATGACAAATTAACAGTTCAAAAGTTCACCTTTAAACATAGAAGTACATAGAAGTACATGACATTATTTGTATAGTTGTTCATGTTGATATGAACTAAATTTTGATTATACAATGAAAGAGCATAATTTGCATAAGTTTGAGGATGCGGATGAATAGAAATATGCTAAGATAAAAAAAAACTGATGGACTCAGTGGATTGACAATTACAAATATATGTAAATGAACCATCATTTGTTTGTGAGGGTACATTAATCATTCTTTTGGTTTTCATTGTTATTCAGTTAAACAGTGTGTGATATCATTGTTTCAGGCAGCCCAGAAAATAGCCCCTTTGTCAAATAATTTAGTGCAGAGTTTGGAGAGGATTGTAGGTAAAAGCAACGTATCAGAGGCTAATGCTGTGCGGGAGCAGCATGGAAGAGATGAGTCATATCATACGTATGTATATAAAAATAAAAGTTTTACACTGTCATTTATTGTATCAATATACAATGTACATATACATCTCACTAGTGTTATACAGGTAATTCTTTTTTAGAGGTGAACTTTTCAGCTTACTAGAAGGTACTATTAGATCCACCTTTTCTAATAGTCTTAGTACCCACAATCAACTGTTTGACCCTTGGCTCTCAGGATGAGGACATTTTAAAAAATCTCTTAATTTGGAATATACTTGTAGGAGGAGAAGCTATTACAAGACATTTAAATAATGAACAAAATGAACAGAATTCCTGATTCAAATTACTTTAAACTTGGATATTTACAAGAAAAAAAAACAGTAGCAGAAATCATATTCTACATACCTGTACATGTACAATGTATTGTTAATGCTTAATAAAATATACATGTATACAAAGACCTAAGTACATAGAGGGGGAAGCATTCCCTCTCAAAAACTTAGTGTAAAATAGCCCCCCCCCTGAAATTTCCATATTCATAATCGCTGAATTCCCTTTGTTTTATGAAAAAAGAGAGTAATTAGTAAGAAAAAAAAATATTTAAAAAACACCCACAAAACACACACATAAAGTTACACATTTACAATGATGAATTTCTTCTTTTATGAAAAAAGAGAGTAATTACTAATATTAGTAAGAAAAAAAATTTTAAACACACACACACACCAATTTATAGGACAAAAATGCAAAAAGTAACTATTGTAAGGGCTTCATCTATACTTTAATAGACAAATGAAACATAAATCTTTTTAAGCTTGCTGTTGTTTATTATTCTCTCCAAGTTAGGATTGTTCATTTGTTACATCAAACATCAAATAAACATAAACAACACAAAAACCCAGTGTCAGCATGTTTATTCATCACAGAAAAACATAATAGGGCTGGACATCAGGGAAAGCAAAGACACAAAAATAACCTTTAATGCTTTGTAACGAACATCACATTCATCGAACATTCCCCAGTTAAAGCTATTTATACTGAGTGAAAATGCAGTCATGCATAAAGTAACAAGTAAGTCTGTAAATATGAAAATTTATTGAAACTACCAACTAACCTAACATGAAGAAATAAATTTCTTTAAGATGTGCTCCACCACAAGTTGTGGCCTTTGCTGAGAGTGTGGAACAGGTGTCTGGTGTGGCCAGGTTGTGTAACGAACACAAAGTCCCCCTGATTCCATTTGGAAGTGGCACAGGCCTGGAAGGAGGAATCAATGCAATAAAGGTGGGATTCATTCCATTAGACTTCTGTCAAGGCTGAATAGTGCCTTTAAATTGGAGGATTTCTTGATAGAAAAGAAACTTTAAAGCTGAAACAGTGGTGTGTTTTTTCTTCATCATGAAATGAACTTTTAATTATGTAAGTGAAAGGCTAATTGTGTGCATTTGTGCAAGTATGTAATTGTCATGCTGAAAAACTTTGCAAGGTGTTAACTAATGTCTGTAACTTCAATGAACAAACAAGAAATTCTGTTTTTAGGGTGGGGTATGCCTGGACGTAATGAAGATGGACAAGGTCCTAGCAGTACACCCCGAGGACTTTGACTGTCAAGTGGAGAGTGGGGTCACCAGAAAAGCCCTCAATAATTACATTAGAGACACAGGACTATGGTTTCCTATTGGTAATGACATCAATCAGAACTTTGTATACATAGCATAATTATCAAACATGTTGCTGTTGGAGATAAATTGCAGTTAATGCAGTGGGCATGTTTCCCACAAATTTACATTCTGTTTTGTCCATGTTTTCTGAGAGGTTTGATTTTCTCTAACAGACCCTGGTGCAGATGCTTCTGTATGTGGAATGTGCTCCACTAGTGCGTCAGGAACAAACGCAGTCCGATACGGAACAATGAGAGAAAATGTCTTAAACATGGAAGTGGTACTAGCAGATGGCAGGATAATCCATACTGCGGGAGAGGGCAGACGTACCAAGTAAGGATTCAATCTCAAATGCCAGGTAGAAGAAGAATAAATTTATAGAATTTTGTATACTGACAGGAAAAAAAAATTGTTTTTATTACATTCAGTATTATTATCACCCAGATAAGAGAGTTAACTAATTCATTTGTTTCAAAATAGATTACATATGCAGGGTGATAACTTGTGATGTTTCCCCTGTAAATTCCTGTTAAAGGGAGGTAACTCTATTGTGAGATCATTTTAGAGATTTGATACACAAATGTGATATTCTACAAAGTCAATTATTAGCGACCTTTCACATAAATTGTATCATTAAGGGTACTTTTATCTTCATATAAAATGCAGTCTGTGCTGTTTGGAATAAGATTTTTTTCTAGTTAATGTCCTCACCACGTGCACATACAACCCTTCAGTCTTTCATGTTTAATATTGGCTTTAAACAGCATGTTTTTTCTTCTTCAGAAAAACATCAGCAGGATACAACTTGACCAATCTTTTTGTTGGATCAGAGGGAACTCTGGGAATTATCACCAAGGCAACACTTAGACTTCATGGAATACCAGAGTCAGTAAGTATTGTGGTGTTTTATTAATCTTAAGCCTAAGGAGGCAATGTTTCTGTATTTTTAATCAATGGAAGAAATCATTATGAATCACTCAGCATTTGTTCATGTCCAAGAAAAAGTAGAATTTGTTAATGTACAAGTGAAAAAAGATATGATTTTTCAATATACAATTGTAAATCAATGTGAATTTGTTGATTAAAGTAGATTTGATTTTGTTAATGTAAAAATGAAAGTAGATATGAATTTATTAGGTTAATGTTGGCAAGCATTCTTACTGCAATTCGGTCATCTTGAGACTCCCTGCAAGTTCCATTTAGATCCCCTTTTTGGCTATATTAACCTCAGGGAGCATCTAAACCAAACTAGGCAGATGCAATGCATCTGTTGATACTATGACCCTAAGATTTCCAGAGATATTGATTGTTTTAATACATACAGTGTATTATTTCAGTCGGTGTCTGCCGTGTGTTCCTTTGAGAGTATTCAGTCTGCTGTGGATACTACTGTACAGGTTTTACAGTGTGGAATCCCCATGGCGAGAATTGGTACTGATTTCATATTATTTAATTTGTTTAATTTAAATTTAAACAGGCATACATTGAGGAGTAATCTCCCTTTATTTTTATCACAGTTTGTAATGCCAGTTTTTAGAGTTGCTGAAAGTACATGTGTAAGAATTGTTTGGATGGATAAATCCCAGTGGAGCCTATAATTTTAAATAAGGCTTGCCAAGTATTTTTCTCTCTTAAATTTTATGATTTTTTTTTAACTCAGTCATTTTAGTCACCATTCTCACAATGTCAGGGGTCCTGAGTCCACAAATGGTCATGGGACCCCTGACAAACTTCATTCAATATTTTACAGGCTTGCTTCTCTCATTGAAAAGCACCAATCAAATTGGGGCTTTCATAAGTTGATATAATAGGTAAACAGAAAGTGAACAGATGACACAAGTGTTACAAGTTGGCTTAATGTGATTGGTCAAGAGATAAGAAAAAAATTAAGATTTGTAATATCCTCAAAAGACATAGCTGAGATCAGCCTGTAAAATATCCAAAAAAAAAGTTTGTCAGGGGTCCCACAACCCCTGGCATTGTGAGGATGTTTAATGACCTGAAGCAAAAAATATAAACTTTTTAAAAAAAAAAAGTATATTAAACATGTACAGGTACTTTAAATCTGAATCTGCATTTGAAAGATATAATCATGATTTAGGTACATTATGAATACCATAATTATACCCCTGCTCCGATGGAGAGGGGTATACTGTTTTACCCTTGTGTGTCTTTGTGTCTGTGTGTCTGTCCGTAGCAATTTTTCCTCACAGTTTTCTCAGCAACTACTCATTACAGATGATTGAAATTTTAGCATACTCTTTGTTAAGGCATGCCGTATGGTGGAATTCATTTTTGTTTGAATCCAATGTCAACTTCCTGTTTATCCGTGTGTCTGTCCGTACCAAATTTCTGTCACAGTTTTCTCAGCAAATGCTCAGCGCAGATGCTTGAAATTTTAGCACACTCTTTGTTTAGGTATGCCAAATGGTGGGATTCATTTTTGTATGAATTTGATGTCAACATGAGAGTGTATATTCACATCAGAGCGGGGGTATTACTAGTGAGCATTGGCTCAAAGACTTCTTATTTTTAAGTGATAAATGTATATGTAAAAGTTTACATTTTTAGTTTAAGATATGGAAATTTCAAACTTTTAACTCATTTAGGATTCATCAAGTCCTACAGAAAGTATTAAATATGCCTCCTTTTGGAAATTTTTACCATTTAATGTTGAGATTGTATGATCTGCTTCAGAGTTCCTGGATGAAGTGTCTGTTGATGCTTGCAATAAATATGCCAAGATGGACATGAGAGTGGCACCATCACTATTTCTGGAATTTTCGGGAAGCCCCAAGTCTCTGGAAGAAAATGCTGAAATTGTTGGTAAGTAAGAGAGAATTTTCAATAATATTTTAAAAGTTTAAAAATTGGAGCTGCCATGTGGTGCATATATCCAATTAAACACAAAGATATTCTGTAACTTTTTAATTGTAGTATGATCTGACTTGTAATTGACTTGTCATTTTAAGGTGAGATTGTTAAGATGAATGGGGGATCTGACTTTAGATGGGCCACAGATGTTGATGAGAGGAACCGCCTATGGAAGACCAGACATGATATCTTGTATGCTTGTATGGCACTCAGGCCAGGGTGTAAGGTAATGAAAACTGTTGTATTTCATATCGGCCTTGTATTCAGTATCTCAAACATTGATATCTCAAATACCATGCACAGATATGTCAAAGCGAGTTGGAAGTCCCAACCACTTTTCCTTCATGTATTTCTCAACTTCAATACATATATGTTGAATCCTCAGATATCTAAACTTTTTTTTCTCTGCACCATCAAGTTTGAGATGAGGGTTGACTATATTTTTTCCTGTTTTCCCATTATTGCAGACTATAGTCTATTGGTTCCTTATTCTTAGAGGATATTACTGTAAATTTTAAATAAGTATTTGAAAAGTATGTAACATAAATGCAATCATGCACATTAATTAATTAAGGCATGTATTTCGATAATGGCCATCTAATATTTATTATTTAACATAACAAGTGTGTTGTTTTAATGATATCAAAGTTTCATATTTAAGAGTTCCATGCAGACTGTAAATCTCACAGAACTATTTGTGTATATAATAATGCATAGAATGTATAAAAAATATCTTTGATAAAAAAAGCAGGAAAATTTGTTCAAAATTGTAAACTATCACAAGCAAAGGTTTAAAAATGCTTCTACTTAAAAGTTTCACAAAGAGTTTCTTTGGTGATAATATACATGTATTTGAATTTAGGTGACAATGTTTGCTATATCAATCAAAAAATTTTAGATTCATTGACAGATTGTGTTCGTTATTGTAGCCTTACTCCACAGATGTCTGTGTTCCCGTGTCTAACCTACCACAGGTGGTGGTGGAGTCCAAGAAATACATTGATGAAGCAGGCATCATAGGTAAGTTTTAATTTTTTCCTTTCTCTCTCTTTGCAAAAGAGTTGACTGTTAAAAAAAGGCATACTGACATATTTATCATACATATGCAGAATATGAAAACCTGTAAATGGTAATCATGGTCATTGAAAAGCTATCATGGATTTTAATATCACTTTTATTTTGAATGATTATTCTTTTCAATAGCAATTGGGAAAAGTTTTTTAAATATTTGCAACATGTTTTATGACTGTTCATTATTATTCAAATACATGTATTGCTGTTTTGGGTCAGTACAATGATTTAGGTACCCAAGGAGTAAAATAATCACTAAGCCCAAAGGGTGATGTAAATATTGTACTTTGAGGGTTGCTTAATCATTTTATTGACAAAAAACCAGCAATAATTGTTTTATTATATAATTCAATAATGAGATAATACAAAACCTTGCCGCTTTTCTTGGTTGTTTACATCTGCTTAACTTCTTTCAAGATTGTAGTAGTTAGCCTATCTACTACCCGGTAGCTATAAGGCTAGATATCTAGGCTTTTGAATGCACTGTGTGAATAAATGCTTGATGTTCCTACATAGCGTGTAGGCTAGCATATTATTGAAGATCCTTGCTGTTCATAGAGCTATGTAGCTTCTACAATCTTGAACACACTGCCTGAAGTCCTAGCCATACAAAGTGAGAGACCCAAGATTTCGTTGGATGACAAAAATAAACGTAATCAATTGTTTCTGATCTATTTTTGATCCAATAAAGAAAAAAAATGGAGTGTTATTTTCACCCGAAAGTGCAGGTGCAGGTGAAAACAACTTTTTATGTCCTTGTAATCGAAGATTCGGGGGCATATAGTTTTTGCCCTGTCCGTCCGTCTGTCTAGCTGTCTGACTGTTTGTCCACAAAAACTTTAACCTTGCCCATAATTTTTGATTGGTTGGAGCTATGGCTGTCATATTTTACATGTGTATTCCTTGTGACAAGACCTTTCTTTGGGTACCATCATATTTGACCTTTTGACCTTGATCTTGGAGTTTGACCGACTTTTGCAAAATATTATTAGACTTTAACCTTGGCCATAACTTTTGAACACTTAGAGCTTAGGCTTTCAAACTTCACAAGTGTATTCCTTGTGAGAAGGTCTTCGTTTGGATACCAACATCTTTGACGCTTTGACCTTGACCTTGGAGTTTGACCTACTGTTGAAAAAACTTTAACCTTGGCTATAACTTTTGAAAATTTGAGCTAGATCTTTCATACTTTGCATGTTTACTTCTATTGACAAGAACTTTCTTTGCATACCAACAGCTTTGACCTTTTTGACCTTGACCTTGGAGTTTGACCTACTTCAATTTTGAAAAATGTTAAGCTTGGCCATAACTTTAGAACAGTTGGTGTTAGGGCTTTCATACTTCACATATGCATTCCTTGTGACAAGACCTTCCTTTAAATACCAACAATCTGACCCTTTGACCTTGACCTTGAAGTTTGACTTACTTTTGAAAAACTTTAACCTTGGTCATAACTTTTGAACAGTTGATGTTAGGGCTCTCATCCTTCACATGTATATTCCTTGTGACAAGACCTTCCTTTGGATACCAACAATTTTGGCATTGACCTTGACCTTGGAGTTTGGCTTTCTTTTAAAATTTTTAACATTGGCCATCACATTTGAACGTTTGGTTCTAGGGCTTTCACATTTTATGATCATGTGTATCACTTGTGACAAGAACTTCCCTTGGGCACCATTTTACCTTGACCTTGCCATTTTACTTACTTTAAAAAACTTTAACCTTCGCCATAACTTTTCAACAGTTTGTACTAGGGCTTTCATATTTCACAGGTATATTCCTCAAGACAAGACCTTTCCTTGGGTACCAACATTTTTGATTTCTTGACCTGGAGTTTGCATTTAAGAAACTTTAACCTTCGCCATAAGCTGCCATACGGGGGCATCAGTGTTTCACAAACACATTTTGTTTTGATTTGTCAAAGGTTTGATGACAGCATATCAGATAACTAGGATTCATTTGACATATGATAAAATTGTATAGGATATACATGTATATGTATTTTTTCCTGTATATTTTCTCACTGGTCAGAAAAAGATTCTTTTGCAGCCTTTGCAGGTATATGTGTTTTCCATTCATTATTCATTTGCCCTCCAAGCATTTATGGAATATGTTATGCATTGTTTTTAAGTTCTGGCAACATAAAAGTTATTAAGTTCTTATTTAGTTATACCAGACAGACTTCTTTTAGATTTAATTTATGGCCAACTCATTTATTTTTAGCTCTACTAGTCAGAGAAAGAACTAATGCATTGGTTAAAGTGGTTGTTGTTCATATGCCTTCATGTCTGTTACAATTTTCCAAAATGCTACTTCTCCTACAGTTTTGAAAAAAAAAAAAAACTTGGTACACAAATAGGTAACATCAAGGTACATAATTCTGTGCACCTTTGATTTTAATGAATGGTTATTCCATTATTACTAAAAAGGATATTTCTGTGGTTTTTTCCTCCTCAAAGCACTACCCCAACAGTTATGATAGATTTCAATAGAATTTTTTTTACACAATTCCAAAATACATAGTTCTGATTTTGATGAATGATGTTGCCATCCTTATCAATTTGGTAATTTGTGAAATTCTTTTGAAAATGCTACTCTTCCTACAGGTTAGTTGTGATTTCAATAAAACTTTGTGCAGATTTTGAAAACATCATAACACGTAACCCTGTAAATGTAAAACTTGTCAAAAAGTGATGCAACTTTTCTCTTCCACTATCGCAAGTACAAATCAGTAGAGCTACAGTCTCCTCAGAGACTTCAAGTTTTCATGAACATTAATGTGCAAGCTTTACCCCTCAGGTCCCATGGTAGGGCATGTTGGTGACGGAAACTTCCATGTCTTCTTCCCTGTTGATCAAAACAACCCAGATGAAGTGAAAATTGTCCATGACGTATCCGTTAAGATGGCATTGTAAGTATTCCTATTTGTCCTTCCAGGTGCCTATATACTGGGCCATGTGGGTGATGGGAATTTTCACATCTTATTTATTATGGACCATACAAATGAGAAAGAAGTTCAAACTGTGTTGGATATATCGCATCGAGTGGCAGTGTAAGTCCAATCCAAAATAAATCTATTCAGCAAAAAAGAAAATGCATAGTTGCCGACCCCAAGCTTTCCTTTTATTTACACACACTTTTGCAACAGTTTACCACTTGTTCTATTTATTAAGTAACACATACCCGGTACACATATTTCACAAGACTAACATGATGTATCTTATAAAAAATTTTAAAGCTCAGCATTCATTGGGATATATTATTCAAAACTTTGTGTACATTGCGAAAATGTTGTTAATTTGTGAAAGGTATAATTGAATGTCATATACTTGCTAATGTATGGAAGCACACTATGTTCATTTAAGATTAATCTGTTGAAAATTTTGATTGAATTGATTAAAAACAAATCTTCATAAACTGAAATTGAGATCAGTTGTTTTTGTTAAAATAAAATAGTAGATGATGAAACCTCAACAAGCATGTTTGTTGATTTAGCAGTGTAAATCAAAATAAGGGCACCCCAATGTGGAGCATTTTCTCACAAAGGAGTATACTGATTGCAATATGAATTATTACTTGAACACTCACCCACTCCCCCCCCCCCCCCCCCCCCCCCCACACACACACACAAGTGCATTACTACATCCCCTCCAACTCATTGCGAGAGGATAATTAAATCAGTCAAAAGTCCAAATAGCAATGACAGTGAGAGGGCGAACACGTCTAAAAAAGTAAAATCTGTCAGAAATTACAACCTGACATTATTAAACTCATGCTAATTTAAGTTGTAATGTTTACTGTTATGCATATGCATTGACAAACTGAGATTAGTAAAACATGGTCTTGTAGCTATAAAATTGAGAATATTGATCATGCAATACAGTTATAATTTACCTGAATTTTGAATGCTATGATTTTAATAGTACACTTTTTTTTAACAAAAAGCTTTGTTGTGTTACATTTTCTTATCTGTTAAAGGTTGGCAACTATGAAAATGATGTATTATTCAGTATCCAAATCAGAAATCCACTCCAAAAAGTAGCATGCAAAAAAAAATCTAATGCCTGCCTCTTGGTGAAAAAAAAGTGGGAAAAATCAAGATATTTCATGATAATTTTTTTTTCATTTTAATGTATTTATTTATCATTTTAAGGAAGTGGGTTATAAAATACTGCAAAATCATGTCATGTGGGGGTAATTAAATGCAATGTTTTCTGAAAGATATTCCCACTTTACAGTATCATACAATTGTACAGAGTTCAAAGAACGGTATTTTAATTAGAATCTAATTAATTCAACTAACATCAGAATCCTCAGCTAAAACTCCCCTTCATTTTGATTCCTGAACCCCTCCTAAAATGTGTACCACTTCCCTCCATATTACTTAGTGCCAGTAAATATCTCGGGTCACCTTTGTCATTCCATTCATACTAATAAAGTGAAAGTGTTTCTGATAAACATCTCTCCTCAGATGGTATATTAGAAATTCTTGCTGTTAGGAATGCATTGGTCTGAAATTTTATTTCTCTTATGAATTTTACCAAATGATTTTTATGATATCATTCCTATCATATGTAAATTTTTTGTTTGTGTTTATTGAGGTAAGTAAACAAGAATTAATTTTCATTTTGACAAATCAAATAGCTTTTCATATAAATTCCAAGATTGAGTATATAAGTGAATGTCCAGATTTAAATTGAAAGTGTACAGATTAAGGTCATCAAAACATTGAATATTGTTCATTGACCAAAAAAGGTATATACAGGGTGTTGTTCAATGTATTAGATTTAAAAAAAAATTATTGCAATTTTTAGTAATTATTCATAAAATAAAATTTCTGAGACCGGTTATAGACTTGCAGAGTCTATCATACTGCTGAAATATCTGTATGTGATGTACTCTGAGTCCAAAGTTATAATTCATGAAGTAATATGCTTACATACAAAAAAAGAAGAATTAAATAGAAAAAACTTTTTCTGGAGGAAAATTCTCTGTTTACCTGTTTGTGGCCAGTAGGAATGGCAAGCAGAGGGCTCAAAGAAGAGTCAGATCATATCCGTGGAAGCCACTTGTGCATGTTCAGGGTAATTCATTTGGGGGAGCTAACCCTGTTTTTTGAAACAAAACAATCCACTCTTTATGTGTGAAAAAACTTCTTTTTTAAAATATTAAAGAGAAAATTATCAGTTTAAATATTAGAGTGCCAGTCCTTTCAAATAACTTTCTTACTATATTCAGACTGGCCCAGGAGCTAGATGGCACCTGCACAGGTGAACATGGCATTGGAATAGGGAAGCGAGAGCTGCTGTTACGAGAAATCGGCGAGAATGGAATTCAGGTCATGCAGCAACTGAAGCAGACCCTGGATCCAAATGGAATCCTGAATCCAGGCAAAATCTTCTTCTAAAGAATCCATGATTTTTTTCTACTGTTACTGGTATATTTATTTTCAGTGATTAATTTGTTAAAAAGGCTATAAAAAATAATCTTGTTTTTGTATGTATGTAATTTTTTTTAAAGACATTTATGTAACCTTTTGACAATAATAGAATTGTATAAATTTAAATACTATGATTTTGGAGCTATTCTTAAAGTTAATTTTCAAAAATCTTTTTTTTAGATTATCAGATTTTTTTCAAGTCATACTGTAATATGCTTGGCACTGAATATAATCAAGTTAGTGTTAAAGGAAATGACATGTTGGTTTATCAGTTTGATGAATTGAGGGTACATAAATAGAATATATCAATATTTTAACCATTGTAATTGGGCATGAATGTAATGGTGCTATGTCAAATTGTGAGAACAATTTGAAATGATTTAAATCAAGATTCAAACTTTTTAAAAAAAAAAATTGCGTTTTTCAGAGTTGTATATGTAGCATATATATTTGTTTATGAATAAAAATTAATTACAGACAATTCATATTTATACGTATATATATATATTTAGAGAGAGAGAGAGAGAGAGAGATTTTTGCTTTTATAATGCATTGGCAAAATGCTTTTTTTGGCATTTTATTGCAAGTGGTATTTGATGCTGTAAATGCAAGCCAACTTTTTGAAATGAATATAAGATATTGCACAATACTGATATATTTGCCCAGTGTTTGAGATGCAATATTATAACTAATATAATTCCTGTATGTTAAGATGAAGAAAAAAATCATTATATTATATTTTTAAAATCTGTGATTGAAAAATATATAATTATATTAATTGTTGTATAATACATACATGTATGTAAATGTGTTATGTAATCAGATTTCAATAATGTTATTACATGTATGTTTTCTTTGTTGATTTTGTAAATTAAAGAAAAAATAAACTGGAAAATTAATTATTCCCCCATCTCTCGTCTGTCTATTGGATGGTGTTACAGGAATGAAGACTTCATTTGTTGACATTTTTATAAGGACATAGTCGTAAAATATAGAAGACAATCTGGTATTCTTTTCTGAAATTGTTTTTTCGTCATTATTACATAATCGTTATTTTAAAAAAACCTTTCAGAGGAAATAATTTAATCAAAACAAGGTCTTATTAAAGATTTTGTTTGTCTTGTCCAAAGAACGACTTCCTTGTTTGAGAGGGGTGCAGTAGTCAACAAAATATACACAGATACTATCCATTCAAGAAAAGTGTCAAGAATTTCTGTTTATAGAAATAACCGCAAATTCATGTCAAGCACAGTTCCACCCACCTTGAAATCGCTGTAGGAGAAAACGTGTCCCTGACGTCTCACTGATCAATTATCTACTTTAGGAACTGGGTTATTGGTAACGTAAACCCCACAGGAAGGTAAAGTTCCAAGTCACAGGCACCTGACATTTATAAAATATTTTTTCCTCATAAATAAAAACATCTCCATTCTATAATAATAATAATAATAATAATAAACGTTATTATTATAGTCTGAAGCTTTTATTTATGAAGAGAAATCTTTCGAACGTCAAGTACTCTTGGTCCAAGTATTTTTTTTTTAATTTTATTTTATTTTATTATTTTTTTTTTGTTGTTGTTGTTGACGAGGATTTAAAAAAAAACAACCCACTGCCTTTTTTTTTTTTTATCTTTTTGCCTTTGAATAATAATTTTTTTTACAATGAATAGCAAAGCAATAGAGGATGTTAGAATAAGGTAGTAATTTTTCCTACCGAAAATTTCAGCAGCTGTATTTTAGTGACTGTAATTTTCATGTCTTTCAGGTTCACCGCCCCTCTGTTTATTCATATAAAAGGAGATGGGCGAACATAGCGTGCAGAAAGCCTATAGCTTCAGAAATATAAAAATCATGTTCAGTTTGTGAATTTAATATTTAGAGTAAAGTTATCATTATTGAAATTTATGTAATTGTGATAAATAGAACTTTTCCGAGGACAATTTTCTCGGCAAAATTTATTCTTTTATTTAAAAAAATAATGTGGTATTCGTGTGGTTCGAACCCTAGCAATAAAAATCCTGAGAATCATTTTCTTTCGAGACTAGCACGCTAACCACTAGACTACACAAGACCTGACGAACATGTTTGTGATATGACCTTTGACTTAATGGACTTCAAGTATTTCTCGAAAAGATGCGAATGTTATGTCATAAAAGTATATTTTTAAGCTATAGTGGGTCATTGCTCCATATTTTTGGTAACCAAAAAATGTATATTTTTATGCAAACTTTGAGGATTAACTTTCAAAAAGGTGGAGCGAAGACCCACTCATATCGTGTTATAGTATGCGAAAATGACTCTTTTTTTGCCCGCTTTAGTGTGTGTCTAATATTTCACAGGCAAATAATTTCAATCTTTGAGGGATTTTTGCAAATTGTAGAGATTTTACATAAAGTATATTTTAATGTTAGACGAAATATCAAGGAAAATTTTGATATAATAGAAATTTAATTTTTCATCTTCATGTTTGTCACACTATAGGCTTATCGCTCGTCATGTTCACCCATCTCCTTTTCTGCTAAACCTAATTATTTTCCAAAAGCAATCCAATTCATGATTTAAATGCACATATTTTCAGCATACCTTGCGGGGCAAAATTTTACAGAAAAGTCCTTTTCACTCGAAAATTTTATAAAGGAACAATAGCCATTTATCGTAGTAAGAGTTCTCGCTCTTATCCGAGGGTCTACCTAGATTTGGGATCGTTTTTTAAGTTTCTGTACCTTTTGGAAACACCGGAAAGTTTGATCGTTAGCGTGGTCATGTTAACCACAATTTATGAGATTCAAGGCTTGCGTCCTGCATGCTTTTGTCCTTTGTTCCCTTATCTCCAAAATTGTATAATAAATTTGTGATCATATTTAGGGGAAAAATAATACTTTGTATACATACATAAATACTATTTAATAGCAAACGATTTGAATTTCATAGATTATTCAAAAGGAATAAAGACAAGATATTCATATTTTTAAAAATGATATACCTGTATATATAAAACTTGAATTGCAGCTTGGGAGGATTTTTCTTTTCTTCCTTTTCTTTAATTCAGATTTCTCATTATTGAAAAACTCGAAAATTTATATGCAATGACGCAAAATAGAGAGAGAGAGAGAGAGAGAGAGAGAGAGAGAGAGAAACACATAAGAATTACCTTAGTCATTTTACGTGAAAATTAATCAATATTGACTTTTATTAATATGGATATGGAAATAATGAAAATGCAATGGAAAATGCTAAGCAAGAAACAAAAAAAAAACAAACAAACACCCCCTCCCAATAAATATTTTTTTTTTTAAATCAAGAGGCTTATGAGTCGCTATGCACACCTGAATAACCTTGGTTCTGCTGTTCTTCAAAAGAAGTTCAAAAAGATCTTTCCCGTCTTTATTCCAATATAAATTTCCAAAAGCTACATAGATATTGTCAATGAGAAACTCAAGCTCATTTCAATATCAACCTCGGAGTACTTGTGTGTAGAATCAGAATGGTTTTAACAAAATGAATTTACAGATGATTAACACCACTTCCTGAATGTTGTACAGTACACCTGAAGTTTCTCCTTCACTGCTGTTACTATTTTTGCAAGGAGTCAAGAAAGGCTTGATAGAACATTTGCTAGATTCAGTTTGTTTGTAGGGGGTATTAAAAATATTAAAATCTGACATATGATTTTAAAACTATATGAGTATAAGCTGGATTACTACTTGCCTGCTTTGTTTTGTGTTGTTGCATTTTTATTTTATTACATTTTGTGTTGCCCTCAACGCAAAAATCAAATAACGCAAATTGTAATAATCAAAAAGTACATAATCTCGCCGCATAATGAAATAACGCAAAATGTAATGATCCTAAAAAGTCTGTTATTACATTTTGCGTTATTACAGTCTGCGTTTATTTCGACGCAAAATGTAATAACGAAAATGAAATAATACTAGTTTATTACATTTCGCGTTGTTATTACATTTCACGTTGTAACACAGCTGGGAGCAGTGCATATTGATCGTGAAATCTAAATGATATTCATATAGAAATAAATGAATAATATTAAGCTAATTCAGGAAATGTGTGTCTCCAGCATCCGAAAACAATTTGTTAGAAAATAAAAGTTTGTAACCTTGAACTTTGGCCCTTTCAACTAAAAATTGATAGGAGTTATGTTTTGGTTCTAGACAGTATTGAAGTGAATCTGGAAACCAATCCATACCATATCGTAAGAATTTTTTAGAGATCAAGTTAAGTTTTATCGCAAAAGCTTATAAAGAGACCTCAGCTTTCATCTGGAAACCATTTTACGCAATATATAAATTTTTGACCTTGGCCTTTGGCCTTCAAATCAATAAGTGTCTTTACGTCATAAGGAGTTACTTAACTTAACCTTCGTTGTTAAAGATAAAGGACTCTTAGAGATACCACCAGGAGACTAAAATGTACCATTCTGTGCTTTATATGTATATGTGACTTTGATCTTTCACCTCTGACCTAAATATAATTGAGTTCTTTCTTAGGTTAGAGAGACTGATCACTTGTAGTCACGTGTATACCGTCCTATGCAATATATACATTTCTGACCTTGGCCTCTTATCTTTTGACATCAAAATCCATAGAGGTCTTATTTAAGTCATAGAGAGCTAAGATATAAAGTTTAAAAGTTAAGAAGTTCTAGAGATTCCCTTACAAAGTCTGACTCGGTCATTATTTTGCAATCTTTGCTCGGAATGCATTTAAACTTTAACGTGGTTTTTGCCTGCGATGTTATGCCAGTTCGGCCCGTTACTTTGTAGCCCATGTTCATTCAAACGTCAGTAGAAGTTTCTTATGGGCCAAAATTAATGTGGCAAGCTTTGATTAAGGGCACAGACCAACGATCAGGAAAAAAGGACGTGTATGACTTAAAAAAAAGACTATTGTTTTGTTGACAAGAATGAAACATGGAGATAACAGTATTCAATCTCAAAGTCTATTAAAACAATACAAATCGGAAGCAGAGCAAACACGGACCTCCAAAAACATCAGAGGTGGGATTAGGTGCCATGGAGGAGTGAACAGCCCCTGCCGACCGGTCACACCCGCCGTGTGCTCCTTGTCATGACCGAGAAACAACGGAAAAATCCGTCGACAATTCAGTGTGTAAATAATGGCCTAATTCAACGTTACAATGATGATGCTTTAAATACAGAATAATCCTGGTTATCTTTCCTTTGGAGTCATTCATTCAGTTTAAACGTTCATATTCTATAAAACTAAAGGATTTCTTTCTGTCTTATGTAATCCATCAATGAAACAAATTATTGGGTCTTAATGGCTGCAATCCTAGAAATTCCTCTAAAGCACCTGAATGAATAGAAAATTGGAAATCACCAATTGTTAATTCCTTTATTGTTTGAACAGATTAGCGAAAATATGGCATACAATTAAAGACAAGCACACACTCATTCAATGATGAGATCACTACATTGATAAAAGGCTGCAGGAGCATTGGAGTTTTTAGTTTCGTAGATAACTTGCAAGACACTTTGGGCCGGAAGTCCTGTTGGCACGGTCACTTCCGTTGTGTAAACGTACAGTGATGGCTCACCATGATCACGGATGGTTGACAAAGTCTGCAAGTGTCCAGATTCGTCACCGATCTTTATCTTGAAATCCCCTGGTGTATGATTCCAGTGATCAAGATTTTTCTGGAAAGTGACCCTCAGCTTCTGGCCTGCGGTTACTTTCGTGCCAGTTGATCCTCTCGCTCTTCCCCCACAAGGTCCACTGAGGAGTAGGCAGTCTGTTGCACCAGCTTTGTCAATGCCATCCATGGTGCCCCGCTGTGGAGGGCTGAAAAGGCAGAGATGGCCGTAGGTAATGGCGAGGATGGTAGCAAAAACGGTAAACGACAGCATGGCTGATCAGAATTCTGGAGCGCGTGAGAAAATACGCGTGATAGACAAGAGATTTATGTAGTAAGGGAATTCTTATCAGAATAACGTGAAGGTTAAGTCCTGACCAAATTTTCTTTTCTCTTTCATAAGACTATGTACAGTTCAGGGACATTCACGTTAAATTGTCCTTGATGTTATATTCGAACGCCAAAATTTTAATTGAAATTGTTAGTGATGATACAATTTTTTTCGATTTAGTGCAACTATAAAAACACCAAATACTAATCAATGTATTGTTCGGTGGCACTAGTACTGACATATCATATACGTTACAGTACACTCCGCCATGTTATGGAACTCTTCGACGCAACGGCAATGACTCATTAGAATTTAAAAGCATCATTTGTAAGTTCACTATACTCAACGAGAAAGTTCACTATACACGCTACCATTAGGATACAATTAGTCAGATAACTGTCTATAATAATAATAATAATGATAATCACTTTCAAATTGTCATGTCGATTATTATGATATTCTTTTAAGAAATTTATATACAAAAGTTTGCAAATGTGTCTTGGTTGCCATGGTAACAGACAGAAAAGTTGAAAAAATTGAGATTTTAAGCTCCTTTGCATCTTTATTAAGCCTTAATAAAGACTAAGAAAAACAAACAAACCATTCTCACAAAAACATGACACCTTGTTGCCACTTGTGCTATAAAGAAACTATTTAGAATTTATCATTAAGTAAGTGGTAACCATGGGTACATTTGGAATACATTTTAGATGCTGAAAAATGCTGGAAAAATGCTCAATATTCACTTATGATAGATGTTACATGATCAAACTCAATCAACAACCAAAGAAAAACAATAAATATTTTTGACCTTAAGTAATTAGGCATTGGCAATATTATTCTATATAATAACTTTCATTGTTGCCATGGTAACACAGTGGAACCATGCAAAATCTGTTGGTAAGATTGGGTTAATGCTACTTTCTTGAGGAAAAACAATAAAATTCATGACTGGCACATATACATCCTTGGGACCTTGCAACACCGATAACATAAGAAAAATTGGGATTAATTGTTACTTTGCAATGTAACCATGGAAACAACATACCAGTTGTTTAAAGTGATATTTTTTGCTGCCTTAGGAATTTACTTACCTTTTAATCAAGAAATATATTATTTGACTCACCTTGAATAGTACTTATCTGGTAGAACTAAAGTTGAATATCATATATCGATAAAGTTTGTTGAAAAATACAACACTGTTGCTATGGTCACCAAGAAGGGAAAATGTTCGATTTTGTTAATTCTATATCAGTATTAAATCCTAGGTGCCAGCTTTTTGCATCCAGTTAGAGATTGGGTGGTAGTCAAAATTGAATGTCAGGTTAGTTGTTCATATATATCAATCATAAAAGTTTCGGGAATCTACATACAAGGGTACGTATCTAAGGAAACAAAATATTTTTCAGATTTTTATGCATATTTTTTCGGCTAATTTCCATAGCAACGCTCTATTTAAAGAGTTGAATTTGAATTTTTTGAAATGTGAAAATAAGGGTCACACCAACGCCTTTAAAAAATGATCCTCAGTTGTATAGAAATATGCTTTTTAAAAAAAATAGGATAAAATTTAAACACTAAGAGAGTAAATTTAAAATCCCTTTGTGGTATTAAAACTATGGCAACCATTGCCAACCTATAAGAAATATCATATTTCGTCCTTGGTATATGTTACAAGGATCTCTTGTCTATTATTTGCTTGCATTTCAACCTATAATAGTTTTTAAACTTAAGTGTGTGACTTTATAAAACTAAATGAACAAAGTTATTACTTTTGAATACTTTGTTTCCATAGTAACATATGTAATAGTTGATTTACCAAACATGTTTATCATGCATTTAAGACATCAGGCCTTCAACTTTCAGAAACAGTCATTGCCACTTGTTTGCTTTGCTGCAAACGTTAACTGTGGGACTCTGAACATGTTGAAGAATGCCATTTTTCAAATTTTTAGGACATGTTGCTATGGTAACCATGACACGTAGCAACCAATTTTTGCCTGATTTGAGTTTACGGTATCAAAGACTTTTATCATATATAGTTTGGAGAAATTCTGAGACTATGCGTGTCACAGCTCCTATATAAAAGTTAAAGTCATTACAGAGAATGGCTGTATAAAATGTTTATTTATAATGTATACATGCAAACATTTTAAGCAATTTATGATAGGATAGTCATCATTATTTTATTTGTGTGTAGAAAATGTCTTGAAGCTAGACGTTAATGTTGAATGCATTACTTGTAATTAATAATGTAAAAATGTTAAATGCGCATAAACTGCTATGGGGAGATGAATCATTATTTTTGCAGGAAAATGAAAAATATATTTGGTATTGTTCAAAGATTTATTCAGGATACTGTTCGTTTCAATTAACAATTATTTGTATTTACTACCTCTTTTGAAACTATTTTAAATATGGTTATCGTCGTCATTGTAATCCTCTCTATATCAATTGATATTCCTTAGCAATAATAGCTATTGTTTTTGTTCTTCTATGTTCATGTATATTATGTAAAATTGTAAATCTTTGTAAATGTTGTATGGCTTTAAGATTTTATGTATGGGAGAGGACTATCAAAGTTTTTGGAACTTGTGTCCAATTCCCTTTGATATATTGTCAATAAAATATGTTTATGATGAAATGAAATGAATTTAAGATCAAAGAATAAAGAAAAAAAAAAGAGATGAAAACGAGGTAGGATGTATATAGTTTTGGTTATAATAAAAATATTGTCTTTTACCTGTATCATCTGTTCTTAACGTGCAAAAGTCTATAAAAGTGTATAAAAAGAGACTGAACCATAAAGAATTGATGCGCATGATAAAATGCCTTGATACAACACCATTATAGTCTATTCCTAATAGTAGAAATGTACCTTTATCTTCTTAAGATTTACAATTTTTTGAGCTGTGACCTGTAGATTTGGAGCTGTTTATGGCTATAGATAGACAAAATAATCCAAGCTCTCCACTTGGACCTTTGAATGAATTGCATGTATTTCTATTCCCACAGAAAAAAACCAGCCCCCGGTCGGTCATGATATGATTTTGAAATGTGAAGATAAGGAACAATAATCATGCTCAAACGCCCAATTACACAATACCAATTGTAAGCAGAGCAAACACGGACCTCTGAAAACAGAGGTGCATGGAATCAGGTGCCATGGAGGAGTAAGCATCCCCTGTCAACCAGTCACAAACGCCGTGTGCTCTCTATCACGATCAGGCAGACGGAAATCTGAACTGTAGACAATTCAGTGTGAAAATAATGGCCTTTCAATTTGTATGAAAACGTCAGTCAACATTCGTTGTATTTGCAAACAAGGTCATTGTATTGACCATAGATTTGCGAAATGTTGACTTTAAACAAGATCGCTGATTCCCTTGTATCACCAACTAATTTGTGATAGCCGCTTCGTTTTAAAAATTGAGCGTACCTAGAATATGCTCTTGCATATCGAATCAACTGGGAGACATAAATCCCTTGTGCAATAGATAATGATATATTATTACATAAGTAAGGGGAGTTGATGAAAGATGAGTTGAAGTCATCAAGTTTATCATAAAGTTTAGTTGTTACTTTGCTATCGATGTCTTTTTCTAGTAAAACATCCAGATATGAAACAGATATGTCAGCCTCCTCTGTGGTGTCTTTTATTTCGACTTCAGCGATATATAGAATCAACGTATGAATGAAAACGGATATTGTTAATTGATAAAACATTGTCGATATATCTCTATGTTGAATTGAAGACCACAGCAAGAGACTTCTTTTCACATAGAAGATTTATCACTACATTAATTCTTGTACATACATATAAAATTATTCCCTCCACTACATACCTTTGGTTCATCTATTATTTCTTCGAAACGCAGGACAAAAAATAAGTTCCTATCTAAATATGTTAGAGTTTTTTTTTTCGTGATAAAAATATGATGTGATCAAATGACCGAGTAAAAAAAAGAAATAAAGTGACTGCGTAGAAAAAGAAATTGTTTAGTCAAGACTATAACTAGTTTGTATTAATTTCACCATTTAAAGTAGTGCACTATAATGAGTCATTCGCTGACAATATCTTGTAAGAAAGTATTTTATTTCATGAGATTCATTCAAATTGACTGTAGTGAATGACTAATGTACATATATTTACAATTGAGGTCACGCATCCTTCGCTCACAACACACATATCAGGACGGTTATGATTAATACATTGCTTCATTTAGTAAACAGTTCTGCTAAAACTCCACAAAGTGTATAATACATATTCACGACAAACGAAACTGCCCGGGCTAACTTTGCCAGGGTGGATAATGACCCACTGTAGAATCAGTGGGAGACAGGGTAATGGCTGCACCAATCGTGATGAAGAAGAACAGAGGCTTCCTGTCATGTGATTTGTCACGTGTTATGACATTGTGATACTGCATGATATCGAGGCTCGTCTGCAACACCAGTAGAAGTATCAACGTTGCGTATGCATCCTTCGAAATGGGATTCGTACTTCTGAAATGTAAAAGAAATGTACTTTAAATCGTTGTCATTAATTGCATGTTAAAGAACTGCGCATTAAGACAAGTTTCAATCATTATTTTTAGCACAGTTTGAAAAGTACCATTCTCTAGCTAATATTTGAATGCACTTAAGTCAGATATGTTTCATAAATACCAATAATGGTACAGAAACTGGCATAAAATCATTGATGCAAATTTAAGACACCGGTTAACCAAATTAAATGTTTTGAGTAGGCGAATGGTACCAGTGTTTAAGGGGACGATGTTCCATAGCCTGATTTCATAAGACGTATACTCAGTTAGAATTTAGTCCTTGTTTTAACTCTAGATTCATATGTCTTTGATGTGTATTTGTCATATTGGCAAACAGCTCTTGACATGTTTATAAAGGGCCTGGAATATGGTTGGTAATTGTTGCGATCCATAGTTTAAATTTCAACACAATGGCAAAGATGGGCGGTGTAGCGCTTCCCGTTTCGAAGTGTCAGTTAACAGTCCTTATTAATTAAAGGAGATGCAATACGTACATGTCTATTTTGTCCCTCTCATTACCAGAAGTATATGGCACACCCAAACTATATCCGTCCCATGCTTTTATTCCAATCTATTTCACGTGTCAAGGTTTTGATTTTGTGACAGATGGAAATTTGGAATTAAACCTCCCCCTTTTTAAATCGATTTAATTTCACTCTTTCAGCTGAAATGACATTTGTGGCATTTTACGCATTGACCAATATATACCCTCACGCTCCTAGCTCTTAAAAGTAGTTTAATTTTTTTTTGTCTCGGTTTGTGTAAATTTACCAATGATGCATTTTCTATTATTTGATTGCATCCTTCTTCGTTAAACTATCGTAGGTCCTTAGTTTAAAGAAATAGAGTTTACAGAATATGAACGACAGGATTTTAACTTTTCACGATCACCTGTGTAATTTGTATGAATGAAAAATTCAAACAAAGAATCAGCAGGTGCTTCGGAATTATGACCAATATGAAAACCACAGGCAGGAAACTAAATATACTTCTTGTTTGCAACTTTTTTCAAATGTTTTCAAATGTCTATTTGCACATGCGTCGAAACAAAAGCGAAGAGGACAATACGACGGTACTCCGCCTCGATGGTTTAATATACCCTCTATGAAAAACACCGAAACCCAAAAATTACAACGCCCCAAATCAATGTCCTTTTAATGAAAAGGATTCACGACCTCAAAGTTTACAGTGAGATTAACTGCTTTATCAATCTGAACCTTAGTATATGAAAGATATTCTATATTTCTCAATTTCCGTGACATGGTTCCACAAGTTTTCATTGACAAAAGAGTTATCGAAGATCAAATTCACGCTACGCCCCTTTTTGCAACCCTAGATCAAAACAGTTTTTTATGGTTCATTCTTCAAACATTTTTTTAAAGATATCGTTACACAACATGAAAATCAAACAAACAATCAATGAAAAGGAAAATTTACAAATCAGTATCAGTTTCTTTTGAAATCGATTTGATAAATAGATTGTGTGGAAAATGATTTATTTCATCTTTGGAAAAAATGAATGAACTCTTATTATGCTCAACTAAAATGAAATCTAATTACTTGTACTGACGTTATAGGCAAATTAATTCAATGATTCAAACGAAGCATTACTGTATGTACTTGGCTCCTAACATAAGCGAGTATTTTAGAAATAATTTTCAATAAACGCTTGGGTTTTAAATGATCGTAACAGTTAGAAATACCTGTAAAGGATTCGTGTGTTTCCGGTCCTCTGGTAGGAGTCCACCTAAAACAATGGACCGGAAGCCTTTGCACTCTACCCGGAAGTTTTGAAAGAAACGTTTTCCATCAATTAGCAATTTTCCTCGTGATCGAGATCTTTCAAATGAAATCTGAAATTTAGACATTGCTATCGGTATATTAAGTCAAAACTGTAATACAATGAAGGAGTTCAAAAAATGAAAATACAGTGTACATGTAGTTTAATTCCGTAGTTTTACCACTGTGTAAATGTATTTTGTATCCCACCTTATGAAATTTCCTATCGTTGGCAATTATTCTTGGCACTGTCAACATTGCGTTAAGGTGGCTACATTTGATGTGGTATCGAAAATAGCGGTCCACAATCTCCAAGGCAATGAACTCTGACTTATCAGGATGCTGGTGCTTTGACGCCATGTAAAACACGACCCCATTGGGCGAAGTTGCGTTCATCTCAAGTGAAAGTACATGTCTGTAAAAATAAAAGCAAGTCCATTAGCTCTGTTCTTTTATAAATCTTTATGGTGTTTTTATTGTTAGTATTGTTGATACTGTTAATTAGACGGGGTGGGGATGGGGTGGGGAGGCAGTTTCTGATTTTAGGTTGCAAACCATGCATTCTTCGAAGGGTCTTCAATACTTTTCATTTGCATAAACAATTATGATGCCTTTGTTTTGAAATGTCAAACCTAGCTTATTTTGAGAATTCTTCCAATATTCAAAATATTAAAGGTTGTAGCTTTTACCAAGTCTTGTCCTTTGTACTACTTCACTCGATAACGTAGTACAAGAGATCACGTGACGACTTCTTTTCCTGCGACAAATTGCTTATAGTAAGGTGCTCTGTCGTAAAATCATTTAATGGCATTGAAAATAATTGGTGCATTATGTACGAAAATAGACATTGTTCACTAGATGTAATATTTTATTATTTCTTTATGATAAATATATATTGAAAGGTTAATAAACCATTAAGTTAGATATGGAAGATTTCGACACTCGTAAATTGTATGTACTATTATAGAATCGCGGCAATTACCAGTTTATCTGTCTTTTCAATGAATATTTAATATCTCGCAATAATAGAAACAGGGGGTACGTAGTCATAGCCCACGAAGAGTCCCTTGACATGTTCTATCAAAAAGTGCAGTTTTCCTTCTATTAATGCCCCTATTTGTGTTCACCAGATAATCAAGGATAATTATAGGTGAAAAATTATCTTCTCAGTGTTGCGTTAAACCACAGCGAGCTGGCGGGTACTTCAAGATCACAAAACAGGAAATGAGGGTATGAGTAAACGTGAGTCATTGCAAACACAAGATGGTTTTTACCCGTTTCCAAAAGGCTTGTGTAGTCTGTGCAACCGGACAAAGCTTCTGGCGATTGGTTCAATGTAGATCCCCTCCGATGTCAAAACATCCATTTTTGACTGTAAATATATAATAATGAATGCATTTTTAATGGGAAAAAATATGTGTGTTTGAATTTGATCAGGGTTCTATTATAAGGATTTGAAGAAAGGAAATGAAATCTCGCGGTTTGGCCAGGTGTCACCTAACTGAAGCATTATTGCAAGAGCATGCGGAATACGTTATGTAGAGAAGTACAAGCACGCAGTGCACTGAATGAAAACGGCATAAAAGAACAGATGAGATTTTGAACAGAAAGTGACTTTGCATTAAACATTTTCAAATTTCCTCTGTTTAGTTAAACGGTTTTTTAAAAAATGCTTTTTTTTTAAACTTGACCTGAAGGGAAAAAATTAACAGCAAGTTAAAATAATTCAAAATAATCATTTTTGAAATACAGTAAAAACGAAGATAAATGAAAAGAATTTACATGTATATTTTTCTGCAATGTTTTTAAATCAGAAAAAAAGAGAAATTTCGCGGTTTGGTAAGGTGTCACCTAACTGAAACATTATTGCAAGAGCATGCGGAATACGTTATGTATAGTGAAGTACAAGCACGTAGTGCACTGAAATGAAAACGGCATAAAAGAACAGATGAGATTTTGAACAGAAAGTGACTTTGCATTAAATGGAATAACAAAATTTATAAGTCAAGGCTAATAGAAAGCCTTTCACACGCATCTAGATCCTATGAAAATTGTAGTGGTCACAATTGATTAGATAAACATGTTTTATAAAGAATTAAGAAAAAAAACCATTCATCTACAGTATTGCCACCAACAAAAGTTTTAGTTTCTGTCTCATTTCAATTTTATTTATACAGTGATTAGAACGTACAGTAGAGGCCTTTTTTATTGTATAGTCTGGGTCAAAGGCTAAAGTAAAGAATTCAGTTAATATAGTATTTTTAAAAGTCGTAACAAGTAGAAAATATACTAAAAATCAAAAACCCTATAAATCAAATAGAGTCTTGTATAAAATTATTTTCATGTCAAATTGAAAGCCACAAAATACCTATTCAATCTATTGAAATATCCTGTAACAGGCAATTAGCATATCAGCTATCAAAAGTCTACCCGAGACACTAGAGATAGATAAGGACTGAGACTACTACAAAAAGTTACAAAATATCAAGGACAGCCAAAGGTCCCTGATAAAATTGTTTCAGTTATTGGGATTTAAAACAATTTTCTAAAACCAGGCGCAAAGACAATAGCATTTTCCAATTGCCTCTTATTTAATAAAACGTTTTTTTTTAATGTTGTTGTTTTTTTTAAAATTGATCTTAAGAAGAAAAAAAACAGCAAGTTGAAATAATTCAAAAGAATCATTTTTGAAATACAGTAAAATCGAAGATAAATAAAAAGAATTGACATGTATATCTTTTTGCTGGTAAAAGATTGTATTCAATCAGAAAAAAAAAACTATACATAAAGTCGTCTCTTAAAAAAGCCGATTTTCATATTTTATGTAATAGTCGCACCTTATTTTTATCGAAACAAAATTGTAAACTCATCCTTGGGCCTGAGTTCTGGGGTTAATGAAATCAAACAGTTTGCCTGCTAGATGCTTAAAAGTAAAGAAATTGTGTAATTTCAATATAGGACAACTTATCGATATCCCCACTCTTGGACTTGAACCGTTGACCCAGGGGAAATGAATTTAACAGTTTTTGGTGAATGATTAATTACTCATTGTATTTAGACGAATAATATTTGCATGTTGGAGAAGATTTTCAAAATATGTCATGGATTAACAATATATGTCCAAATTATCCCCACCCAGGGACCTGAACTATGTACCCGGCGGTCATGCCTTTCTCGGCTTTGGTAGACGACTATACTGTAGATGTTAACTATAAGCATGCAAACAGTTTGACTGCTAAAGAAGATTTTTAAAGATATAATGTAATTTCAATATATGACCAACTATGTCCCAGTCTGGTGCCTGAGCCCAGGGAAAATGAATTTCAGCATTTCACAGTTTTAGGGGGTTCATAGCTAACAATATTCATACAAAACAGTTTGCCTGTTTAATGTCGTGGAGTAAAAAAGATTTTATAAAATATATTGCATTTTCAAAATATCACCAAGTTAGCCACACTATGGGACTTGAACCCAGGAGTAAAGAATTCACCGTTTTGGTAAAGAGGTCATTGCACATTTTAATCATACCAACAGTTTTTCCAGGAGAAAAGAAAAAAAATTCTCGAAGATTGCATTAATTTTGATGGTTTTGGCCAAACGTCCTAGACCTCGGAGGGTAGAGACCACAAATATCAATTTTTTGTTTCCATAGATGCTATATACAAATGCTGGTTGAAATTGGTTTAGCAGGGAAGCTGAAAATGCTCAAAACTTTACGACCGACGCACAACGCAAAACGAAGGACGAACACAGCGAAAGGTCACCGATGTGACTCGATCTAAATGCATTTCATTGAATCAGCCTACATCTTGTCAGCGTTATGAGAAAATGGACACAGAAAGAAAGCAATTACAAAGGAATAAAATCATACATGATCGAAACTTTGACGATTTTCTCCAAACACTTGCTTTTTAAGGGTACTTTCAAGGAACATTTGCAGAACATTTGAAGGCGTATATATGTACCGTTTTGATTACATTCAAAGTATTCTGCAAGTAATCTGTACAGAGAGAGAAAGGGTCCTGAATGACAATTTTGATGTTTTTGAAGTATAAATATCATTGAACAGAACAAGTTATCCACACCGCCAGCTGGAAATATTTTTTCGTGTGATCTTCGTGTTCAATTGGACATCTTCACATATTTTACCCTAATGTTAAATGATCTGGTTTTGATCTTCGAAGGGGGTCGTGTAATTACTGGCAATTCCCTCCTACTAAGTATTTTTCCTCGTCTTTCTTATTTCAATAAAGTACGTTTATTACTTGTAATCCCGATAAGTGATTGTTTATTTTCGTTCAATAGTGTGAAATATTTCAGTGTTTTATGTACAGCAAATGGCCTTTAATCTGTGTAAATTGTAATTGTGACTCAGCTAAATATCTCTGGATTGGTCAGTATAGTGTTGATGTTGACTTGTTTTCTATCAGGTCGTTGCGTGCATTATCCCGCGCTGGGGAAGCAGTTGACCATTTATGACTGGCCTATCGCCAGCATCCATTATAGTTTTCTAAAGCAAGAATGTGCAATTTTGATCTCCCCTGCGTATTCTCTGATAAATATTGGCATAATAGAATTATCTACACAAAAATACCACCTTTAAGATAGTTTAGTAAACATTTTCTTCTTTGGGGGATTTGCTAAAACAACACATGTAACTTGTGTTTGTATAGCAAAACATTATGGTCATTCATTTGTCACTCGTTCTTAAATCAAATGTCAACCCAAAAAAGTTTTGAGATAATCAATACCCTTACAGAGTTCGAAATGTTTTACATCAGTTGTTATGAAACTACGTCCTTTACTAATTTTATCCAATTCGCCAGTATCATCCTAATGGTGACTGATTTCTGCAAGTTATTTTACTACAGTGCAAACAATGTTAACATCAAATTTTAAAATATCATTTCCTTCAATATTAACAAAATTGATATGCGTCCCTTGGTAGTAGGTGGTCGGCTGAAAATCGCTGGGGTTAAATATATAATAAGTTGTGGGATATCGTTAAAAACAGTGTCAGAAATACTACAGAAGGGATACTGAAGATATAGATACCATGTAAGAAATCCGAAAGAAATTAAGTAAGTGGTCAAAAACTTATTTTTCATTTGGTAAACGCAATTAATATAAACATAATCCATACTTACTAAGACACAATTGTTTACTTAACTATGATCTACGTACATAAACGCAATATTATCGATAGACAAAATTCAGTTGTATGTCGATGAAAATAATGTTTAAATATACGAAAGTTCACATTAATATTATCATCTTACACATTGACAAGTTAACTTCCAACATGCAGTTAAAATGCAAAATATGACTTCGCAATTTTATGCTGCGAATGGAGTTTTCTTTCATGTCGATATAGATCGAAGTTTCATTTTGACATAATGATCTTGGATGTCAACATAATCGTATAAAAATAACTTGCAAATTTGGAGCCGAAATATGCCACTATTGATTAATGATATATTTATTTCTCGATAATTATTAAAACCCATATTAAGGACTAAATTATAGATTTTCATTGGGTACACTGAAATGTTCTTGAGGAAGGGGGGCAATTCATCTCTTCATTTTATTGTAATATAGAATGATTGAATGGAATTTCGAGAGGAGCTTTCTTCATTTATGATTAAAATTGTCGAGAAAAAAAATCATCATTTGTAATTCAACACAATTTTATTGCAACTTGTCTTAACGAGCAGGACTCCCACATGTTGAAGGAAATTGTAAAATGAATGATGAAAGAGTTATTTAAAAATTGTCAGGAAATGAGATCAATGACTACAGATAAATATATTCTTATGATCAACGATTTTTGTTTAAATTTATTGACAATAAAACTTAAAAAGCATGGTTAAAGGAATTTGTTTGATTTCGGAGAAAATTAATAAACCTACGTGGCACAGTGCGGACAAACTAATATTGCTCTCGACAACCTGGATGTGGAGCTTCTAAAAGTCGAGTCGTGTTTGTCTGAAGAGCATATGAAAGCAGGGGTGTTCTTGTTTGAGAAGAGCTTGAAAGTCGATTCATGCTTGTCTGAGAAGCTGTTTAAAGTCGAATCGTGCTTGTCTAAGAAATTTTAAAAAATCGAGCTATAAGCCGTGCTTTGAAGTCGAACGGTGCTTGTCTGCAAAGCTGTTGAAAGTCGAGTCGAGTTTGTATGAAAAGCTGTTGAAAGTCGAGCAGCGCTTGTCTGAAAAGCTATTAAAAGTCGAGCCGTGCTTTTCTGAAAAGCTATTGAAAGTCGAGCCGTGCTTTTCTGAAAAGCTGTTGAAAGTCGAGCCGTCCTTGTCTGAAAAGCGTTTGAAAGTCGAGAAGCGTTGGCGACAATTAATATCATATGTGCCTATTCCTCGAATTTTGACAAAATATATGTAAAATATTCAAATTGAAAGATTTGATTCCTAGAACAAATGGAGGTAAATTTTCATGATTTCTTTTTTAAATTTCAATGCATTTATACAATTTACCATTTATACACAAATGTATTAATCCAATGCCGTATTGTCAACTAATATGTACACTACAGGAAGTCATATATTCTGTCAATCATATCATCGCTGTACTTTCAATTCTTATAATTATTTTTACATTTCCTTTATAAGTGCAGTAAAAGTTCATTCACATTTAATGTTAATGAAAGAAATATACGTATGCATAGTGTTCTTTTTCTGTCTTTTTTGTTTGTTTGTTTGTTTTGTTGTTGTTTTATTTTGTTTTTGTTTTTGGCTCAGTGTATCATACATCTGAGATTTTGCCACTTTTCCTTCTTGGTTGATATATGTATTTTCTCTATTTCCCGAATATAATACCGGAATTGATCAGTGTATTTAATTTTTTGTGTATTTTATTCAAATTCTGCTGCCTTCCGTAAGAAGTTTAAAAGTTTTAATTTTATTTAAATTTCCTGACGTCACTGACTTTTCAGTATTTATTAGATTAGAGGTAGTATTTTAAATTGATTCAATTTCATATACAACAAGGTGTTCTAATCCGAAGTTCAAAGATAAAATCTTGACTGAACATTTAACTTTAGAAACCTATTAAATTCTATTTTATTATGCACACACGCGTTTACTTCAGAAATAAAATGGTTTTAAATTTTTTTTAAATAAGAATAATAATAAACATAGGTAATCAAAGATTACGAAGCTCACCTCGACGAATGTTATCTACAAGTAAGGCAAATTTCACATCATATTTTTTTTCTAGTTAGGGTACATCCCAAGATCAATATCCACGCAAGTTTGATTTAATTATAGACCTGCTCAAAAAACTTTTGACCTGTTAAGTAATCAAGAAAATTTTGGTCAGTTCCAACATCCAAACCAAGTCTGGGAGTTTTCATCCTTAGATGCACCATCTATGCAAGTTTAATCATAACAGGCCATAATATTATATAGCTACTCCAAAAAAATTACCCTGGTCACTCATCTGGAAAATGTACGTCAGATTCAGAATCCAAGGCAAGTCTGGAAGTGTCCATCCCTAGATACATCACCCATGCTAATTTGGTTAAAATATGGCTAAAATTCACTCATGTGGAAAATCTAGGTCAGATCCAGCATCCGAAGCAAGTGTGGTAGTGTCCATCCCTGGATGCATCATCCATGCAAGTTTGGTCCGGGTAGGGCTTATAGTTACTTGGGAATGGACCTGCTCTTTAAATTTAACCTGGTCACTCATCTGGAAAATCTAGGTCAGATCCAGCATCCGAAGCAAGTGTGGTAGTGTCCATCCCTAGATGCATCATCCATGCAAGTTTGGTCCAGGTAGGGCTTATAGTTACTTGGGAATGGACCTGCTCCTAAAACTTTAACCTGGTCACTCATCCGGAAAATCTAGGTCAGATCCAGCATCCGAAGTAAGTGTGGTAGTGTCCATCCCTAGATGCATCATCCATGCAATTTTGGTCAAGGTAGAGCTTATAGTTTCTTGGGAATGGACCTGCTCCTAAAACTTTAACCTGGTCACTCATCCGGAAAATCTAGGTCAGATCCAGCATCCGAAGCAAGTGTGGTAGTGTCCATCCCTAGATGCATCATCCATGCAAGTTTGGTCAAGGTAGGGCTTATAGTTACTTGGGAATGGACCTGCTCCTAAAACTTTAACCTGGTCACTCATCCGGAAAATCTAGGTCAGATCCAGCATCCGAAGCAAGTGTGGCCATGTCCATCCCTAGATGCATCATCCATGCAAGTTTGGTCCAGGTAGGGCTTTTAGTTACTTGGGAATGGACCTGCTCCTAAAATTTAACCTGGTCACTCATCTGGAAAATCTAGGTCAGATCCAGCATCCGAAGCAAGTGTGGTAGTGTCCATCCCTAGATGCATCATCCATGCAAGTTTGGTCCAGGTAGGGCTTATAGTTACTTGGGAATGGACCTGCTCCTAAAACTTTAACCTGGTCACTCATCCGGAAAATCTAGGTCAGATCCAGCATCCGAAGTTAGAGTGGTAGTGTCCATCCCTAGATGCATCATCCATGCAAGTTTGGTCAAGGTAGAGCTTATAGTTTCTTGGGAATGGACCTGCTCCTAAAACTTTAACCTGGTCACTCATCCGGAAAATCTAGGTCAGATCCAGCATCCGAAGCAAGTGTGGTAGTGTCCATCCCTAGATGCATCATCCATGCAAGTTTGGTCCAGGTAGGGCTTATAGTTACTTGGGAATGGACCTGCTCCTAAAACTTTAACCTGGTCACTCATCCGGAAAATCTAGGTCAGATCCAGCATCCGAAGTAAGTGTGGTAGTGTCCATCCCTAGATGCATCATCTATGCAAGTTTGATCCAGGTAGGGCTTATAGTTACTTGGGAATGGACCTGCTCCTAAAACTTTAACCTGGTCACTCATCTGGAAAATCTAGGTCAGATCCAGCATCCGAAGCAAGTTTGGTAGTGTCCATCCCTAGATGCATCATCCATGCAAGTTTGGTCCAGGTAGGGCTTATAGTTACTTGGGAATGGGACTTGCTCCTAAAACTTTAACCTGGGACGCCGACGCTAACGCCGACGCCGACACCGACGCCGACGCCGACGCCGGGGGTATAGCATAAGCTCATCTCGACTTCGTCGAGGTGAGCTAAAAAAGGAACAAAATTAATAAAAACTTATTCCAAAAATATTTTGCTACTTTAATTTTGGGGAAGTGATGCAACATTAAAATATATGTAAACCTGCCAATTAGACGAAGAGTAAATTAACATCATCCATTTAACATACGCTCGAACATAAAAAAAAAAACAAAGCAAAAAACAAATAATCAAAACAAAACATACCAAACAAAAAAAACAAAAAAACAACAACAACAACAACAACAAAAAAAAAACAAAAAAAAAAAAAAAACAACAAACAAACAAAACAAAACAAAAAACATAGCTTATTATGTCTACATATGTATGCTCATTTTTGTTACTGAATCTCACAAAATCGATTTGCAGTTGTTAATTAAATCAACTTACCGAACATAGTCCAAAAGTTGTGTATCCTTCTTGCCCATGGGTGAGGCAAACAATTAGAAAAGTTAGAAACAGGGAGAATTCACGTGCAGTCCCCTCCATAAATGCAAGCATGCTCATTGTCACAATGTGTACTTTAAACAAGCGATCCTCTACGATATTAAAGCTGTGTAGGTTGTCTTTTTCCCTTGGCAGATTTAACTTAAATAGGACATGAGCGTACTATATACACTTCTGAGCGCAATGATTTCAAGTGATTTACATATTTATGAATGAATGAACTTTCGCAGTCGTCCGTGATCAAAAATGCGTAGTTAGTTACTCCAAAATTTCGGAAAATAAACTTGCGGTTTTTATCACCTGGAATGGGTACATGTATTGATTTAACATTAAATAAATATTAAATTGGCGCTTTTGAGAAAACGCATCCGCATACCATATGAACCAAGCGTTGTGCTGGATTTGTTCGTTAAAAAGAAAAATGTTACGTGAAAAATGTTTAACCTCCACGATAAAGCTCGCGCCGATAAGCCTTGAAATTTATAATATTTTTTGAAAAAAATACCTGAGTGTTTATATTAAGGGAAAAGTACCTTGGGATCATATTTTGACGCAAAGTATTTTAGAATAACTGGGTTTTAGATCATGTTTGACCACAACATTTACAAAAAAACCGGGACTTGTAACTATTAACTAATTCGTTTAGCTTTAACTGATACACTTTCACAATGAAGTACTTATCTATTCGTAAAGTTAGCCATTGTCAAAAAGCACACACAATAGCTTATTAAACTTAAACCTATAACGCCTTGGTCAGTCAACCTAACCGACACAACAATTAGCTGATAATGCACCTCACTGCCTTAACTCACTTTATTACAATTAATGACTCGACTCGCTCAGTCCTTAATTACTGCCATTGCTTCAATTAATCTCTGTCAGTATTATTTTTGAGTAAAGCTTAAATAAAGAGGCCTTTGACATATAATTCTTCGAGGTCTGGATTTTTAAAAATCTCAACTGTCATTTCTCTGTTACTAACGTGTCGTGATGTGGGCGAATACTTGAAAGTGAATCATTTTTCCGTCCTAAATTTAACTTTTTTTTGGATTTTAACAACCCAAACATGTCAAAGGTTATCTGTAAAAAAAAAATGCACGAGTTCTGCATATTTGCTAAACGTGCACACTGCAGTACAACTCCTTTTAAAATAAAAACACGGGGGGGGGGGGGGGTCAAAATGATATACAAACTTTAGTATCAAAAGGGTGATGATAATTCCTTCTTAACGTATTCAAAAGATTTTACATCTGAACATCATATTTCTTTTATAGGTTTAACAATTTTTTTAAAACTCATAATTTTTTTCATTTGACCACTTCAAAATGATATACAAAATTTAGTATCAAAAAGTTTATGATAATACCTTCTTAACAAACGTATTCAAAAGATTTTACATATGAACATCATATTTCTTTTATGGGTTTTTAAAACTCATAAATCTTAATCTTTTTAAAACTTCCTTCTCTATCAAACTGACACAGACATCAGTTATATTGCTCAATCAATATCTGTAAATTCATCTGAGTGGGAGCCACAGTGACATATTTAAGGACATTTCTTGCAATCCACAAGGTTGATTTTTTAAATATAGAATTTTTACGCAATATTGACTCTTTATCCAAAGATAAAATAAAAAATCAACATAAAAAAAACCCTCAATGATAAGAACTTATCCCCGTAAAATTTGACAATTAAAACCAGTGATTATCAGGGGATCTATGCATCAATGAGGGATACTCCCTAGATTTCTATGAAATATAAATTTAGCTCAGTAGGAATTTTTAAGGTATTTCCAATACTGAACATTTTTACTCTAAATATGGTCTTTGTTTTTGATAGATGTTCTTTTTAACCAAGCCTTTATTGGTTAAAGTTAAAAATGATATTTTACTCTCTTCCCCAATAATCGATGATTCTGCAGTCACTTACTAACGATGAGTCTTGTTTATAAGAGTCATTACTTATCAATAATGAATAATAAAGATGAGATCACCCAAACACTCCAACTTCTCTCTGTTTTTAAATTAACTTCTTAAATTAAACATGGTTATCAAGGATATCAAAGGGACCAAGTGACCTTTTAAAATGACAAATCAAACAAAACACAATCAAGCCATAAAAATATTTTATTTGAAAGACAGTTAAAAATGTACATCATTCTTTTAGCTTAACTAACACATAATACTTCTCAATACAATAAAGAGCATTCATAATTTCATGACTCAGTTAAAAAGTCCACCGTTTCACTGAAAATCCTTATATTGCAATCAACACCCCATCATAAGAATGGGCAGTTAAATATAGCTACTCCTAAAGTTATTCTCTTTCAAGAAGTGAACAGACACAGCCTACATGGATGTAAGTTATGCTGTTCATTTCCAAAATGTAAGGACTTTTGTCTCAAAATTCAAATTCATCTGCATGTACTTTACTTTCCTTTAATTTAACAACAATAAAATTTGTATTTCATACAGGGAATAATTTCAGATAGTATTTAGGACATAAACATTGTAATATGGATCCAAGACCCCCATCCCTCCCACACTTTTCACAGAAATACATAACCAACTTTCACCTTTCTCTTTTTCCAAAAAACAAATTTTATGGTCCATATCTTAATTTTAACCTTTCTGTCATGCATCAGCCTTTAACTGTGTCCCTGACAAAACCACTTTTTCTCCTGGCTTGAAAGCAGGCATTCCCAGGTATGGACAACTGGCACATCTAAATGCATCTCCCAGATAACACTGCAATAGAGGAAAACCCTACTTGACATGGCATACCTGCAGTTGTATTTATAGAAGAGTGAGTCATATCACTTGACCTTGTCAATTGCATTAAGTGGATATCCATGCACATGAATGGAAACAGGAGAATTATAACTTTATTTCATTGAAGAACTCGGAATAAGTGCTACTTCTTTGGTGTAGTACATGTATTTTTAGCTAAAATGATGTGTGAAATATAACAAATATGTGCTCTTTATATTACCAAAATCATATATATTTTTACTTATTCAAATTTATTTTTAAATAAAAGAGATAAATTTCAATTCATCAAATAAAGAAAAGGAATTTATTTGTCCTTATTGTCAGCAGCAAATGAGATTGAAAGAACTTGAATCACCTGTAATCATATAAAACTGAACCCAACTTCAAAGTTTAAACATCTCTTACCATATAAAGGCTTATTGTTTACATGAAAAAATGTGCAAATTATTAAAGAATTTGACCTCACACATAGCCAATCCTGAAATATCTTAATCTATGCAGAAAACAAAAACAAAGAGAAACTGGAGACTAACAAAAACCTTCTAAATGTTTGACAGGTGGGTAGAACGTGATATTTATCAGATACTGTAAACTGAATTTTAAATTAACAAACCTTATAGAAAAGCCCATAACATTGTACTGTTCATTAAAATCATACACAGCAAGACCTTGTTATCTCGAACTCAATGAGACTGAGAAACAAGAGGCCTATGGGCCACAACACTCACCCGAGTTACCTTAACCCTGCTGTTCTTCAAAAGATTTTTAAAAAGATTTTTATATTCCCTTGAAATATTGTGACCCCATATTATGGCCCCATCCTAACTCTAAGGGGTCTCTGAATCCACACACCATGAGCATGCTTCAATATCAATATGAATAACATGGCCTTGCAGTTATGGAGAAAAAATTCTTTCTCTGTATACATGCATTTTGTAAAATTTGATCCTGATTTTAGCCAATTCTAACCTGGGGCAATAATTAAAAAAAATAAATTAAATTCACACAATATGGGAATGTTTGCAAAGTAATAGTTTTATTGTCTTAAGCAGAATTGTTTAAAATTTCTTGTATTATGAATTCCGTGAGTTGAGCAGTTTAGAATCTACACTACCTCAGGAAACCTTCACATAAGTTTCATCTTCTCTGGTCCAGTGGTTCTTGAAAAGATTTTTTTTATATATTTCAATGTAAAATTCTGATCCCAAATTGTAGCCCTACCTTTCCCCTGGGGGTCATAATTTGAACAATTGGAATCTACACTTCCTCAGGAAGTTTCCACATTAGTTTCACCTTTTTCTGGTCTAGATGTTCTTGAGAAGAAGATTTTTCTTACATACAAGAGCCATTCAAAAACTATGCAGATTCTGCTATTATTTATTTTTACTGACGTCAAATAACGATGAAATTTTACAGAAACATATTTCTTAATGATTTTAGTAAAATTTTGGAACAATTTTTTTGATAATAATTAATTTCTCTTTAAATACTGCTGTTTTCATATTGCCGTTGGTGGTGTAAAGAGCATGGCAAAAAATTTGAAAAACCATCTTATATATTGTTACATTATTATGACGTCGAGTAATTTGATGGAGCAGCGTACTTTTGTCAAATTATAAGTAGAATATGGAAAAGGCCAACAGAGACCCAAAATATTATACAGATGACTCTCGATCTCTCGAAGTTCAAGGGACTGTAAGAAAAGTTCGAGAGATTGGGGGGTTCCAGAGATGGAAAATGAATAAAATCCGGAATTTTCAGTTCTGATCATCGTTCTACTATTATACATACCGTAAGTAAATGTTGATAATGTCATTACACGTTTTCATTCGTATTTTACATGTAATTCACTTGATTTCAACTTCAATGATCATATTTTGAATAAATAAAATGATTATTTTAAGTTTCAATATTTATTTGTTCTCATTTCACGATTACAATAAACCTGAATAGCAATTGTCGATTTGGTTATCCCCCGGGCCTGATCAGGTCCTTCACAAGATTGCTCGTAATCGGTATTCAATTTTTGAGATAGGATTTCTTGTGCAATTTTGCCAAACTGGGTAGACTCTAATAATATTAAAGTTCAAAATCTATGGAAAATTACTGACACATCCCTAAATTATTTTCTCAAAATTATCGTGTCGTCCAGTCAAAATAAGTTGAAGCGATTTGTTTATAATTTACCAATCAACCAATTAATTATATCAACACTCGGATGACTCACAGTTGTAGTATCATCTATGTAAACACCCAATTAACGCGTCCATCCCAGCCCAGGCGGTTACTGTTATCCAAGTAAGTCCAAGCTGCATTAATTTTATGCTTGACTGACGTGTATACATGCGCAATCAAAACTTTGAGAGATAGAGAGTAAAAAACAATGAAATGTGTGTAACGGGACCCAGGTCTTGGTTCGAGAAATAGAGAACTTCGAGAGATCGGGAGTTCGAGAGATCATGAGTAAATTTGCTTAGTTATATAGAGGAAAAAAACAGGACCGGAGGTTCACTTTGAGAGATTGAGAACTTCGAGTGATAGGAGTTCGAGCCATCGAGAGTCACCTGTACTTGATGAAACATGTAGCAAACCAGTGATATGCCAGACATCTGTCTACAAAAAGCACAAGAAAATTTCAGAGGGTTGGACCTTAGTTAAAAACGTTTTGGGAGGGGTTGGAAGAAGATCATCGACAAAAACTTGATCTGGACTGTTACTGTTTTTAAGAGCAACTGAAGTCACAGAATACTTCAGAAGTAGTTGCAGTTTTAGAGTTTAAAACAAACAAGATTTAAAATACTTTACTAGTTTTATAGTTTCCAAGCTGGTCTAGAAATGATTTATAGAAGTTTATAATGTTAATAACCCTCTGCTGTGCCCCCCAACCCCTGGGGGTCATAATTTGAACAAACTTGATTCTAAAATATCTAAGGTTGCTTTTGTATAAATATGACTAATAATGGCTTAGTTGTTCTTGAGAAGAAGATTTTTAAAGATATTTCCTATGTAAAGTGTATGATCAGGTTCTTACAAGGGATACATAGGTATTCCTTTTACTCTGTCTGAGTTAATGATTGGAATGATTATTAAGACTGCTCTGTCTGAGGGTAAATCACACACTACTAAAATTTTTCTCTTATCTAGAGACACGGACTAAGTAAGGTACTACTTGCACCGTGTTTCTCCCCTAGGTTCCTATTGATAGATAGGAACTATGTGTCTCAATCATTATCAGACTTACTACACCCAGAAATTAATACCAATTCCCTAGGATACTTGCCACTGGTGCTTATAACTTTTATACTTTTATTTTGCACTTACCCTTCTATATTACTGATTCAACTGCCAACATCTTCAGCTAGCTTCTGAATGCCTGACATTCCCAAAGCTTTGCCTTACATACCCTTTGGCTAGTCCATTCCACTAATGTCAGGTCATTCCACTATTTGAAGTCTTCAATGTGTTTATGCAAATGCCCCTTCACCATTACACCTATATATTTCTATGTAAAACTCTGACCTACTGTTGTGGCCCCGCCTTACTCCTGGGGGTCATGATTTGAACAAACTTGAATCTACACTACCTGAGGATACTTCTTTATTAATGACTAATAATGGCTTAGCTGTTCTTGAGAAGAAGATTTTTAAAGACATTTGCTATACATTCCTATGTAAAACCTCGACCCCCTCTTGTGGCCCCACCCTACCCCTGGGGGCTATGAACAAATCTCAATCAAGAGTATGTAATAAAGCTTTCACATAAGTTCCATCTTTTCTTGCCCAGTGGTTCTTGAGAGGAAGATTTTTAAAATATGCCACCAAATATTCACAAATTCTTAATTATCTCCCCTTGAAAGAGGGCTTGGCACTTCCTGTGAACAAACTTAAATCCCCTTCACCCAAGGATGCTTTGTGGCAAGTTTGGTTGAAATTGGCCAAGTGGTTCTTGAGAAGAAGTTGAAAATGTGAAAATTTTACAGATGACGAATGACGGACGGATGCTGGACACTCTTTGATCAGAAAAGCTCACTTGAGCTCAGGTAAGCTAAAAACTAAACAAATATCATATCTTTTCAATTGTAGATGAGTCTGGGAAAAAATTACCCATTACTCAATATTTTTATATTAAAAGGGTTTGGTATGAGGTTTAGCACCTCTGGTTTTGAAGAAAGGTATGGCTTGATATTCAAAATAAATTACAGAATGCTGAGTATCACCTGCTATTACACATGTATCATTTATATATATTTTCCATTCTACAAGGATTGGTTAACCTGGGGGCAATGTCATTTGATCTGAATGGGAATCCCCGAAACAAATGCTGCTGTGTGTTTACAGCAAGAACCAGGTGCGAAAAGTGCACAGGTGTAAACCGTTCAATTAATTTTAAGTTACTTAATAATATAACATTTATCTGGTATAGATGATGAGGAATTTAAACAAATTCACAAATAGAATAGTTTGAAAAACTTCAGTCCTTCAGTCAGTAACAGCAGTCATGTATGGTTTTACTGGATGTCTGGTTTGAGTGCCTCAATGTCTTTCGTTTAGCCTCATACATAAAAATGTAGATTCTGGAACTCAGACTAACAATATTTTATTAATTAAATGTTTCTGTTTTTGTCTTATTTCATTTGCAGATTAAGAATCACTACATCTGTTTGCAAACCACTTTTCTGTCAAGACAAAAACTTTTTATGAGTTGTGACTCAATGAGACACACTGATATTTAACCAATACTTACACTTCCACAAGCTGAGGTAGCAGTCTTTTTCTTGCTTTTAGCCTCTGCCTCAAGTTCCTCAGATAATCCACAGGTACAGTTTTTACAGGCCTTCTTTTTCTTCGGACCATCACCACATGTTGCTAAAAGTAAAGAATTAATCCATGAAAATGACAAATAAAATAGTTTAACAAAACAAATTAGAGATGCATATTAACTGTAACAAAAATAAATTTCAATACAAAGTCTTTGTCACTGCAATATAATTTGATGACAAAGAGAATGAGTGCACCAATGTAATCTGAAGAGAACCTGTGACAGTAACAGAAAAATAGTCACCTCGGAGGGATGAAGGGTCAGGCTTTTTAAAGTCATCTTCATCTAAGAGGGCATCATCATCCACCAGTTCCACATCATCATCTAGCATGTCTGAGGCTGACAGGGACCACACCTTAGCCACATCTTCCTGTGATTTTTCTGCTGCTTGGAATTTAAAATACTGAATATTAGACTAGTGGCAAACATAAAAAAAATCAATTATCTTCAACACGAATATAAACTAGTGCTAATTGTAACGGGAACCGTTACAGATGTTCCCCAAACGGCTCCCCAATCCCTTATGATGCCTCATTCCCTACAAGCTTCAATAAATTAGACAATACTTTTGTAATATAGATGTACACTTTATTTTAAAGGGTATTTCATTGGAAAACTACTCCGATATAGCCATATGGGTATTAGCCAATCAAATTTCAGTGCATGGGCTTGCACATGTTTTCTATATTTTTCACATTAATTTTCTTATAGTGTCTCACAATACATACAGTTGTGTTAAATATTAAAGAATTTCATTGAAAAATAAGAGAGATGTAACCCTTTAAGTATTAGCCAATCAGAATTCAGCATACGCACATGCATGGCCTTGCATTCAATTTTGATAGTATCATAATGTAGGAGCTCTATGTGTCTATCCATGTCGTAAATTTCATCCTGTTTTGTTGAAAACCAAGGGAGTTATAGACATTTAAAGTTTCAACCAATCAGATTGCAACACACCTGCATGCGCGTGTTTTCAAGAAATTTCCGATATATCATGTTGTAGCACCTTATAATATATACTTATATTCTAAATTTCAAAGTATTTTGTCAAAAAACAAGGAAATTATTGAGATTTTTGTATCAGCCAATCAGAGAAGAGCGCACATGCATGCGCGTGAGTTCACGCTAGTTTGACCATGTTATCTTGTCTAGACTACTAATGTATCTTTATGTTTTGAGTTTCAAAGCGTTTCATCAAGAAATATAAAAGTTACGGCTTCATCAAGTATATCAGTTATTTCACTCATTGCACGCGCGCGCACGTGCATGCATGTGCGCGCAAAATGACCTTCGTTCCGAACACCTACACAACATGCCTATTAACCCTAAAAAGGTTTCATGTCAATCGGATGAGTGGTTCTATGAGAACACTCCCGGACAAAAAAGTACCGGAGAAGAAAGTAGAAAAAAAGAATAATAATAATAACTAGATGCATTTCTTGTTGCCAGGGCAACAAGTGGTCTTCCGACCGAACTTTTCACCAGATCGCTGTGCTACCTCACTTCATTTAATACTTTATTGAAGGTATTTATTGTTTGCGTTTATGTAACACAGTCTTTCAACATAGATCATGATTAATAAAGGATTTCTGTAGAATCTCTGTTAAAAAAGCTTTAAAAAATAAGCAAAAACTATCATACATGTCTTCACAGAGAGAAATATCATTTACAACTGAAAAAAGAGAGAAACAATCTCCCGCCCCAGCAGGATTCGAACCCGCAACAATACGAGAAAGTTTGGATCGGTCATATCTTTGCAATAAATGCATCAATCAAAATGATGACAACATACTTAGAACTCTAAGAAGACTCTCTATTAACCTTGTAAATCCCAGAGAAAAAATATTGAAAAACAAAAAAGTTACAAATTTAACATTTTTGAATTCACCTCCGTTTGTGACCGGAAGTATGAACGACGAAAAATTATTGTCGATCAACATATCTACATTTGATGCTCTATCACCTCAGGAAGTTTCCTATTCATATCTTATCATATATATCGGAAGACCTTAATAATAACTAGTAAACTAATTATCAGAGAACAATTAGAGGCCTTTCCACCTTTTTAAGTGTTTTCGTGTCATTTGGGCTATAAAAAAAAGAAAAATGCAAAAAAAAAAAAAAAAAAAAAAAAAAAAAAAAAATGAAAAAAAAAAAAAAAAAAAAAAAAAAAAAAAAAATGAAAAAAAAAAAAAAAAAAAAAAATTGCTCCTCCAGCTGGAATCGAACTCAAAACCCTTGGTTTGAAAGGCAGGTGCGCTAACCACTGCGCTACACATTCCGATAAAATTGGATAAGTTAATTGTTTAAGACTATAGAATTAATACAAGCGTATTTTTAGAATCGGTAGGGGAAGAAAGAAGTTCCGTAAAAGGAAATAGTTCCTGAACTTGCAAGCAGTATATAAAATAACAAGGGACGGGCTGCGTGAGAAAACCTTAACACTGTTCCCTAATGAAAATGTATTAATGGACTGTAGCCCGATTCATCGATATTATGAGCATGCTGAATTTTTTGTAAATAGCTTCGTTAAAAGCGTAAAGGATCGGGTTCGGATTTTAACATTTCTGACTGAATATCCTGAAATAAATATGAAACATTTAAATAAGCATTTCTTTGGGTTAGATTAAATATGTGTCGCACAAATCAAACTCCCAACATGCATTTTTAGAAGGGAAACACGACAATGAAAGCGAGAATTGTTTTTAATATACCGAAAATCGCTATTTCTGGAAACTGATTAATTCTAAATAAAAATCAAATAAATTCCAAATGTAAAAGAGAGAGAGAATGCTTGGTATTAAAATGTCCTATCATATCAGGAAAATCGAATGCTACTAACGACATCTGAAGAAATAGCCGATAAAAGGTTTAGATCATTTCTTCGTTCACCTGCACTTTAATTTCAAACACAACAGAACTTGTAGTTTTTGCCGTGAAACTTCATGACTTCTATAAACTTATAAGACTCACCGTAAAACTCTCAAGAAAGTTTCTCTGAGGTCTATACTACATTTGTACCAAATATGGTGTCGATCCGAGGTCTGGTTTGAATTTTACAGAAATATTCTACGTTGTTGTTGATGTGATTTTTTTTTAAGAAGGGGGGGGGGGATTAATTATTTATTTTATGCCTCTTTTAAACTAAGAATTATAACTACTTTCACATCTTTAAGCCTGATTGTGCCCTTTGGGTCAAGGTCAAAGGTCAAGGTCATTTAAAAAAAAAAACAACAACAAGGAAATCTTAACTTTCTATGTTTTTACCTGATACTGGAGCTGGATGCATGTCCTTACTTTTCATTTGACCCAATGTCAAAGTCAAAGGTCAAGGTCAAAGTTCAAGGTCATTTGGTGAATTGCTACATTTTACACATATATAAGGAATTATTTCTTATGTTTTTAATGACTTTGACCTTGACCTATATTTCAAGGTCAAAGTCAAATATGCCGACGCAGTTGGTCCCATGTCTCTAGGATACACCGTTTTCAAAAAAAGTTCATTAAGTGTAAGCAGCATAAACTTTCAGGGGCAGTAATTCATACAAGGGACCAAAGAATGCTTTTGCAATGATAGAATGAAGAGAGTACTAAATGAGTCGAAGACACTGATGAAGGCTTGGAATCTCTACGGAGGAGTAGCGATAACAAGGTTTTATTGCAAAAGGGGTGACAACTTTTGAATGGGTCAAGCTTTGGGGACAAGAATGAAATCCTTAAAATAGTTTTAGAAGGACATATTATAGATGCAAAGATATTCAGTATATGTCGAAAGGTTTTCTACAGAATCTGTGACAAAAAAGCTTTTAAAAATCAGCTAAAACTACCATACATGTTTTCAAAGAGAGAGAAGTCATTAGCAACTGAAAAAAAGAGAAAAACAAAGAAAAAAAAATTAACTGCCTCCAGCAGGATTCGAACCCCAGACAGTGGGACAAAGTTTGGATCGATCAATATCTTTGCAATTAATGCACGCATCAAAATATTGAATACATATTGAGAATTCTTTTAAGACACTCTATAAACCCTGTAAATCCTAAAGAAAAATATTGAAAAACAAAAAAGTAGAAAAATTGGACTTTTTGAATTCACTTCCGTTTGCGACCGGAAGTGCCGACGACGAAAAATAAAGGTCGTTCCCCATATTGGAATCTGATGTTCTATCTATTCATTGAGTTTCAATTTCATATCTTAAGCCGTTCTTGAGAAAAATTCTGGACAAAATGCCATTTAAAAAATACAAATTTCCCCATAAATCGTGAACGGAAGAGAATGTTGAAAAAATGAAAAACACGTCTGGAGATATTTACATGATGCATCTTCCCTGAGAAAATCTCTGAAATCTGCTAGCTCACAGCTGAGATATCGCCGTAACTATGAAAAAAAGAATAATAATAATAATAATAATAGAAAACAGACGGAAAACAATAAGGTCTTCCGAAGGAAGTCGGAAGACCTTAACTAGAAACTCATTGCGAGCAATGAGAGGTCTTCCGTCCGATTCTGAAAATAAAAACGAAAATTCAAGCTGAAAAAGTGATAAAAGAAATTCAGACATCTTGGGAGATTAAACCCTGGTCGTCAGCGTGAAAATCCAACGTGCTAACCATTAACCATTCACCTTTTTGCATCACTTCCTGTCACGATCGGAAGTAACGGCGATACAAGATTTTGTCACGATTCAAATAAACTGATGACTGACTATCAGTCCTGAAAGTTTTAGACTTCAGTCCTTTATTGTTGCCGAGCAATATTGTTAGAACAAATTCTAATTTTGAGGACAGGTAAACACGCGACCGGAAGTGAATTTTATAAAAATCTCTGACTTTTCTCTAGACATTTGCAGTATTTACAACATACATAAAATTATTTCAAGTACTTTATCGATAAGCAATATTTCCGAGAATGTTAAATATAAAAATAACGTAGTTTATCTCCTAAAACCGGAAGTTGACATCTTTCGAATCTGAGAAAAAGATGCAATAAAGTTATGCAATTTTTAATTAAAAAAAGAAAAGTTGAAATTTTCAATTTCTTTGATCACTTCCTGTGACGACCGGAAGTGACGGCTGACGCTCTGAACCCAAATGGTTTTGCCTACATCTTAAGGTCTGTTGCTCAAATAAGTTTGGTGTCTTAATCTCTCACCGTTTCCGAGATCTTGCTCAGACAACTTCTCATTTTGAGGACAGGAAAACACGCGACCGGAAGTGAATTTTACAAAGATATTTGAGGTTACTCTAGATATTTGCAGTCTAAATAACATATTTAAAATTCATTTCAAATACTTTATCTACAAAGGATATTAATGGGAAAGAAAAATACTCAAATTATGTAGTTTTTCTCTTATAACCGGAAGTTGTTTTTATTTCCGGTGGGACCAACATCTTTCGAATCTGAGAAAAAGATGCAATAAAGAGATGCAATTTTTAATTAAAAAAAGAAAAGTTGAAATTTCCGATTTCTTTGATCACTTCCTGTGACGACCGGAAGTGACGACTGACGCTCTGAACCCAAATGGTTTTGCCTACATCTTAAGGTCTGTTGCTCAAATAAGTTTGGTGTCTTAATCACTCACCGTTTCCGAGATCTTGCTCAGACAACTTCTCATTTTGAGGACAGGAAAACACGCGACCGGAAGTGAATTTTATAAAGATATTTGAGGTTACTCTAGATATTTGCAGTCTAAATAACATATTTAAAATTCATTTCAAATACTTTATCTACAAAGGATATTAATGGGAAAGAAAAATACTCAAATTATGTAGGTTTTCTCTTATAACCGGAAGTTGTCGTTTTTATTTCCGGTGGGACCAACATCTTTCGAATCTGAGAAAAAGATGCAATAAAGAGATGCAATTTTTAATTAAAAAAAGAAAAGTTGAAATTTTCGATTTCTTTGATCACTTCCTGTGACGACCGGAAGTGACGACTGACGCTCTGAACCCAAATGGTTTTGCCTACATCTTAAGGTCTGTTGCTCATATAAGTTTGGTGTCTTAATCACTCACCGTTTCCGAGATCTTGCTCAGACAACTTCTCATTTTGAGGACAGGAAAACACGCGACCGGAAGTGAATTTTACAAAGATATTTGAGGTTACTCTAGATATTTGCAGTCTAAATAACATATTTAAAATTCATTTCAAATACTTTATCTACAAAGGATATTAATGGGAAAGAAAAATACTCAAATTATGTAGGTTTTCTCTTATAACCGGAAGTTGACGTTTTTGTTTCCAGTGGGACCAACATATTTCGAAACTACAAAAGAGATGCAATAATGTGATGTAAGTATTGATTTAAAAAAAGAAAGTTGAAATTTTACGATTTCTTTGATCACTTCCGTAAACGACCGGAAGTGCCGACGACGAACGAAAAGGCAATTCTGCAAATTTAGAAGTCACGTTCTATGCTCTCCAATAAGTCTCCAGTTCATATCTTTAGCCATTCTTGAAAAAAAGGGGCGACAAAATTTCATTTTAAAATCAGGAAATTGCCCGTAACTTGGAACCAAAATGGAATTTTCCAAATTTTCCTTGTGATGAACAAAGTTCATACAATGACTGATTTTTCCTGAAAGTTTCATTGAAAACGACTGAATACTTTTTGAGAAATCGCGTGCACAAAATTTTGTCAAAAAAAAGAATAATAATAATAATAATAAGAAACAGTAGAATCACTATAAGGTCTTCCGTGAAGACGGAAGACCTTAATAATAATAATAAGAAGAAACAGAGTAAAAACAATATGTTCCCAAACTTCGTTTGGGGAACATAATTATTGTTTACTGGTAATCCATATTTAAGACCTGCATTTTTAAAGTCTTTGAAGTAACTTTTTTTTAGACCTGCATTTTTTTCAAGTCCTTGATTTAACCTTGTTCACTATTTTTCAAGATCTGTATTTTTGAGGTCTTGGAAGTCCTGGCCCATTTTTAATGAGGAAAAAAAAACATGGCTACATAAGTGAGACAGTATTGCAAGTGTCTTAAATAAGAGAAATAATGATATTATATGGTTTGTAAGATTTTAATCTTTCTTGCATTTGCATTTGTACGCAATATACACAACACAGAGAAATAGGTTTTACAAAGTGAGAATAAATTACTTCTTACTACATATCATAGTTCACACCCTATGGATTTACAGTAACTGGTAAATTTAACATCAAGTGTTATCATTATTGCCCCCCTCTTTTCTAAAAATTCTCTCCTTGAAATAAAATTTGTACATACATGTATATTTCGAACTGAGAATGACAAAATTAGTGTAAAATTAAAAAAGGGAGATGACCCCTATGAATATCAGTTTTGTTTGATTAAAAACTTAACATCAACAACAACAACAAAATAAATGACATTGCTGTAAATTAGAAAAAAAAAATGCACTCCTATATTTTGGGAATTTTTTTCTTTAAAATTTTTTTTTTTTTTTTTTTTTTTTACATTTTCTAAAGGACAAATTTTCACCAAATCTCAAAGTCCAAGAGGCTATAAAAAATATTCCCGAACTTAAACTTCAATTTCCATTTTTTTTTTTTTTAAATCCACTTAAAACATTATAGTTCTTAATTAACCACATCACAACAATTAAAACAGTTTATTTGGAATAATTTTTTTTAAAAATTTTATATGACACTGAAAAGATTTTTTCCCTTATATTTCCATACATAAACAATAATATCTTTTAAAGCAACACATATAAATCATGCATATAAATTATGCTTGGAAAAAGCTTTTTGAGAATTGTCTTCTGCTGCTTTAATGGATAATAATTATTACAGTTTGCACTGGTTTAAATAAAATTTTAATGGGATTAACAGAATTATATATTTATAAAATTTATAGCATTATATAGAAAATAAATATTGATACAGAGTGACCATTTTTTTCTCATTGATTTTCCTTCATTTTTTTCTTTCTTTCTTTTTCAGTAAATACGGAGCTTTTGAATACATGCATTTTTTTCAATAGATAAGCAAGAAAGTAGCTTAGAATTTTTCTACTCGGTCATGGAAATAATAAATCATATTTCTGTACTGAAAAGAAAGGAAAGGAGAAATAAACTAAAATCGCAGCTTGTAAAATTGATATTGCTTTAATGCTGAAAATAGAAATCAATGACATTCAAGATATAAAAATCAGACAAAGATAATTGAAAAATGTATGATAGAATTTTTTAATCTTAAATACATGTATACACCAAGTGTTGATGTAAAGTTCTACAGTGGTAATCATCACATCTAAACTGTATTTTTATTTGTAAATGTTGTTATTTGCACCAATTTAACATAATTATTTTCGAACTCTCTATCGCATAAAAAATAATACAAGTTAACTCAAACTAGAACTGTCCAAAAGGGACAAATACCCCCTGCTGGGTTTTTCAGAGAAGGTACCAAATCACTAATGTTTTCTAGATGTGAGAGGTGTTCACAATTTGCTTAAACATTTAGAGTGAAAATTTAATTACTCATATTTTTTTAATGAATGAAACTAAGGTGCAGCCTAATAAAACATCAATGCTAGTAATTACAGTATTTTTTAATTACATTGAAAAAATAGTTTGCAACTATCTGTCATCTTTGTGAGACATGACACTCTGCAAATTGATTGTTGAAAAAAAAATATCATAATTAATTATACAAAATCAAACTGATCTTAATACCTTTATATCAAACTCATTTTAAAAATAAAAGGCTGGTTCCAGTAACTATGCATTTTGACAGACATAAATTACAATTAAGAGACTTAGACAACAGAGATCTTTATTTCTTTCTGCCCAATTCCCAGGAGATACAGATAAAACTTGCTTGATCAGAGATGCCCTAACAGCTTCCCACACTGAACTCATTAATTAATCTTTAACTGGATGCATGTCCACTCATTACTCCAAAGGGACAAATGGATTTACACTATCTGCTGTGTCATGTAAAAACTGTTTTTAATACTTTGTGATTTTTTTTTTAGTTCTAATGAGTAGTTTTAAGCTGTAGTTCACATTTTTTTTACAGATGTTCTAGATTCTATGTCTCAAACCTTAGACATGAACCTGAAATGACTAAGTCAATAAAAATGAAAAAAAAAAAAACACCTGTACAATGCAGAAAAATTATCAAATAATGTTAAAAATACCAGGTGGACATCTTCATATGGTAAATAATAAGTGTACAATTTTTCATACAAATCTATGCAATAGTTTCTGGGAACAGATCCGGACAAAACCACATAATAAAAATGAAAAAAAAAACACTTGTAAAATGCAAAAAAATTATCCAATCATGATGAAAATACCAGGTGCACACCTTCATATGGCAAAGAATAAGTGTACAAATTTTCAGACAAATCCTTGCCACAGTTTCCAAGAAATGGTCTGGACAAAATCTTGTCTACAGACAGACGGACAGACAGGCAGGCGGACAAGCTGATTCCAATGTACCCCCCCCCCCCTAAACTTCGTTTGCGGGGGGTATAAAAATATAGTACAAATAAATAAATCAGTAGCAGTGTTTTATTTGCATTAAATTATTTTAAAAATTTTACCAGCGTACTCTCAAGTATACTCTATTGTACTCTGTCAAGTTTAGTGGGACCGGAAAATTTATCGCTCAGTGTGAAAATATCAGGTCATTAACAGATTTACAGAAAAAATAAAATGAATAAATATAAAGTCTGATTTACATCTTAAAGATAATTAGAATTTAAGCTGTAGGCTGATTCTGTTATAGTCCGAGTTTGTGTAGGCCGACTCCGTAATAGTCCGAGTTATTCATAGTCCGAGTTTTTTATGGGACGAGATCGCATGTAATCGATTTAACACATTGTGTTCTTGATTTACTACTGTAGAAGCACAAACATTTTTTTTTATTTTGAAGTAAGAATCTTCAATGAAATTAAATCCCCAGCAAAATTTAGCCCACATACTACAATATAAACATTTGTACCTTATTAGCGATTAGAAAAGCCTCATAAAATCTCACCGAATTAGCAAATTTCTACTGCAGTTCATTTTCACTCTCTTTATAGTGTTGACAATATTTTAAAATTTCTAAACCTACTAAACATGGAGACTGTTACAGGTACCCTGTACCACGCACTTACTTGATACTTTATAAGATATAGAAATACCATGAAATCACTAATTTTCGTGGGGTTCAACTTTTGTTGTTTACATGATATGAAGAGACCCAGGAATTCATTTCCCTCATAAAACGTTAAAATCCTGTCCTGTAAAATGATGTTCCTCCTTTAACCGCAAAATCAAATTCTCTGGAAAGTGTAATTTGTTCTCAAACTACAAAAATTTGACCTCATGGGGATTAGTGATTATACAGTAGATAATTTGTTACCTTTCTTCTTTCCAAATGAGAGTTTGAGTTGAGATGTTGAACCAACTTCATAATTTGGCTTTTTAGATGTAATCTTGACAACCAGGAACTCTTTAGTCAATGAAAGAGAATTTTGTATACTATTCATTTCTTCTGCTGATAAAGCAACTTTTTCTGGCTGAAAATACAAAATGTATTTTTTGTGTTATTTTTTCTGTTTTGTTTTTTTAAAAAACTAAATTGGGGTTAGTTCACTATTTTAACAAATTTGAATCTACACTACATGAGAAAGTTAATGTATCAATCTCAGGCTTTTTGAATCTTCTGTTCTTAGAATTTGTGACCTTTGTTCCTACATCAGTGTTAATGTATATATCTATTTGACATCCCATTGTTGCCCAAGCAATGAAATTAATTGAACATATTTGAACCTACACTACTTATGTTCACTTTAAAAGGCAGTGCACTAATTTTCATACATACCACAAAAATTTAATCATATATATAGGTGCATATTATATACATTACCAAAAAAAGTACAGGTAAACTTCGTTATCTCGACATCGACGGGACCATCGGAAAATGTCGAGATATCCGAGGTGTCGAGATATCAGAGTTGAGACTTGACGTCCAAGATTTCACTGCATAGCAAAAGACTTCAGTATATACATGTAGACTGTAGCTCAACATATTTTAGAATTCCCTCTATTTTCATTAAAAATCTATGAAGTTATTTTTAAATTCTTGTTTATAAAACATGTTCTTTATCGAAATATTTCTAAATTAACAACGTTTCAGCACAAAGTTACAGCATTTGCATGTAACTTGCCTTTTCGTCAGAACAGGAAACGAAATGCGCTCTATAAACTTTGAACCGTATAAAGTCGACATCCGATATACGGGAAAAAAATTAAATGTGGATTATTTTTTTTCTCATTTCTTTCAGGAAGAATGTACATTAACATTCATTTTTTAAAAGAGATTTGTGTATCTAAACTAACGTAGTGTTGTTACAGATGCATGAATTACAGCTGATTCGGTCAATCGTGTCGTTAATTGGATCAGGGACCTATATAGTATATAGGTCTCTGATTGGATTGTTTCCTGTTGAATACATTTTAACTACAAAATATCATTAAAACATCTTTTTATTCCTTAGTTTGAATTTTAGTTACCTTTTCAAATTTAAAAGTTACGTTATGTTTTGATAAAAATAACCGTCTGTACATTTACGCAGAATCGCGTAGATTTAGCAGTGATATTACCCAAGCTGAACATTAAGCAATTTAAAACTTCTCAAAGACGCCGAGGGGCTTGGGATTCACCTACAAACACAATCTATAGAATTAATTAAGCAGCGTGCAGTCAAAACATGGGTGTGAAAGGTGTGAAATTTTGACGACGTCGAGATACCCGGAGTCGTCCGTGCGTGAAGAGCGACCCTATCTGACAAACAGTTAGGTTCAGTAGAGCTGCTAGAGCAGTAAATTGCTGATGTCGACATATACCAGGTAAATTTTGCTCTTGGGACTGTGAATATACGTCGAGATTACCCGGGTTGTCGACATTACCGAGGTCGACATATCAGAGTTTTTGCAAATCATTTATATAGTAAATACTGCCGGGACCGCAAAAGGACGTCGACATATCCCAGGTTGTCGACATATCCGATGTCGAGATACCGAAGTTTACCTGTATGCTGAGACAATACATGGTATGTTTTACAAATCTAGAAAAAAATTAAGTGAGACAACTGTTTGTGCCAACAATAGAATTAAAAATGTTACCTGAGAAATATCCACAAATCCAGATAACTTTACTGTAGAAACAAGTTTGTCTTTTGCTTTTATTGCTCCATTTTCTGAGGCCTCATTCACGGGTTCTATGACAATCAAATCTCCATTTGGTTTTAGAATGCGGCATACTTCACCCAAGGAGTCTGTTGTGTGAAGGTATGAGCAAGGCTGGATCAAACCAGAGATGACTACATCAAATGAGGAGTCAGGATGGGAAGCTGAAATGGTAATCTAAACATACTCATTTACATGAAACTAAAGCATCTACTACATGTTTTAGAACATAATGTTGACCATCACTTTATTCAACAGAGGTTTCTTTTAAATAGTTTGCAGAAGCAGTTAGCCTGCTAAGTAATGCACTAAATAATGATTTTTAAAGATACACCAGTCACCATATGCCTTGGTAAAATTGGCATCCTTGATCATTTAATTCATTATTACTCTGCAAGTCATTGCAAATCACATAGTAGAGAACCAATGTTTAATCCTCAAATTGTAAAGACCCCCATAGAAACTATACCAACCACGCTAAAATGCTTGGTGAAATTATCTATCTATCTATCTATCTATCTATCTATATATCTATATATATATATATATATATATATATATATATATATATATATATATATATATATATATATATATATATAAACTTACATAATGTCAGTCTTTCAATATTTTCCACCTGGACTTTGCCTGTATCCCCCACTTCTTTTCTGAGTTCTTCCACTGCCTGCTGTAGCTTTTCTACCCCTTGGTTACCAGACCATATCAGGAGAACCCTCTGTCCTGTCGATACTCCTAATCCATCAACAATGCCCATATTTCTGGATCAAATCTAAAACATGCAAATGTATGTGTGAAAAATTCCTCTGTATATGTTCAGTAAAAGTAACCATGCAAATAATACAAAGTTCTGGAGTTACAATTTTTTACATGCCTTTAGATTACAACCAAAGTCTAATAAGGGCAGGGGATGCTTACTCCTAGGAAATTACCTCTTAATAGGTGACAGTTTTCAATCAGATTTGGAACATATGGATAAAGAATTACTGTTCCATTCAGTGGGGTAGTCCGAAATATATGATGTTTTCCAGGCTTTTTTCATGATTTTGATATTTTACATGCCAGGAAAACATCAGAACAGGCGCCATTACGAAAACTGGAAATTTCGCTGTCTCCAACCGGAGCTGAATGATATTCGATACTTGCGAACTGAATTAAATGCCGAACTTACAATTTATCAATAGCACAATGCTTCTAATACTCACCAATATTGATGAAAAGAAAATATCACTCTACATTTCGATACAGGTCTTGCAAAATTTTAAAATGCACGAATTGAAAACAAAACTCAAGGGTCTGATAAAATGTTTTCACCGGACTGTATATTTTATAAACAAACCATAAAAATGATGTTGATGAGTACTAAAGGCATTGTTCTATTGATAAGTTGTGAATTCAGCATTTAATTCGGTTCACAAGTATCGAAAATCAACCCGAGAATGCCACCTCCAGTTGGAGGCGGCGAATTTCCAGTTTTCGTAATGGCACCGGTTCTGACGTTTTCCTGGCATGTAAAATATCAAAATCGTAAAAAAGCCAGGAAAACGTCAGATATTTCAGACTATCAGTGGGGGTGCCCATTCTCTACTTGGTGCCCTCTAGCAGTGTGTTCCCATTTTTTTTTTTCAGCTTAACTAACCCGAATCACTTTTTACTTGCTTCCCCAAAAAGTGAAAAATAAAACAACACAGTTCTATAGAGTAACAGCCTCTGTCTCATTTCTTTTTGGGAAGCATTTCCCTCACTTGCATTCTTTAGCCATTTAAATGAAGAATATAAAAGATCCAAGCATGAACAAAAGGAAATCTATGTACAATTATTATATCTTGAGTTGTCATCATTTGATTTACCGATATTTTATAATGCACTGTCACTGTTTGAACTGAACAGGGAGGAAAGGATGAGGAGGGGGAGATGCCTCACATAAAGTACATATAAAGTATTAAATATTCAATCTTTGACATTGTTTTCAAGACTGTGAATTTAAAAACATACTTGATGGACAAGTTCAATCAGTGAAAAAACTGTCAAACAGGATAAAACTCACTTTTTTTCTGTTTACCTTATCAAATTAACTTTATTAAGACCGATGATGTAAATTGTACCGGAAGTAATGTTAGACCTTGACCTTTTAGCAAAATGGTATCGGACTGAAAAAAGAAAAAAATAAATCAATGTATGTCACTAGTGTAACAAATGTATCTAAAGAAAAATATGCGTCAGTCAGTAAAGAAATAAATAAAATAAAGAGCAATCCTTTACAAATTTAATGACGAATGACAATATCATAATTTACTTTGATTTAGATGGCATGAACATGAAAATATCCGCCAATATCCGTTTTTATCTGATTAAGTAAATTATATATTTTTAAAAAGTTGTAATTATTTAATTAAAATTTTATTACAGTTCTTATACAGGAGCAATCCAAAAAACATCTTTTAACTTCTGATAGCGAATGAGTAATTTACTAAACTATTTGCAAAATGGCAAATTCTAAAAATAAAACCTGATTTCTGATTGGTTAAGCTTGAAAGGACATCTCATAGGCGGTAGATTGAATTTTTTGTGTTATTGCTGAAAAAACAAGACATGTCCATGGACATTCTTGGGGATGATGTGTGGGAGTATAATGCTCCACAGTATGTTGATTTTGCAGCTGGTGAAGATGATCCCAATGCCGACGCATGGTTTGGTAAGATTTGATGCAAAAACAGCATGTGAAAACTGAAAAGCACAGACCTAAAGGCTAAACTGCTGAAACAAGCATTATTCTTGTATTATATCCGACGATGATTATACTAATGTATGTAGAATTTGACATTTAAATATTGTTTGAGTGAATAGCTACGATGTCCCTGGAGATAGATCGCAGGTGCTGATGAAAATTTCTAAATATCGATTATCAGATTGTACATTTTGCATTCTGGAGGTACATCGGTAAACAAAATGATATTATTATCTAGACTTTAAGGTATTTGGCTCATACAATTTTTGAAAGAATTTTTCAGAATATTGCTTTTACAGAAGAAAATTTCAAATAACAAATGATCATAACGGTGAAAAGTAATTGTTGTAAATAATGTACAAGTTCAGTCAATCAAGCACTGATGAAAAGTGTAATTTTATTGATACATGAAATAAAAATTCTCTATTTTTTTTAAGATCAGCAAAATGAACATGGCAACAATCCAGCACTAAAAGAGGATGTTTGTGCAACACCCCCAGTTGAGAATCGCAGATTAACAAGATCCATGTGTGCCACTCCTCAAAATGAAAAAAACTTACCAGAAGCAACAGGTTTTTGTGTTTGCTGTGATAATACATCTTGCAATGTACCTAAATGGTTCAAACATCCATTTCAGATTTGTTTGAATAACCTTGAAATGTATATCAATACTTTGCCTAAAATGCTTTTAAAAAACAGTAACACCAGATATTTATCCACAAACCAACATAATATATACAGAAATACTATAAATAGACACTTAACTTGTTTTGCATATATACCTTAGATTTTGACAGCATTTATACTATATACAATAGGGGACCATATTATAAACAGAATGGAGCTGTTGCTTTACTAGCATGATATTAATGAAACTTACCTTATACTTTGTGGCATACCTCTTTAATCTAATTGTCTTGATTATTTGTTCTGGAAGTGATCAGTATAGGTTAAGTATATAATGAATAGGGATGATGGTTCATATTCTCCAAAGTTTGAGGTTGGCTGTGTGATTAATTCTGCTTGCACATTTTCTCAGCTGATTTTTTCAACAATAACCAACAGTTCTGAATAAGGCCAAACAAAAAAATATGTGTGGTTCCAGTTACACTTCCAAAAAAAATTAGGGTAGGTAGGTAGGGATTTTTTTTTTTTTTTTTTTTTTTTAACAAAATGATTTTCTTGATTTTTTCTAAATAATAATTTTCTAAATAAATTTCTAGATGTGGTGTGATAATATACTATTCAATATTGGTAGGGGACACCTACATGCTACATTGCTTTGGATTTAACACTATTAAACACTTGCACTATGTTTTGCAAGGAGGCCGTCATTGCTGAAACTAAAACTTAAACTGGAGCCATTGATGGAAATCGGGGGAAATTCCAGAAAAAATATGAAAATTGCCCCAAAAAAGTTTAGGGTCGGGGGTATAAAATAGGGAAGGTCGGGTAACCGGAACCACACATTTTTTTTTATTTGGCCTAATCAGAATCTGTGAGTAATTTCTTTTTGAAGGCTCGACATGGTGTAATTTTACCAACCTAAAAATTTATCCTTCGTCTTGCAATGCACGTCAAGATTTTCTTCCTCCCCATTCTAGACTTATTCTCTGGCAAATCCTTTTCCTGATATCACTTTATCACTGCACACACTGTAAATCAATTTACTTCAAGGCTCCTTGCAATATCTGATTGTTTTATTCAACTCTAAAAACTATTTACATTCCTTTGCTTTAAGCTTGATGATAAATTCTCATACTTGGTTTACATACAAAATGAAGTACCGGTACTTAATTGCATCACAAAACATGATACCAGTGATTTTTCCACATTTTTTAAAAGGGGCCTGGGCCTTTACAATTGGGAAAAATCATCGACATTTGTGTAAAATTGGGAAAAATCAATAAGATTGAAATAAACCTTAATTGACAGGTAAATTAAAATATATAAGTAAATGTAACATCATTTATTCAAAATATTAACTACAAAATAACAAATTAGACACAGTTCTACATTTTCAACTTTGTTTTAATCTTTGAAAGTTGTCATTAGTTGTGACTGTCCTATATTCCAATTCTTTTTTTTTTTTTTTTTTTTTGCCATAATGGTAGACATAAGAAAAAATTCTACTCATAATAGCCGTTGAAGATGATATAATCTGACATGATTTAAAACAAATCATTTTTCTTCTAGCTTTCTAAATCACCCTAATCATTGTGCTGCAATTACCCTGAAATAATATGACATCAAATAATGTTGAGGGTGTGACCGTTGGGGCGAGAGCATTGTTCACTTCATTTTAAGATCCGCCTCTTCAGACTGTGACGTCACATGACGTATGTTAGCTGCATTTCCATAAACAAAGTTTAAAAAGTGCACATATTTTAACAAAGAACATTTAATCTACTATCTGCATGCAATATCCATTAAATTAAGGTGAGTTTATTTTTTGTGAAATTTTAGTTGTTGTTACCGCGTGAATGAAGTTAGCAGCGAGAACAAGAAGCGATGCATTGTGGGTCAGAATTACTGCGGAAAAAAATTCTATTGAATGAATGTGCAGTAGTCCGAATTTTCTCCTCACCCAGGCGTTGTCATTAGAGCTCACAGTGATGAGCGGCGCTTCGCTGCGCTCGCTATTAGTTGCATCTGCAGGGTGTAGAAACAGTTTGATTTTCATGGAATCAGGGATGCTTGTTGTAGAACTACTAGTACTTGGATTTACAAATAAAGCTATGTTTCGCCTGTTCACATGCATCTTACACTTTCTTACGATGTATTTAGTTTGACATAATCCATGTTTTTCTATGTCTTGTAAACACACAGAATGATCTGCTGTATTTCACTATTATTTTAAGAGTATGAATGACGGAGAGCAATAGCGTTCCAATTTAGATGAGTCGTACATAAAAAATTCAATGTAACAAATCAATAACGGTTTTTCTGGGGGGAAAAAGCAACTGAAATTGGGAAAAAATCGGTAATAGGGGAAAGGGCCGATATTCGGACCTAAATTGGGTGTAGAAAAATCACTGGATACATGTATGTCATATCTTATGTGATGTCATTTCACCCAGTCATGTGTCCTTTTAATATAAACATGCATGACAAGTAAATAAAGATGTTGAAATTTTATGAGTTGCCACTGAGATGCCATTTCACCATTAATATTATGATCTTCTGCTGTATATGGTCATGTTTAGTTGTTTACTGAGAACACGTCAATAGAATATCTGTATTTACAGAAAAGAAAAAAACACCTGCCAAAAAGTTAGATACCCCGTCTAGAAGTGTTGCTACAAAAACTGACGGATCAAAAACCACAGATAATAACATTGATGGATTGAAAACCACAGACGATAAAAAGTAATTTGCAATTTTATAGATCTAATAATTTGTAATGATAATACAAGTCTCCATATACATGTGCAATATTAGACATTGATTAAAATCTTGAAAGAAAAAAAAATGAGATGCATGGGTGTATTATTTAGTATAAATAACTAAACTTTCAATTCAGAAAATCTGCCATGCCATTGAAACAAGCACCGGTGTCTAAGAGCACACCAGACACGAGGGGAAGATCACGATCATTAAAGCGAACCAATTCAATGAGAGTGGTCAATCCCACTGAGCTTCATAAGAGGAGATCAGCGGATCCTGTGAGGGTTCCCGTGATTCCCTCAGCAGATAAACCACCAGAAAAGACAGTTTCTAATCCTATTATCAACAAAGCTAAATCAATGATTAGAAGAAGTGCTTCACGGGTACAGGATGGTCCCAAGGAACCACGGGAGCGTACCCGGTCTATTGATGGTGCTGTCCATTCTAGAACACAGTCTACTACCTCAAGCGGTCCCTGTAACAATACATCACAAAATGAAGTTGCAGCTCCCACCTCCAAGATGCCAAAATTAACTGTACCCACAACTCCAACTTTCATGAGGTGATAAATAGATAGATCTTGTCAAAACTAGAGTCTTTTGTTGTATGTCATTATACAAATATCATGAATTAAGTACATGTATTATGTAATTACAGGAGAAAACCCATAGGAAAGACTGAAAAAGTCAAGACTTCTGAAGAAAAGCAGCTGGAAGAAATTGCCAATATTAAAGCGGAATTCAACAAAAGGAAAAAAATGACACAGAAATCATATCAAACAGCTATGAAGTCTACAGGTGTTGTGCCTGTGCATTCCAAAATGGAACCCACAAAACCAGAGCCCATCCACTTTGAGACTGACAGTCGCATAAAATCTCACCCCACCAACAACAACAGTGCTGATAAAAAGGTGGATTTTGTCCGCATTCTAAGATCAAACTCCAGGGGAAGATCACCGGTATGTGTATTTGGCTATTGATTTGATAAAGATTGAATTACTCAACACAAAGTTTCAGATTCTGTAAATGTGGAAAATGCAAATGAATAATATTGCAAACTTGAATGTTATCTTGACAAATTAAGAATAAAAAATGTGATACTTTTCCCCCCAGGCTCCTGCAGAAAGAGTGCCCACTAAACCTCAGCCATTTAAACTTTCTGAGGGAAGAAAACGAAAAGCAGATACTGATTCAGAAACTTATAAAAGTATGGCAGAACAGCTAGTTACCTTCCATAAACAAACACCTGATAGATTTCATTCTCACTCCAAAAGTAAGTTCTGCATTTATCCCCGTTGATGGCAAAAAATTTTCATGCTATATAATGTAATATATTAAGTAATATAATAAGTAATATATGTAAAGCACAAACTCCTGTAACAGATGCACCTTGGTGGGAAAATCCTGCAAAAAAAAGTTCTGTGTAGAAAACACACCCGAAAATGCAGAAAAGTGGATGTGACTTTTATTTTACCAGTATCATACATAAATAATAATTGATTACAGGAATTTAACATGGTGTCTAAAACATGCAACAATACAAATAAACTTGGTATGTGTTTTGAATCCGAAAACTGTTAAACAAACATGACCTTGATCAGGGCCGAGTGGAGTTAAATTAAGCAGTGATGGTTGATACCCAAAATGCTTCTTTAAATAAATTTTATTCAAATTCAATAAATATCAAATAAATGGATATATATTATAACTGTATATTGACCTATTTACAGTGATCTATGTCACACACGACAGTCAATTAAAATTGGGGAAAAGCGCAATAAATGTCAGTGAAATCAGTCAGGCTAGAGCTAATAAAAGTGTCCAGAAAAAAGGGTTGGATTTTGTTCCCATGTAATAAACATGCCCCCTCCCCTCCACTTTTGAACAATTTTCTAATGGAAAAAAAGTGTGTATAATACACATGACTTTTTGGTAGTTCATGCCCATGATAAAATTTTACAAAGTGAATTTTTACATGAAAAATATGCTAATGTTGATTAAATCTTACAATGGTATTTGTATTCACAAATTGCTAGAAAAATTTACCTGTAATAAATTGGGTCAAAAGTCATAATTCTATTTAATAGCTGAAAGCACTTCTTAAACAAATTTTTTTTTATCTGATATCAATTCTATTTTAGGTTAGAGTTTTTTACCAAAAAAAAAATCCAATGATCCCCAATTGTTTAAGAAGAGTCAGGAAACCAATACATGTACTTTTGTGTGGTCTTACCTGTGTAATTCATATGCATATAATTTCTTATAGAAGTGCCTGAGAAAACAAAGAGTCTTCACTCTCGCTCTCCTGTGCCTGGACTCACCGTGCCAAAAACTCCTAACTTTGAATCTACAAGCCGTTCTCGTCCTGTACTTGTTCCAAGTCAAAAGGACCTAGAGGAAAAAGAGATTGAGGAAATGAAAAAGTGAATAATGTTTGACTATCTTGAAGAAAAATTACTTCTTTTTTTTTTACAAAGTGTATATTGGATTTACGATTAGATTTAACACTATAATGTATGACACAAAGCCAATTAGAATTTCAGCTGAGGTAGTGGGGTTGTATTGTTTATGCTATAGCTTAATAGTACACTACAGGTATTGAGAAATTTCCGCCATTATTGTTTTTTCCTAGGATATATCTGCTGCATTTGAGATTGTAGCAGCTACGTGCTAGCCTAGCTATGACAAGCGTTAATTCATGGAGTGCATTCAATATGACTTAGATGTCTAACCTTGCAGCTAGGCTAGCTGCTAAGATCTTGAACACAGCCCTAATTATATAAGACTTTTGCTCTCTATGGATTGCATATATATATCACTGTGAATTTTTTATTAGATAATGAGGAGTCTAAAAAGTGTACTTTGAGTCAAACATTAATTGGCATTGCATTCCTCATATTCTGAACATTTTTTGATTATTTTTTATGGCCTTTGTAAAGCATGCAACTTTGTGGCTGGAAGGAAAAATAACATATTTTATTGTTTACTTTTCCTTTTAGGAATCAATTTAAAGCACACCCTGTGAACAAAAAGATCCTGAGTAATCCCAATACTGGTGTGAAAAAGGTGACCCCAAAGCCTGTTACAAAGTTTGAGGAGTTTGAATTTGAAGGTGGCAGAAGACCTCACAACAATAGCATGAAAAGAGACAAAGAGGAGAAATATGAATTCCACGCTCAGCCTGCACCAAAGAAAATCTTAGAAGGACCAGTGGTACATAAGCTGAAGCATTCATTTAAAGATATTTGCTTGTTATTGTTCAAAACTTTGTTGAATGTGCATGTGCATGTAAATGTATCCATGATGAATGGTGATCTGAAACTTTTTCAAGTAGATGTTCATGGCATTACACCTATCTTTTGATGCTTGTATACAAACATGGTGTATTTTAACATGTACTTTACAGGGGATTAAGCCAGTCAAGTCGCTTCCAGTGACCCTCCCTCAGTCCCCTGCCTTTTGCCTCCGACAGCGTGTGCGGCTCCCCATGCCCAAAGAGGAAGAGGAGGAGGTAACAGCATTCTATCAAAACTTGCTTTTCCAGTTCATTGATTTTGCATGCTATTCTTGTGTTATACTTCCGGACAGTGCACAGAACCAAGTAAAGAGTATATAACAAAAAAAATAATTTTACTGGTACATTTACATTTATAAGAATGGTAAATCATCTACATGTATATGTGTGATACTAAAGAGTGGCTGATCACACTGCCTTTTCAGCTCCAATCTCTAACATGAAGCATTGTTGAACAACCTGTAACTATTGGACAGGGACATAATATTGTATGGCTCAGATAAGGCTGTTATGAAAAATTTTTTTTAGATTCTCCTATGTTTTTGAAATATCAAGACAGGCAGGTGGATTTTTTTTTTGTTTTTTTTTTTTTTTGACATTGTACAGATTTTTAGTTGACCGCATCAATTGGTACAGATTTTTTCCTATTATCCTGATAAAAGTCATTGTAGTGTTCAATTTAAATGTACATGTCTCTTACTATACACCCTCAACAATCTTTCACACAACCAGTGGTCCTTTAATATATTTTACAACAAACACCATCTTGTCAGCTGTCAAAATCACACAAACATTTGCAGGATTTTAAGCAAATGTTGAATGTAGGTTGAATACCAATCCTGATCATAATCAAGATGAAGAAACTGTTATATTGTTTGTAAAAAAAAAAAATTAAAAAATTGAGGAGGGATAAAAAAAAATTCGGGTCAGATGGGAATGAGAATCTAGGATTTATTTTTATGGCCTATCAGCAGCTTTGATCAATATTTAAAAAAAACAAGTAAACCAGAAGTTAGCTTTTACCTTGTAATCTTGTTAAATGGCTTTGTCCTTGCTTTGAATTATGATCTTTCATTTTCTTTTGTTTATGATCATTAGGTGTCTAAGGTGATGAAGAGTCATGCAGTGCCTCATGTTGGAGTACCTTTCCAGCCAATTTTGAATCATAAAAGTACAATCCCTGAGCCATTCACATTTGAGGAAAGAGATAAACTTGCGATGGCAAAAAAGCAAGAGAAAATTGAGGAGATTTATGAGGAGGAGAGGAAGGTAGTACGTGTTCTTTGCATGTTGGCTTCATTTCTGATGCTATTTTTAGGTCCTCAGTGGCTCAGTGACCTATTGTTTCATTTCTCTGTTGTTGAGTGCTGCCCACTGTGCATTATTTGTGAACTTTAAGACAATTTTAGTATTCCCTATGGAATGGCTGAACTGATTTCAACCAATTTGGTATATAGCATCTAAGAACAAAGTGAGACAAACATTAATGACCCTTGCTTCCTTGGAAACCGAAGTGAAGGGTCAAAAACAAAAAAAGAGAGAGGAAATTAATCTTCAAAAATCTTTTTCTTTTTCTCCAGGACAACGCTTGCAAACTGTGTGCATGATTTTATTGAGCTTTCTACTAAAATTTTGAAAATCATGACTCAAGGACCCACTGTTCTGACCACAGTATGAGACTTTAGTTTGTCAAATTTAAAAAAATTATCTCTTTGAAAAATCTTCATCTTTACTTCTGAATATGTGGCAGACATGCATGTACTGTTTGCATGATTATAATGAGCAGTTACCCTTTACAAGATAGTAAAATCAATGTTCCCTGGGTGGAACTAAGTTAATCAGACACACTGTACTAAAAATGCATGATATACATGTATTATAACCCAGCAGTATACATTCCTGAGCGTGTGGCAGAGTGAAAATGATCAAGAGGTCCTTTACCCAAATTTAGAATTTAAGATTCATGTCAGATGGGTCCATATTTCTAGTCCAAGGTGGGATAAGATTAGGTCTGTATCAGTATATTGATATATCGATATATATTGATATTTAAGCATGTATCGTATCGAAAAAATAACTTCCAATACATATCGGACATGCAAACCTGTGTTGTCAGCTCAATATCTTGAGAACCATATGTTTAACTGATAATTCCTATGATAATGAGTTCATTCATCTCTTCTTTTATTTACTAGATGCGAGAATTTCATGCCCAGCCTTTACCTGTTGGAGAGGATGCACTGCCTCTCAAGAAAACCAAACCAGCGACGATCCCAGAACCATTTCATTTGGAGGCTGATGAGAGAGGAGCAAAGAGACTTCAAGAATTCAGTCATAAGGTTTATATATATACATGTATATTTTTTATCGATACATGAACATCAGTGAGACCTTTCTTATGATGCAGAGTATCTCTTGGGTCATTTAAATGTACATCTGACACCTGCAAAATTTGGCTTATTTACATGTACTGGTATACTCTATAGATTTTTTTTTAAATCCAAGTACATTGTACATTTGCATTTACTTCCCAAATGTTGTCTTAGATATGTAATTACTAGTATACATTCTAGGTTGAAGAAGAAAACAAGCAGTTAAAGGCACAGGCAAAATTTAAAGCCCACCCTGCCAAAGTAGTCCATCAAGAACCATTCTGTCCACAAAAATCTACCAAACCTCTCACAGGTAAGTAAAAATTAATAGGTGTACAAAATTTGTGAGTGCTTTAAGAATATTTTGATGTAAAAGAAGATTCTAATGAGAACACAATTTTGGAATGAAAAATCTAGTATAAATCAATCTAAGGCAGCTGATTTGTGCTTCATTGTGACACCATACTGAACATTTTCACATACTGTTAAACAAAGAGCTCTCTTATAAGGAAATCTTGTTTATAAAGAATTATATGAATCCCAAAGACTTTACACTATGTTCCTTATATGTATATAAGTAATCTCAGCGATAAAGAAGCCAAGTTTGACGTCCAAGTGACTTCCTTACAACCATGTTTACCGTACATTGTACATTCTCTTAACAATGAAAATTCTTCTTTTTCAAAAATGTCCTATGTTATGCAAAGACAAAGCCTGATATCCATATTGATTTTATTATCTTTGAAAAAAAGTAAGATGAATAAATAGCACCATATTTTTGCGAGAAATATAACCATTCTGGAAGAATTTTATTTGTGAAATTAGGAATAAACTCCTTGCAATTTAGAGGGTTTTCTTGGGTGATTCTTTGAATTAGGACAGGTAAAAGACCTTATTTGAGTATATATATCAAAATGATTTTAATTTATCAAATTCTTTTTAATAAAGTAATTCAAGTTTAGAAAATTAATATCTGCAGGCACCCTGCAATATTAGTTACACAGTCTGTTAGGGGCCTAATACGAAATCATACAGGAATATAGGAAATCCATATTGGGTGGAGCAAAGCCGTGTCCTAATATGGATTTCCATTTCACACCCCATATGACTCCATATTAGGTCCCTAAATGACTGTGTAACGAATTTATCCTGCTGAAGACCTTTTTAAATATTTTTTAAAAAAATCTATGAGCATATTATCAAAATATCAAGTTTTAATCCAATAACAATCAACATAAAATATCGTAAGAAATTTAACTAACAACATGTTACTATAAACTGTTTCTTAGTCACCGTTTTTATTTACAATAATGATGTTTCGAGCGGAATTGCATTCCCGATTTTAATATTACCCCTGGATGGAGACATAATACGGAAAATTTCAGGGCGTCATGTGATTAGCTTTTATCCAATCAGTAATCTACAAATTTGTCTGAAGCAGGATAATGGTTTTTATGCCCCGCCATGAATATGGCCGGGGCATATAGTGTTTGTCATGTCCGTCTTCCGTCCTTCTGTCCTTCCGTCCTTCCGTCTGTCCTTCCGTCACACTTTGCATTTAGCTCTGTTCAAAGCTCAGTTTCAAAGAAACTATCCAAGATATTTTGATCAAACTTCATATGCTGATAGATATTGATGAGAGCTATGCAACTGCATCAATATTTTTTGACCTTGACCTTTCCTTTGACCTTGACCTCACTTTTCTTAAAGTAGTGTTTAGATCAGTTTTAAAGATACCATTCAAGATAGTGTAATCAAAATTCATATGTTGATACATACTGATGTAAGCTATTCAACTGCATCAACATTTTTTGACCTTGACCTTTCTTTTGACCTTGACCTCACTTTTCTTAAATTAGTGTTTAGCTCAGTTTTAAAGATACCATTCAAGATAGTGTAATCAAACTTCATATGTTGATACATACTGATGTAAGCTATTCAACTGGATCAACATTTTTTGACCTTGACCTTTCCTTTGACCTTGACCTCACTTTTCTTAAATAAGTTTTTAGCTCAGATTTAAAGATACCATTCAAGATAGTGTTATCAAACTTCATATGCTGATACATACTGATGAGAGCTATTCAAGTGCATCAATATTTTATACCTTGACCTTTCCTTTGACCTTGACCTCACTTTTCTTAAATTAGTGTTAAGCTCAGTTTTAAAGAAACTATTCATAATATTTTTATCAAACTTCTTATGCTGATACATACTGATGTAACCTTTTCAACAGCAGCAACAATTTTTTTACCTTGACTTTTCCTTTGACCTTGACCTCACTTTTCTTAAATTAGTGTCAAACTTCATATGCTGATACATACTGATGTAAGCTATTCATCTGCATCAATATTTTTTGACCTTGACCTTTCCTTTGACCTTGACCTCACTTTTCTCAATTTGTGTTAAAATGTTGCATTACTAATATACCCTCGGTGGGGCATTCATGTCCTATGGACATATTTCTAGTTATCTTTCCCTTAAGTAATGTATTGCCATTTTTTGCAGATATCAGTGGATTTGAACTAAACACAGAACATAGGTCACAGAAAAGAGAAAATTTTGAAATGTATAAAAAGGCTAGAGAAGCACAACTTGAAGCAGCCAAGCGTGAGATAGAACGCCAGAAAGAGGAGGAAGAAAAGGCCGCTGTTGCTAAAATGAGGGCAGATGCCGTTCACAAACCACAGCGAATTAAGCGGTACAAGTCAGTGGAAGTCTTACCAAGTGATAGGCCTATAACAATAGCCGAGTCCCCAAATTTTGAAACGGACCGTAGACTAAGGAGCAAAGTCGATAACCTCTCTCATAACAAGTTTTAATAATTGAAATGGTACATGTTGACTTGCTTGACTATGTACAATACATGTACTGTATGATAAAAAAAATAACATATTTGTTTGTGTATGAATTGTTATAAAAATTGTTCTCCATACATTATGGTGTGTCAGAAAATTTACTGTTTTATTTCATGCATTGAATTTTTACCATATTGTTTTAAATTTAGAAAAATACTTTTATACATGTAATTGACAACATGTTGGGAAAAAATATGGATGCCAGTATTATTTGGGTAAGGCCTTCATATTGTAAACTTGTGATAAACTATAAAATTAATCCATTTGGGAGGTAAAAACCTTTTTTTCTCTCTTCTGCTTCTCTCTCTTACTATCATGTCTTGCAGACGACTGTAGTTTGCCAGTCAATATACATTTACATTGTAAAACAAACATGGCAAAATACACAATCCAAACTGTACCTATAAACTGTGTATTAAAATACGTGTACATTGTATATGCATATGGAGCTATAAATTCCTACTGTTTTTCTAAAAAAAATTTCATGGCGAGCTACTCATTAATTAATTAACTCATTAATTTATAATGCTGTTCACTATTGCATCAATTGTATTTATAGAATTATGTATATGCACTTACTTTATTATAATCATTCCTGGGGTGTTATGTATGAAATGTACTACATTTAATTTTGTCATACAATGCTAGAAGCATCTGTACCTTGTTCTTATAATGGTGAAGTACCCCTGCACTAAATGGAAAAAAAAATCTAGATATGTTCAGGGGTAACTAAGCCTTATTATACCCCCCGCAAACGAAGTTTAGGGGGGTATATTGGAATCATCATGTCCGTCTGTCTGTCCGTCTGTCTGTAGACGAGATTTTGTCCTGACCATTTCTTGGAAACTGTTGGAAGGATTTGTCTGAAAATTTGTACACTTATTATTCGCCATATGAAGGTGTGCACCTGGTATTTTCATTATGATTGAATAATTTTTCTGCATTTTACAGGTGTTTTTTCATTTTTATTATGTGGTTTTGTCTGGATCTGTTCCCAGAAACTATTGCATAGATTTGTATGAAAATTTGTACACTTATTATTTACCATATGAAGATGTGCACCTGGTATTTTCAACATTATTTGATAATTTTTCTGCATTTTACAGGTGTTTTTAAAAAAATTTTATTGACTTAGTCATTTCGAGTTCATGTCTAAGGTTTGAGACATAGAATCTAGAACATCTGCACAAAAATGTGAACTACAGCTTAAAACTACTCATTAGAACTAAAAAAAACCCCACAAAGTATTAAAAACAGTTTTTACATTACACAGCAGATAGTGTAAATCCATTTGTCCCTTGGGAGTAATGAGTGGACATGCATCCAGTTAAAGATTAATTAATGAGTTCAGTGTGGGAAGCTGTTAGGGCATCTCTGATCAGGCAGGTCTTATCTGTATCTCCGGGGAATAGGGCAGAAAGAAATAAAGATATCTGTTGTCTAAGTCTCTTAATTGTTATTTATGTCTGTCAAAATACATAGTTACTAAAACCAGCCTTTTATTTTTAAAATGAGTTTGATATAAAGGTATTAAAATCAATTTGATTTTGTATAATTAATTATGATATTTTTTTTTCAACAATCAATTTGCAGAGTGTCATGTCTCACAAAGATGACAGATAGTTGCAAACTATTTTTTCAATGTAATAAAAAACACTGTAATTATTAGTGTTGATGTTTTATTAGGCTGCACCTTAGTTTCATTCATTAAAATAAAGTGCCCCACCACAGCATTATACGCCCATCAAATATTGTTAAATTATCATAAACAGTTTAGATTCAATTGGTCGAATGACATCTTAGTGAGACAAGGCAGTCTGCAATTTGTTGTAAAGATATAAAAATTCAAATAAAAAATGTACAATAAATAATTAGTTTAAATTATATTATACAATATCATATAAGTTTTAATTATTATAAACAATATCAAATTAGTTTTAATTACATCAAATTTATCTTGAAAGTAAGACTAGCCAACAAGAACAATTCAATACAACACAAGCAATTAATTAAGAGACTGATTCCTTTTGCCCATTTCCCAAGAGATGTAGATAACACCTGCTTGATCAGAGATGCTCTACCAGTTATCACCTCACACTAAACTCATTAATTTATCTCTAATTTGACATGCAATTTTCTGCTATCAAAATTTTCCTTGACCAGTGCCTGATCATTACACCCATGGGAGAGGTGGAATTTTTCTTGTTACAGATTGCTGTAAAGAACATAATGAAAAAAAATAAGACTAGTATTTTCTTGATTTAACACTTTTTTAATAAATTTACTGCAATACTCCGACATCTTTTGGGATTGTGTAATTTAAAAGTTAAAAGACATAGTTTTTTTTATTCTAAGTCTAATGGTTTTCTAGTTATGATTTTTCCATATTTAGCCATAGCGTCTTTATTAAAGGTCAGAACGACCTGGTTTTAATGTGTGACACACCTTCTACCCTAGATGTATCAGCTGAAAAAGTTTGATAATTCTAGGCCTAATAGTATTAAAGTTATGAGTCGGATATGAAAAAGCTAACAGACGGACGGAGGGACATGAACGCTATAACATAATACGTCCCGTCTTAAGACGGACATATACAAAATATAATGAGTAATTAAATTTTCACTGGAAATGTTTAAGGAAATTGTGAACACCTCTCACATCTAGAAAACATTAGTGATTTGGTACTTTCTCTGAAAAACCCAGCGGGGGGTATTTGTCCCTATTGGACAGTTCTAGTTTTCAATTCACAGAAAAGAAGCAGATGTTTCTTGTTCTTTTACCGATACATTGCTTTTATATAATACTGGGTAGGATGTCCCAGATAAAACTTTGGATCTAATATGTATGGATGTCTAAGTTCTGTTCTTACACTGAATGGGGCATCATCAATATTTTCTAAACAAGTTTCTTATTTTGTATTCTTTTCATTTTTAATTGTGATCAATTATGTGCAGAGAAACACACATGAGAATTGATTTGCACAATCTTTTAACATTACATGTATCATTCATACTGTTGTAGTTTGATATTGTATTTGTGCAGATTATACATGATTATTTGAATAAATGAGTGAATAGGTATCACTTACTTTAATATTTTAATTAAGAGCATATCTATTATGATTTTACAGTTCCTTGGAGCATTTAGTTGAAAAGGTGGTTATACTACATGTATCTTCAAGTGAGAACAGAAGAATGAAATCACAGTTATAAATAGGTGCTCTCGCTTTTCTCATCTACTACATTTTAATTCTGGTTTCCTTTCATAGTGATAGCTTATGTAATGAAGTGGTGGGGGTGAGGGTGATATATTGGAATTGCAATATATAATGTAATTTTCAAAGCTCACTCTGAATTGTTGGCTGCAATTGACAATGTCAGGTGCCTTCCCGACGCACAGGGATCTAATGTTTTGAATATGGTTTAAACCCCGCAAAGATGAAAAATATATAGAAGCGACATCACATACTTAAACATTAGCAGAGAAGTAGTTTATAAAAGATAGAAGAGATTTAATGACCGTTTCACCTCTGCATCGAAAAAAAGAAAGGCCTAACAAGTAGAGTAATGATTGTCAATTTACTGACAAGAAAAGAAAGTTTTGTTCGCAAACAGAAACTAAATTGTTTATCCTGTCTACGACTTTTTGGGAAATCTCCATTGGTTAATCAAGAGGAGCTCTTTTAATGAACAAAATGGCATTAACCTTGACTCTGGTCAACGATACACACTAGCTTTGTTGTGGTGATTATGAAATTTTTATGTGTATAGTTTGGGTACAAACAATAACCCAGTAAAAGAATAATAATATATGTAATATACATTCTAGTGTTTTGCTGTTTATCTAAGTTTAACATTCACAAACATACATGTACTCACAAATCGTTTTTATTATTTTACACAAAATTTGCACAACTTATATCACAGACATCACATAAAAGCAAATTAAACAGTTAATGCTTTAGAAACAAGACACATAGTGTATGTCTTCTTTTTATCTCTGCAATGGTATCTTCTCTTTTATGAACTGCAAAAGAAAAAGGAAATTCTTAAGATAAAATAATTTATATCATACTGTCTATATACCAGTAATTTATATATTTTATAAATGTGTATACTAATGTACTAAAAGAGAGATGAAGTATATGTACATACGAGGGTTGTTCGAAAAGTTCGTGGACGATGTCAATCTTTGTTATACTACTTCCAAGAAATTTAAAATAAGCACAATATCATGTGTAAAAATATTTGTTTTGTTGATCTGTGAAATTTCATTCCATTCGATTTGATAGAAATTAATTTACTTCATTTTAAAATCAACATGTTTTGTAACCACGGCGCAAACTTAAAAGCAATGTAACGTCAAAAACATAGTGTCAAGAGTTTCTTAAAAATTCTATCCCTATACATTCACACAGTAGTCCAATACCCACCTATTAAAAAACTTTTTCAATCACTTGACATTTATTTTTCTAACAATTGTTCTCATTTTATAATTTCCTTTGTTAATGTTTAATTTCTTTTACTGCTTAACTGTGCTTTCACAAGATCAGCAACTCTGAAGCGCCTACGTCTTTCCATGACGTCCCACCTTTTAGAAGTTTTCGTTCAGATTTTTACAGTTAAACCGTTTCTTCACAGATTGTCCTCGTCCGATACAGAGTCTCTGTCACTCAAATACCGCCTCTACCATTTACACACACATGCACTACTCGCTTGTGGCATATTTTCTGATTCCTTCTAATTTTTAGCGTTTATTCAGGATTTTCCCCGAGTATAACACAAAACTGCATCGTTATCTGCTGCTCAGTGACGTTCTACAACGTCATCGTTTTTGTCGTTTTCAATGAGGACTACCTATCTTCTCAAATTGATTTCTTTTTACCAAAGCAAAATATTAAGCCATAATTTGGAATATGAATCGATGTAACAGTTCTTAATTTAACCGTCTAGGATTTTTTCGTTGTTGCTCCATTTTACAGAGAAGATGACTGCAGACATTATTTAGTGTATTGTTTGTAAATTACTAAAGTTGGACCTGCGCTGCGATCCGATTTTTGCAGTTTTTAATTATGGATAGGTTTTAAATTAATCATGATATTTTTGAAAATTTTAGTACAAATCATTTAAATTTATTGTTAAAATATTTCTACCAAATTTGGATAACACATGACGTTAAATAAAAAAGATATGACGGAAGTCCACGAACTTTCCGAACAACCCTCGTATATGCAGTAGGAACTGATGAGATGTTATATGCTGTCTTTGTACTGACCTGTATTAGTTTTTTGCGGTATTGCGACTCCTGATATGTTGGTTTGCGCTGTGGAGGCGTCTTTTCTTCTCGCTCAATCAAGCGTGTCATCTCATTAATGTTCATAATATGGACTGGGTCAATTTTATTTTTGTTGATGAGGTTGACTAGATATTCCTTGTAATGTAACCTGTGTAAAATGAGAAAGTATATGAAATTAATTCATAAAATTATCATTTTGAAAAACGGGCATACAAGAAGCAAAACATACATTACTGAAGATGTATACAGGTAAAATTTGCCCTCTTTCATTTTAGCCCCTTTTGCCTTCCTTGTTGGTAATCTAGCAGAGACAGTGTTATCTTTCACAGCTGTGTCTTGGTGATTTGGAATGAGGCAAAATTGTTTGCAAGTGTGCTCAAGTGAAAATAATATGGGGCGAAATAGCTCTGTATACTGCATCAAATCTCCTAAGAATGTTTTTGTCATGTTATTGGTTTATAATTTTTTGTATTCAAATCTAAGATATTTCATATATTAGAAAATATTTTTCTTTATAGTGATAACCCAAAATGCATTCTCCCCATCATAAATATATATACTTAAATTACGATCCGCAGATCTCTGAGTACTTACACACACAGTCCAGCATGGCCTGCTGTTACATCTTTACCACAGGCCTCGTCCTTCTTTCCCTCATGAATATCCTTCAACTCCATCACTGGACAGTGGTGTTGGTCCTCCTGGTGACCAGCGGCCTCAGTGTCAAACTTCACATGCTTCTCCTGTATGTAGGGAAAAATTACCAAGAAAAGTTAAGAAGTGAATTCATAACATACATACATGTATCTATTGGAGTATTCCCATTAACTGTTAAATCATGAAATTCATTCCAAAACCTTAATATTTCTTTGAGTATAAAACAAAAAATCTAAATCACATTTCATTCATTATTATTTATTGAAATCTGTCATTAATGCTTAATTAATAGCTAGGGGAGAGTCTTAGCTCAAGGATAAATTTCTAGACAATTTTAGTAACTCTAATTATGTACTTGTTAAAGGAGTTTACACACTATATCTTCAAGAATTGACTGCTTTTGTCTCTTGGAAAAAAATACAGTCTGAAATACAGGTACATGTATATAGAAGATTTATAGTCAATTACCTTTAGAAGACGTTGCAATTCTTCAACAGAGTTGTCACGGAGATAGTAAAAACAGTCACGGGGGTGGTGACAATGAAGTCCTTTACCACGACAACTCTTAAACTTCATGCAAACCTGAAATTTAACAATTAGAAAAGGATTTCATTAAAAATATAAGAGCTCTCATTAACACAAGTTGTTTACATGTAGTTAAAAGGTTAGTTGTCACAAATACAGAAAGTTAAAAAATCCAGACTAAATTCATAGAAATTTTATCATAAAAACATACTCCTTTGGAATCAAACATCTGAGAACAACCACTGCAGAATTCATGTCCGCATTCTGGACAATTAAAGTGCATACAGCCTCCTTTTGCCAGAGAGAACCTCATTTTACAACTAGGACAATCTACAATTGAAATAATTCCATAGTTTTCATTGAGTTGATAACTAAACTTCAGCATATGCAGGAAAAAATGAGATCTGCAAGAATTCTTTCTCATAATTATGCATGTACTGTAAATCTTATTTTATTTGTGAGAAATTTCCTTTTGCGTAATTACGCGAGAGCATCTGCTCGCAGAAATTTCACTCTCTTAATCTTATTAGCATAGGAAATATACAGCAATAACCAGCATTTGTGAAAATTTTGTCTCCTTTATAAATACCAAAACCTACATGTATCTTGCGAAAATAATGTGTCACAAAATTTTGGTGATCTATACATGTGTATGTATACAGTGTAAGTGCTCTTAGAATCGATCTCATTTTAGTCCTGTTTGTAAATTAACCTACAAGATTCTTTAAAGAAAATGATACAAATATATATTTTAATTAGTACTTTTTTCCCTAGAACACATACCGATTCCATTAGCGGCGAGGTGAGCTGCCAGACCCATGGCCTGGTTCTCTGGGTCATTGTCGATCTTCCATTGTTCATACTGCTCACAGGTCAAACCTTCATGTTGATCCTCCCACTGTAAAAACACAATGTTCATCTTACAGCTGTTTAAAAGTGTATCATTTAACTACCCACTGTTATTTCAAAAGATACATGTAAAATGCAAAACAGACCCCTCAAGTGCCACTTACATGTAAGTACGATGAAAAGCCAAAAAATAGCAGGTTTCTCTAAAAAATCTACCTAATTTTCATTACCTGTTTCTTGCAGTTGAAGCAGGTTTTCTTATTACAGTATGGGCACTGCATGGCTGGGTTCCTTTCTCCTCCAATATTGATAAAACCATTTCCACACTGCAAAATAAGAACTTTTTGTACAGATCTTAACACTTCCAAAAATACTAGCTTGCTCACTAGCTGATCAAAATTTACAATTATCCATTCACAACTTTTCAGCTACAGTAACTAGTAATTTTTGCAAACTTTGAAATTGTAAATGTACTCACATGGGCACACCACCTGAACTTAGGGTCTTTCTGTAGATACCAATCCCTCAGTTTGGTTTCATAAATTTCTTTAATATCTGGTCCCACCATAGTATTCAACTGTAAAATCACACATATTTGTATTGTTTCAACAAAAGTAAGGATCAATGTGTGCAATATATATGAGTAAGAAAAGTAAACAGAAATAAGGGTGGTTAATTAGAATCACACTATATTAAAGCCAGGGAGTCTTAAAAAGGATAATTCGTTATATCCATTACATTCACAACACAGGGAATGAAAATCACTTTACCGTAAGTGTTAATTATATGCATATTCACTATAACCATGTTTTACTGTACTAACCAGCATAGTGAGGAATCCCAGATACTCATCAGCTTCTTCTTTGTTGTCCATGTTGGGATGCTGGCAGATAGGACAACAGAGGTTCCTGACATGTTTCTCTCGGATGTTCAACTCAAAATAACTCTTCATGCAGTCAAAGCAGATCTTACATGGGCAGTTCAAGGTTCTTATCTGTAGTGAGAAAAAATTCTAGCATATCAAACTGGTTCTTATATCTAGAGAAACATTTCATAACCAGGCAAACAAACACAGATATATTAATACATGTATCTACAAATGAGGCAATGTTAATTTACAAAAATGATACACTTGATCATTGCTTGACACCAGATTGATTCCCAAAATGCATACATGCATAACTTTGTATTATAAAATGTACATATGCAGCGTAACTCTATAATAGTAACTTAATTTTGTGAATCTTCAAAGTCAAAGAAGGTTGACATTTTTTTGTGATTGAGACTTTATCAGCAAAATGTATGGAGGTTTTTTTTCACTTCATATTTTTGCAACCGAGAGGTACAGGAACAGAAGTTAGTGTAACATCATATGTTCAATACTTGTGACAAATTGTCATCATATTCTAAAGTGATCTTCATTCATAACCTAGGGCAACGCCATAAGTTTACCTTACTCATTGGGAAATACGAGAAGCAGCATTGACATTCCTGCTGTAGATAGACCAGAGAACTCTGGCGATCTCCACAGTTGTACACAGCTTCTACAATGTCCTCCAGTGTGGCTTCCAGATTGTTCCGTGCCACATCAACATCTAGAATCTTCAGCACAGTCTGGGCTCGTCCCCAGCTCTGTAGTTTACCCTCCACCATAATCATCCGAGAGCGCCTCTGTAAAATGAGCAAGCATTCTGTACTTAAAAAAGGGTCACCTTTTTCTTCATGAATTTACTGAATATCCATTTTTATGGACTTTCATTTCACATTTGCTTAACATTCAGTCAGAAATTATTTCAATCCAATACCTTTCATATTCCTGTATTTAATTAAATTAAGATCTTACATCTGAGCTGATGTCCTTGTTACGGATCATCTTAAGGAAGGGGGCATGTCTAAGCACACTATTGGTGACACTCATGCATGTATCTTGGACATTAGACACTTCTTGAGCCTCACTTTCACACTCTTCATTGTCGTCTGCTAGAATGTTACCATTCTCAAACTCCCATAAATTATCTATGAACTGCTGAAGTCTGTTTGAGTTTAAGTGATCGAGAGCAATGTCCAGTTTTCCTTCAGCAACAAACATAGCCTGGAGGATGTCTTCTCTTGGAAAGTTGTCAGCCTTGCATATTTCTTGGTACTGCAAAAAATTTAAGTACAGTTACAGTGGCATCATTATATTTCTAGTGGGGTGAGAGGTTGGGGGAAGGGTCAATTTTCATGATGTCCCTTACTCAAAAATTTAAAACCACGACAAATATCTTCCATAATGAGGCCCTCACCCACAGAATTATATGAATACACTTATAGTTATTTGATCTCATTACTAGTGGTTGTAAACTATTGTAATCAACACATATACATGTATTATGAATTATATTTACCCGGTAGAAGAAATTAAAATTGTTTGTCCCTTGTACTTCGCTATAAGCATGGTTTACTGTAAACATTTTCTATATAATAAATAATTCTAATAAAAGAACGCGTTCTAATGTTGACATGTTCTAATAAAAGAACATTGTCTAAGAAAATGCTAAAGGCACTGTTTCAAAATATAGAGGATAAAAAAAAAAAATCGCATTTATTGAAACTTCTTGACTAGCCATACCAGCTTGCATCTATTTGCAGTACAGATATTCACGGCCATTTGAACATCTCCTTTGGTTTCCTTCAGAGAATTTTTGGCTTCCTGGTCAGACAGTTCTCCGACCTCGTTTTCATTCATGTCTGCCCCCTCCTTGGCAACTCTATCTGTGACAGATTTCACCCTGTTTATCCAGATCTGCTTCAGCCACTGTAAAGGAAGCAACTGTTCTCCTGAACTCAGCTCTACAGCAAGTTCCCCCTCTTCTGTGTCAAATCCTTCCTTTTCAGCCTCCTGTATTAAAATGAAGACATACATGTATTGACATATAGCTGTACAATACTCATAACTAAAGAATTTTCAATCCTTAACACAGTAAAAATTGTGTTTATTAATAGAATATTGTGTGCAGATATTTTACAGAACATTTATTTAAATGTGATGTCTTTCTAATGAATTTACTCATTAATTTTATCTACATTATTTAGTAAGCAGCTGGAAAAGTGATACAATGTACTGCTGTATTGTTGTACATGTATGAAAAAACAGTCTTCATAAATTGATCTATTGCAAGGGATTATGCTCAATAAATCATTATATGCATTTAAACATAAACATAAGTTAGGTGAAACAAAATTTAAATATTTACTAAGTACCTTAAAAAATCGGACCACCTCCTTAGCTTCAATATCCATCAGGTCCTGCATTCTTTGCTGATTGAGTTTTTCCATTGTCTCTGTAAAGCTCAGACCTTGTTTATTCCTGGGTGATTTGCTGAGAGGTGGAGCCTGATCTGCTTCTTTTTCACCGGATACTGGTACAGGAACGGCCAACTTATCTTTTTCCTCTTCTTTCTGATTGCCCTTGCTTGGTGTCACGCTTTTAGCACCACCCCCCTGAGCTGAAGGAGGGGAACGACTGACTGCTTTTTGTAACTGATCTATGAGTTCCTGAGGGGATAATTTATTTTCTGCTTCTCTTTGTTTCTCTTGTTTCAGCTGCTCTTCAAAACGACGTTTGGCTTCTTGTTTCTCATGAAAAATCTGTAAAATTCAAACCCATAATAGAAACTTAGGACCACAGTTTTACCTACCGGTAAGTTCACCCTTTTTCTTTACAAAACAAAACTTCAGCGAGACTCACCTCATCATAATGTTGCATGATTTTGTTCCCAGCAGTTGATGCTTCTTTCATAATTTTCGATACTTCACTATCTACCCCTGTGGCAGACGACTGTTTCTTCTCAACAGAAGGTGCTGGTGGCCTCTCTGGTTTGTTCAAATCGTTTATTGCATTATGATCAGTTTCTGAATGCCCTGAATATACACCACCTTGCTGTACAAACTTAGGATTATCACTAGTTTTGAAACAGACTGCACATACTCTTGTGTCTGGAGCATTATGGAATGTGCAATGTTGACAGATCCAGGGAGATCCATAACCCTCAGCTTTTGGTTTATGGACTGGTGGTTGTGGTTCTTTGGGGATTCTTGGTGGAATGGGTACAGGTGGTGATTCTAATGGAGGCACAAGGTCTGCTGGGAGGGGATAATTCTGGTACAGTGTTTTAGCAGTCACAGGCATGTTATGGAATTTTGGAGGAGGTGGAACTTGCTGTGTATTCACAGTTTTTGTCTGGTCTATTGAAGACACACAGCTTGTGTGTCTTTGGTGAGATTCATTTGCCTTATTTTCTTGGAAAACTTTTCTCTCCTCCATTAAAGGCAATGCTGGTCTGTCAGGGGGTGTCTGTCTGGCTTGTAACTTTCCCGTACTTTCCTGAAACATGGACTGGCTTCTTCTGTGCTCCACATTGTGCTGAGTAGCAGGAGTTTTAGGTGACTGGCTGGATGGTTGATTTGCGTAAAGAAAGTTTCCCTGCGTGTGAGGTGATACTTTTGGAGTTCTTGGAGAATTCTGTGGTGGTTGGTAATTCTGCACAGGGTTGTGTGGTGATGTACACTGAATGCTTTGCTCAGTTGGAGGAAAATAAGGGGAATGCCTGGGAGGATGTCCATAAAATGAAGGAGGGCTCTGCATGGTTATTAGGTTAATGCTTGGACTGCTCTGATTGTCACCAGAATGCACAGGTGGACTTTGACCATACACTGGCTGATTGTTTTGATATGAACCTGGGACAAAAATGTACATTCCACTATGAGGTGGATTTACACTTGGAGAGTTGACTGACGGCAAATGCCCAATAGGAAGACTGCTCAGCGCCACCTGTTGTTGGTAATTAAGGGGCCACTGTGGGGGGTAATACATCTGATCCCTTTGTGACAGAACTTCATCCAATTCTTTCTCATACTTCTCCAACTCAATCTTTTCTCGCTGCAAGAATCCTTTTTTTCTAAAGAGACGACCATACTCTTCATCTTCATAAAAAGTTGCATTCTGAGCAATACATTCTTGGATCCTTTCCTCAATTAGATCTATTTCTTCTCGTAATGTCTCAAGATGAACTTCAGTTTTGGACTTCCTTTTATACAGGTCAGGAATGGCCAATATCTTGTCTAGAAGTTTGGAAGTTGGAGGACCACCTGGAGCAGCCCTCTGCATACTCGGGGGTGTCATGGACTGAAGTTCTCGTGGTAAGGTGTGATATCCCATCTATAATATGAATTTCAGGCAGTTATGTAATGCCTTTAAATATATTAAGAACATGAATATAAAACAAACTAATTTAACGTTTTTGTTAAATACTTGCTTTAGTGCTTACATTCTGATGCACATTTGAATCACGAGACATCCTGGGTAGAGTACCTGTCTGTGATGGCTGCATGGTATGCATCCTGTAACAGCAGAATAAATACAACACTGATAAGGAAGTAGAAACCTTCAGAATATACTTTCAATAACTGAAATACATGAATTTCTGCTCTCTGTACCTCCATTTAAGTACTGGTATATCATAAGTAAGAAGTTTTATTACCAAAAAAATGGAAATTGTCTCATCAATAAATGTTGCATTACCACCATACTCAATAAGTACAAGTTGAATATGCCTACCCTGAAATCAATCCCTCTAGGTGATGAGCCTCCTCATGAAGAGGTGTGTGGGCTGCATGTGGTACACTTGATAAACCAGTGCTGTTATTATTAGAGGCCATAGTATATGCAGGCTGGTTTGGGTTCTCACCAGTGTACTGTGCCATGTTCTGGTTTGGGGCTGGTTCCATGGTTGAGTAGGAAGCCTGGTTCTGGGTTGTCCCTAGTGGTGTCTCCTGGGGTAATTCTTGTGTCTGTTGAGAACCAAGGATGGGGTTAATGGCATGGCTCTCAACAGCCGACAGATATTCGTGTTCATCTGATTTCTGTTCTGAGCTGGACATCTGAAAATGAAATCCACAATGCATATCATATGAAAAAAAATCATAAAGTTTAATTCAATATTAAAATTCAAACAAATTTCATAATCAACTCTAAGAATTCTTTGGTAAAATATATTATGGAAACAACACAACCAATAATTTACTAAAGTCAAAGTAACAGATTTTCAAACTTTTACCCGTAATTTTTGTCGATCATGATTCTTGCGTTTTGGGTGTTGATGCCATCTTTCATCACAAGCTGAACATAGCTGTTTATTATCACAGCGTCCACACATAAACATGGCCACCGACTGACCACAAATGTCACAAACTAGCAAAGTAAAGAAATTTATCATAAACAGGAAATGAATGTACAAAATGTTTTATTCTCAGTATATAGTTTACAGGCAAAGCATAAACTATTTTGGTATTTACAGAAATTTACTCTGTTTTGTTGTTGTTTTTGTTTGTTTTGTCTTTTTTTTGAGACAGGTTTTCTACAAGTAATAATATATTAAGTAGCAATTTTTACACTTTGTAAGTAAATATCTCTAACAAATCTCTCAAAGGATTTTGAACTTCAAAAAAGTATGTATGTATAGATAAGCATTTCCTGGCATAAGTCTTCAAATCCACAATATTCAGATTTTACCTATACTACTCTGAGGGGATTCTACTTCACTGGAGCCTGTAGCTTGACCACCAGACTTGTTTGACTAGAAATTAAAACAAAATTATAATAATTTAAATATATCTACAGAAAATAAAATTAGTTCATCAATGTATTATCTAAAATGCAAATATCGAAGATATAAAGAAGCCTGAGATCTATGAAAATCATGAAAATTATTTAAATGTCATTTACTTGTACAGTACCTGTGAAGAACTTTGATTAGAGACTCCTGATTCAGAAACAGACTCTCTGATTGGTTGCTGAATTTGATTTGGAATGTCTTGTTTTATTGGCTGACTGTCCGAGTAAGATGATCCACTTGATGAAGATCTTTGCTGATTTGTCAATCTAGATTCTGATGATGATGACGATGGTGTGTTTTCCAAAGGCTTCTGTGAAAAAAAAAAGAATCTCGAAAACAGTTTGCATGTCACTCTGCACACCATGGCAGTTCTCAATTAAAGTAAATTAATTAGACCTGTTAAGTGATAACTCACAAGTTTTCTCGTTGGTAGATTTCCTTGCTGAATCCAATTCTTTTGGAATCTTGCAACATCAAGCCTTCAAATATGAATTCAAATAACACATATTTAAAGTATTCCACTTTATACAAATTAAATAAATCCATCAAACATGTCTGTTCTCTAAAAAATCTTTTCCCACGTTTCAAATTAACTTACACTGTGTCATGAGGCAACAGACTCTCAACCCTCTCTGGGTAGGGATGGTAATTTGTCAAGTAAGCATCCAGCTCCCTCTTTCCACACATAATGTCTGCCAGTAAACGTAACAATTGATCATTGTCCGTTTGACCAGAATTTGGAAACTGTAGCCCGTCCTGAATGGCTTCTGTGTAACCCATCAACTTCATTATTTCTCTTCCTCCCTATATACATGCAGAAAAAGAACAAAATTACCTCCTTATTTTAGGGATAGCAGAATATCATACTACAATTTCATGACTCTTCTTAAGAACTTTCAAACCTAACGTTCATGTAAAAGGTATACAAAAATAAATGTGATGACCTACCACTATACAGTCTACTCGATCCCTGAAGATGTTATTGGAGAACTTGACAATTCTCCACATCTGTGATCTCTCAGTTGGAGGCTTAAGAAGATGTCGGCAATACTTTTCCAGAATGTTCAAAGCCACTCCAATCATCTTTATTCCTTCCAGAAACTATCAAAGAAAGAAAACATCAATAATGCCTAACATTTTCAACATAAAAATTAGGTTCTTATCATAATGGTTTAGATTTTAATTCATCAATTTCAATTAAAAAAAAAATTATTTAACTCATAAAATTATTGACTTTATAATAGAGCAATTGTCATTAAATGCAATAATGATTTATCTTTTTAGATTTCCCTACATTGCTGTTGTCCTTGAAGAGCTGTTCCATTGGTAGTAGCTGGTACCGCTGTCCCACTGGACAGTTGACACAAATAAGGCCATCAATGAGGGGAGAGATGTCCTCTGCCCTCGATAAACAATCATAGATCCTCTGCTGCAGATCTCTAATATCTGATCGCCACTCTCCCATTGTGCGTGTTTATCTTGTAACTGATTTCTACAACAAATTAAAATAGACATTACAGTCACAATCTAGAGTAGTCACATGCCTTTAATAGACTAAACATATTCTAATTGCAATTTTTAAATATATATTTAGAAATGAAACATGCATCATCAAATAAGGAAATTAATCTCTAACCAGTTGCCAAATATAATACAAGTACAGTAATCTTGAGATTCATGTGCCTTATTGATGCATTATTTAAACTTATAAGCAACAGCAAAAATAAATTCCACTCAAATGCATTATTTGTTTAAAAGTTTTAGAGGCAATTTCCTCATGGAAATTATCACTTATAGCAGAATAAAGGTTAATATGTGTTTTCAATGATATGTTCTTCGTTATCCACAATTTCAAGTGCTGAATCCGCCCCCCCCCCCCCTCTTCACACAGATCTAAATGGTCTGTTTATATTAAGAATACAGCATTCTTTTTTCTAACGTATTATGCAAACATAAAAAAATAGTCCTTTATTTACTTTTTCCACATTTATTACAACAACATTTGCTGTGCATTAAATTAAATACAGTACGACACGTATGGTTTAAGTTCATTTTACAGTGTTTCATCATGCGATGTCATGCTTTGCAACAAAGCGCAAAATCAGTGAGGCATATTATCAGAAGGTTTCATTGACCCAGAACCCTGTAATCAGTTACATACTTAAAAAGTAACTACTTCTGTTTTTACGCCCATCTGTTCGGGTGGGGCAATATTTACAGAAAAAATATATTGACACACTAACGAAGCGCGCAGTACCAGATGACATTAAAAAACAGGAAGTTGTTTATACTTTAAAACTGATATAAATGTTTCAATGTACAATTGCACAATATATATCCTTACTATGCAAATTCCTGATGATCATACCCCACTACGACGTGGTTTTCCGTGTTACTTTTGAAGTACTTTCATTTTCCTATGACTCATACGGTAAGCAATGCGGATACTAATTATTTCCCTTTAGCGGAACTCTTTTGTGTACACATGGAAACTGTTTACAAATGGCGAACCAATTTGCAAAAATGACGTGAAAAAGTTTTAGTGAAAAGAAGCTATATCTGGCATTTTGGATATATTTTTGAACATGCATTTTATTTGAAACCAACAACAGCAGATAAAAGAAATTGATAACACCATCTTAGGTGTCGAAAAGGAGTTTAAAAAATACTTAAAGGTGTGTTGAGTTAGAAAAACTGAAGGTGCGTGTACATTGTTTATTTTAAGAATACAAGGTTGTTCGGTATAAAACTTTTTAAAGGTTTAACTTTAATTTTTTGGTCTGAAAAGAGAATAAAAAGGGCATAAGGTCACATGTATTATGATACAATAAAGTATGTGAAATACATTTGGACCAGGTATATATAGTATCTAAACATTCAATCCAATTTTAAAGCTTGGTGTTTAATGCAATGATTTCGTCAATAACGGGGTATAAAATTGTGACAAACAATTTCTGTCAAAAAAATAAGGTAAAACTACTTGCAGAACTGTAGCGTTATGATTTTATATTTAAGTCTTCGACCAAAATGCTACAGATCCTGTAATGCAAATATGGTGCAATTTACGGCGCAAGATTTTCTGCACATGGTTGGAGAGGATTTCTCCACTTTAGAGCATTGGTCAATTCACTACCTTTCACTCCCTATTAATTCTAGACAAATTCTCTAACCAACCTGTATATTTTTCCACCTCTTAACCCTTTACAGTCATCTTTACAGACCAATAAACTCGCTTGTTTTGAATTTTCTGCCATTTGATACAATTTATGCATGGATGATCAAATAATAGCAACAGATAGAAAGATAGAATGTATATTTTAAAAAAAACAATATTAACAAACATTTAGGTTTATAAACAAAATTGTATTTCAATTTGTCACGTTTTGTTTTATATCAGATAAAACAATGGCATCCACACTGGATTTTGCTGGTACAGCCAGTAGAGCCTCCCAGTTTCAGACTCAGATAAGCAAAGAAGATCTACTGAAAACATTGGGAAATCAACTTAATATGGACTTTTCTCAATATGAAAGATGGACTCGGAAAACCAAAGTCACTAGGCCTCCACCTCCTCCTAAAGATGGTAACTAAACAAAACAGTACTTACTGAAATTTAAAAAGAAATATTTATATAAATGTGCTAATTATAAAAATGCTAAATAAATATGAATAAATTAAGGTCACAAAGGAATTATTATTAGCAAAAAAAAATGCTACTGGGATAATATTTATGAATAAAGAAACGAAAGAAAAATATAAGTCTATAGTATTCTGTGAGGCAAATTAAGACATATTCATGTACAATGTAATCAGGTGGAAGTAGAATGTTGATGGTAGGAAGGGTCAAATCAGCTGATTCCTGTCTTCATGGTAAAAGTCAGAGTCACACAACATACAGGGAGAAAAAAGAGGCTGCAAAAATGTTAGAAGTTAACAAAGAAAGAAATGAAAGGATAAAAATACTGGAGGTAAGTTTCACACTGCTACAGATTATTCTAAAATTGAAATTCTCTGAAAGCTCACAATCAGCTATAGTCTTTACAAAAATTTTGAAAATTTAGGTTTTTTGATGTCTGATAATGCAGAGTTATTCCATGAAAATGTTGGTGCAACTCAGCTTGAAAATTGAATTATAATTTACTCTCTACTTTTAACAATTACAGTAATAAAATACATAGCTGAAAAATTGGAATAATCACTGTTATTATCAAAGTCCACTTCACTGCAAATTTCAATTATGCTCTTAAATGGAATTGATAAAAGTTAAGTTCTTACACCTGATTTTTTATATGAAATACATATACATATACAATGTACACTTGTATATTTAAAAAATGAAGTTTTCCTTTTTGTCAATACATTATATAGAAAAAATAGCTTTAATGTCGCTTAAGACTTCCAGAGGTAAAAATATGTGCTTCAGATACAAATTTCCATGTTGTCCTTTCTTCTGTAATTTTATAGTTGAGAATCAGGACCAGGAAGAAAACCTTGGAGGAATATCAGAAAAGAAGTCGGGAACTGTATCCTATCATTCTAGTTTGAAATAATTAGGGCTGTCACGAGTACCCGAAATAACCGAGAACCGCGGTCTAAGTTGTTCGGTTCGGTTCCGGTTCCATTTTTCCGGATTTCGGTTCGGGTCTGGTTTATATATTAGAGTCTGTTCAATACAAAAAATGGCGTCGAGATCAAAGGAATGATGACGATAACAGTGAAAAATAAACATCACAACTGAAATCTACTTCATTCCATGACAAAACGCTTGTCACGGAAGTATTAGATAATTATCAAAACGAGCAGGTTGTGGCTAATAGTAGGCCAAGTCACCGATGTCTAGACGTTCGCATGGTTAAGACTTGTTTTCAATGTAAATTTAATGTAACAAATACAGATTTTTCAAGTTAAATTCATGAAATTAAGGTTTAAAATAAATGTAAATACCCGACCCGAAACCGAACCGAAAATTTACAGAACCGACCCGACCCGAAAAATTTTGGAATCGTGACAGCCCTAGAAATAATCAATTACAGTCAAACCTCATTATCTCGAACTTGTTAAAACCGAGAAAAATTAAACTTAAACATATTTGGAGGATTCAAAATAGCAAAGCTTAAAAACAAGATGAAAAAGGTGATTAGGACTATAAAATCACTTCTACATATCCTTGTATTCAAGATATCGATGTTCGAGATACTGAAGTTCAACTGTATAAAAGTACATTTCACTTGTGATGTTTTTACCTATCATTATTGAGTACCGTAATCTAGCTTTATAGAAAACATATATCAGTGTTTCAATACCATTACATGTACTAATACTATTAGACATCTTTAAATATGTTTTCTTAACTGTGTGTGTAGTTTAGAACAAAATATGAAACTGAAAGAGAACATTGAAAGTGATGAATATGGAACATTGAATGCTGTGAAAGGCTTACTTAGAAGATATGAAAAATACAGGGTATGGAAAATTTGATCATACGCATGTCTGTATGGATTTAACTACAGGTACATGTATTTATTTACAGAATTGAGAAAGTGGTTTATAATGAACATATACTTGTTGTTTGGCTTTTTAAGGGTGGTATAACAACTTTAAATTCCAATTTTGTGAAAGAATATGAAGCAGCTGTGAGAGATTTAGAAGAAACAAAAAGGAAAACCAACTCACAGCTACAAGGTATCATCATAACCATAATAATACATAAATAAATCTATTTTTTAATCATATGATATTTTCAGCTATTTGGTACATTTTATGTTTCACTCTAAATGCATACTTAATTTATTTAATGAATTTCAATCACTAAATCACCCTAATGTAAGATTTATGTAAAAATAAAATCGGTATAGATTTATAACATTTCAACTTTTGTTGTGATTTTGCACTGATTGAGAGTTCATTGTTTTTCTCTAGCACTGGGAGAGAAAGTTTCAGACGTAGATGTGTTTCTTAGCAAAAAACAAGAAGAACTCCACACACTCATGAGTTATAAAGTATGTATAAAACTACTCATTTCTTTTGTAAGTTTTACTTTATTCTACAACTAAAACAGAGTTTTATTCAATGATCAAATTGTCTTCATTTAGAAACTGGTCATTTGATTTTATTTAGGAAAAAAAGAAGGCTAATCTCTAAATTTAAATTTGAACACCAAATGGAAAGACAATAAAAAAAACACTATAAATGAGAGAAAAAAAGTTGTATGTTCTTCCATAAATATTTGGAAAAAATATGTATCTTATTCATTAATAAAAATATGAATCCTACTTAATTTGTTGGGATTTTTTAATAACATTCTATATATATTTGTTTTATTTACAATTTTAGGACAAGGGATATCTGTGTTGTTTTATTATCAATTTTAGGACAAAGATTATCCTGTGTTGTTTTATTTTCAATTTTAGGACAAGGAATATCCTGTGAAAGCTATGAGGATTGCCACACTGCAGAAAGAAATTCAAAACCTTAAAATAGCCAACCAGGTATTTATGCTAAAAAAAAAAAAAGAAAAGATTTTCTAGCCTCAAATACATCACTTACTGTAATTTCCAGAGGTTGATAACAAATGTATCCCATTCTCTAATCTCTTAGGAGTAAATCTATCAAATTATTATCTGAAGGGTATATCTTTCATATTCTCTATATCAAAGGGGTAAATCTATCACATTCAGTATTCAATAATCTCTTAAGGATAAACATGTAACATCTTATAACTTGTAAAGGGTAAATCTGTCACATTATCTCAAAAGGATAAATCTTTTATACTACCTCAAAAGTGTAAATCTATCACTTTCTCTATCTCAAAACACTGTCTCTAAAGTGTAAATCTATCACATTCAGTAATCTCAAAAGTGTAAATCTATCATATTCAGTAATATGTATAATATTAAATAATCCCTAAAGTGTAATCTATCATACTTAATAATCTCTAAAATGTAAATCTACACATTCAGTTTCCTCTGAAGAGTAAATATATCACATTCTGTACTCTCAACAGTGTAAGTTTATCATATTCAATAATCTCTTAAGAATTAAACTCAAAAACTATTTTTTTCTATATGCCCCCGAATCTCTGATTACGGAGGCATAACTAGAACTGTATTCTTCAGCAATCACATTCTCTAAGTTTGAGAGAGTAACTATCTTTTTGTATCCTTACAGTTTGATAATTCTTTACTCACCAGGTGAGGTGATAGATGAATAAAGTTAGCAATTAAATACTGTAATCAATTCAGTTTTAAAAACACACAAAATGTCAAGCTGTCCAATAAAGATAGAAAGCAAAATTATAACATGGTAATATATGTATCTCTTGTAAATTCAAACATTCTTTAAGACTATGATTAGTTTATTTATAAACATTATTTGTTGCTATGCAGGAAGACCAAGAGGACCTAGAACACATAGTATTCACAGAGTTAGAAAAATACGAGAAGGAACAAACAAAAACGGCCAGTCTCCTCACCAAAACCATCACCGAGGTAAGTGTTATTACATAATCCCTTGAAGCACTTCTACTGTGGGCAGCTAAAAATAAACCTTTCTTAAGTTAATATTTACATAAAATGTAGTTCTGGCTTGTTAAACATAGAAGTAAAATTCAATACACTTACATGTATCTGAAAATACAAAGTAAACTATAAAATGATTTTTCAAAATTATTTATTTCCTATACAATCACTGTATATTGCTACTTTTTTAAGGTACTATTAAGAATTCAGATAGGAATATACCTCGTAATATGGAAGGTTTTGAAAGGTACTCAAATTTCTTTTTTTCTTATATGCATATCATTCTTTTGAAGAGGGCTATTGCAAGGATGCATCCAAGTCTGAAAGATATGGCACTTCAGAATATGGTGATGGCAAAGGTCAGTTCATTAAAAAGGGTTTACATTGTAGACAAGCTTAACATTTGACTGTACATTTATTGAAAAACATATTGCTTAAAACACTTTTAAATTAAAATTATAAATTTCTTTAATTCAAACAGAATTCATGGTACAGAGTTTGCTTTTGGAGTATTATCTTTCCATTCAGTGGTGTACAGGCCATAACTTTGTGGAAAAATATTGGAAGCTCATACTTGGTACAAAGATTTCTCATGACCTAAGGTGTCATTGGTGTATCATGACCTTGAATTTAGGTTATTATAGCAAGTTCAAGGTCACTGGCAGAAAAAATTGAAATTGCTGTCCATAATTTATTAATGGAGAAATATTGGAAATTTAAATATAAAGATTGCTTATGACCTGAATATATGTCATGACCTAGACCCAGTCATTTGGTCAAGTTCAAGGTCACATAAAAATGTACAATTCCTGTCTTAACCTATTTTGTAATGGAGATACATTGAAAGTTCATACTTAATATAAACATTGGTTTATGACTTAAGGTGTGCCATGACCTTGACACAAGGTCATTTGGACATTTCAAGGTCACTTGCAAAAAAGTATTTAATTTATGTATGGTCCATAACTCTGTAATAGAAAAATATTTGCACTTAATACTTCACACAAAGATTGTACAAGGGTGTGTCATGATTCTGAACTAAGGCCGTTTATTTATGTTCAAGGTCACTTGTACTTAAGATGAAATTTCTGTCTAATCCATAACTTCCAGTGAATCAACACTGAAAGTTGAAACTTCATACAAATGTCCTGAAGTTGTATCGAGACCTTGACCCAACATTTTAGGCAAGTTCCAGGTCACTGACCAAAAAAAAAAAAATTGTAAGATTTGTATCCATAACTCTCTAATGGATAAATATTGAATGTTGATACTTCAAACAAAGATAACTGGTGAGTTGGGTTAACCTTGACCCATGGTCATTTTAGGAAGTTTAAGGTCACTGGCAGAAAAATGGTAAATTCATGTTTGGTTTATAACTTTCTATTTGAGATACATTAGAGGTCCATCCTTCATGAAAAGATAGCTTTTGGCCAGTGGGTGTGTTACTTTCTTGACCAAAGGTCATTTGGAAAAGTTTAAGGTCATTTTTTTGAAAAAAAAAATTTTTACACCTTAAGATAAATGTCAGAGGGAGTGGGTGTGGAAATGTGTAAAATTTGGTGAGCTTGCTCACAGCACCTCTAGTTTAATATAAAGAATTTGTAGAATTTATGGCATTTAACATATTTAGATCATATGAAATGAGAAATACATGATTGTATTATAAATTATTTTATCAACAGGAAATAGAGGTACATAAGAAAGAGCAAGAGGAACTGATCAAAGTTAATGAAGCTCTTGAAGCAGAAGTGAAAAAGTTACTACGGGATCCCAAAACTAACACAAGGCTTCAGATGTTTCCAGAATTTTTCCCTGACAGACAAAAGTAAGTGCTTTTTTCTAGGATCAGCCAAAGTTAAGATGCTGAATCTGCTTCCTAATTGGATTTCTTGCATTGTGAGATCCTGAGATATCAAAATTCTGATTTTAAGAATTTAGGGATTGCTTAGGAAGGAACATAATCTTCCATCAACATTTATTTTATAAGTCTTCTTTATCACATCAAAAATACATTGCATAAGTGCAAATTTTATCTCACTTCATTGAAATGGAAATCACACTATTGGCAATATATGACCTATATATTTACAATGTGTTCAGATTAAAGTTGCCAATTGAAAGCAATTTTATATTTGAAGAACTTGAATTGATTATACAAAAAGGATGTATGCAAGGATTCTGATTGAAACCTTATATAAGTACCAAAATTTAAAACATCTTTAATGCATTCAATTTTGTGTGAGAAATTGTCCCACTTTCTTATGAATTTTTTGAGATGTTTAGTATTTGATCAGCTATGCTTGATATATGTAAAGTAAACTTTTGTACACACATAAACAAGAGGGCCATGGGCCACATCACTCACCTGAGCAAATTGGTAAGGATAAAGCACAAATCAGTTCAGTATTGAAAAGTTTACATGGAAGGGGGGGGGGGGGGAGACTTGAATTTTAAACTACCTGAGGATGCTTCCATATCAGTATAACAAAGGGCTTTGCTATTCTCGAGAAGAAGATTTTTTCTTGTATATTTCTTTGCAAAAATTTGATCCCCCATTGTGGCCCCTCCCTATCCCCAGGGGTCATCATTTGTACAAACTTGAATCTACACTACCTGAGGATGCTTCCATATCAACTAGACTAAACATGGCTTTTCTGTTCTTGAGAAGAAAATTTTTGCCTAAATATTTCCATGTAAAACTTTGATCCCCCATTATGGCCCCACCCTACCCCCAGGGGTCATAATTTGAACAAACTTGAATCTTCACTACCTGAGGATGCTTCCATATCAATAAGACTAAACATGGCTTTTCTGTTCCTGAGAAGAAGATTTTTTCCTGTATATTCCTACATAAAACTTTGATCCCCCATTGTAGCCCCATCCTACCCCTGGGGGTCATGATTTGAACAAACTTGAACCTACACTACCTGAGTATGCTCCTATATCAATATGACTAAACATGGCTTTGCTGTTCTTGAGAAAAAGATTTTTTCATACATTCTTTTGTAAAACTTTGATCCCCCATTGTGACCCCACCCTACCCCAGGGGTCATCATTTGAACAAACTTGAATCTACACTATCTGAGTATGCTACCATATCAATTAGACTAAACATGGCTTTGCTGTTCTTGAGAATAAGATTTTAGATTTTTTTCCTATACATTCCTATGTAAAACCTGGATCCCCCATTGTGGCCCCATCCTACCCCCTGGGGGTCATGATTTGAACAAACTTGAATCTACACTACCTGAGTATGCTTCCAAATCAAAATGACTAATAATGGCTTTGCTAGTCTTGAGAAGAAGAAATTTAAAGTTTTTCCCTATATATATTCCTATGTAAAACTTTGATCCCCAATTGTGGCCCCATCCTACCCTCAGGGGTCAGGATTTGAGCAATTTTGAATCTACACTACCTTATGATGCTTCCATATCAATATGACTGATCACAGCTTTGTTGTTCTTGAGAAGAAGATATTTTTTTATTAAATATCCTATGAATTCCTATGTAAAATTTTGATCCCCTATTGTGGTCCCACCCTACCCCGGGGTCACGATGTGAACAAATTTGAATCTACACTATGTCTTGAAGGTTTCACATAAGTTTCAACTTTTCTGGCTTAATGGTTCTTGAGAAGATTTTTGAAAGATGACACCAAATTTTCACTAATTCTTAATTATCTCCCCTTGAAATGGAGCATGGCCCTTTATTTGAACAAACTTGAATCCCCTTCACCCAAGGATGCTTTGTGGCAAGTTACGTCAAAATTGGCCCAGTGTTTCTTGAGAAGAAGTCAAAAATGTGAAAGTTTACAGACTGACAGACAGATGGACGCCAGACAAAATATGATCAGAAAAGCTCACTTGAGCTTTCAGCTTAGGTGAGCTAAAAACTAGACTTTTAAAAGTTTTATTTATTCATTTTTGGGTTTCTTTTTGCAGATGCACTCCTGATATGGAAGTTGTATTGGACATTCCTACACAAGAATGGCTACCTTTATAAACTCTAAGTCGGATGGGTGCTTCTGATGTATTTATTGAATTTTGGATATATGTTAAACCATAATTTGCCTTATATTATTTGTTCTGTTTATATACATAGATTTTGTTATCATGTGATGAAAATAAATTTCATTCAAATTTTCGTATTCTGAATTATTCTTAGCCAAGGTGTAGACAGTCCAATCATCCTTATAGTAAATTCATTTTTCACTTACCAGATTTAATTATTCATATTAAAAGAAAAATGTCCAACCCATAGGCTGCTATGATATTAATAGGGTTGATTTTTCATTTTTCAAAATTGAAACATGTTTTTCAACCAGCTTTGTCTTACTAATAGCATAGCAAAACATGGATTGGGGGGTAATAAAGTATCCCAATATAATGGACTAAAAGTACTGAAATTTTGAACAATTTAATGGTAAAAAAATAGGCAAATGGGTATTGCAAAAATATTAATATCCTATATCTTTGGTATTCAGTATTAGGGATGCCAATATTCAATAAGAGTATTCAAATATATTCGAACAGTCAAACTGTGTGCATAGACTTTTGTATTAAGTGTACAGTAAGGAATTCTACATTTCATATTTGACATCCCACTGTGGGATGTGGAGACCAGTCTTTCGGATGAGACCATATAAACCAAGGTTCCGTGTCGCAGTAGATGCTGGCATGAAAAAAGATCCCTCGATCACTGCTCAATGGCCTTGAGTGCCGAGTATAGGTCAAAATTTGCAGCTCTCCACTGGCAAGTGTTGGCATCTCCATATGAGTGAAAAATTCTCAAGAGGGACGTTAAACAACAAACAAAGAAACATATTTGACATCTCTGACATTTCATATTTGAAATGATGTTGATTTTAAGTGTATATTAGAACACAAAACATAATTTAAAAAGAACAAAATTGAATCCCCAAATGGTGAACTGGTCATCTTACCAAGGACAAGGTTATAGTACTTGTATACTGTTCAGATTTAACATCAATCAATATGATATGATAATAATCTTTGTTACAGTGTTTTGAAAGTGTAAACAAACACCCCCAAAGGCAATATATTTACTTAATTCACTGATTTCTTGATTATGATTTTTAACCCTATGAATATTACATGTATAAGCAATTCATGAATGCATTACTCTGAAATTAAGACCATTGCAACAATACGGACAGAAAATATTAAACCTGATCAATGAAATTTATTTTTATAAGTTCACTTTTCACTACTGTTAGATCATTGTTTCAAGCCACGGTCCTGAGTCCACATAATTCACTTTTTATTCACGAGAACTTTATTTTCGTGTTATTACCCGAGTCTGTCCGCCCGCCAAAACTTTATTCAAGCGTATATTTGTATTGTTAAGGATTATATACAATAGAAACCTCAGCTTGTGAAAATTTTATCTTGCTTATAAATACCAAATAGCTATCTCGCGGAAATAAGGTGTCGCGAAAATACAGTGATCTACTGTATTAAGTTCTCTCCTACTGGAATGGGAAAGGATAGTACATTTTGGCCATGGTCTGTGACAATGCTAAATATCTAAAAAGGATTTTGTTTTCTTGTCCCCAATTATAGATGAATCATATTACAAGATGGGAATTTGTATCCCTTGAATCACCAATTTCAAAATCTCAGAAACTCCTCTCTAGATACAACACTGAGTGTTAAACAGGTCACTAAAAATCCATGCAGTATTGTCCCTCTTTAATCTTAAATATCACTAAACAATTGATTTCTGAGGAAAATAACTTAATTTTCTTGAAACGGACAACTCAAAATGATTGAATTTTGTAGATCAAGCCATTCTCAGAAAGTAGTGAAAGAAATCCGCTCATGAAATTGATCACTTGTATTAATGAGAGGGATTATTGATTATTCTGGTTCTGTTTTCAAATAATTAGGAGTAAATTGTCAACTTTAGATACTCTATCTGATGATGACAAACTAATTGAATTATTTAACAAAAGAAATCATAGAGCTCCCTATTATGAATAAGGTCATTTTAAATTTGTAGACTGAAGCAATGTGATAAATTTTATGTGAAGAGATTGGTGTGAAATTCAGAAATGAAAAAATCAAAAATAAAAACAGGCTACAATTTAGCCAATTTATGTCCCCACCTAATGACAATTAAAATAGTGGATGGAAGACTTTAAAAAATGCAGATGGAGAACAAAAAAAAAGGATTGACCTTGATCATTCACCTTTCCACCTTAAAATCAACAGGAGTCTTTCCTATAATAGAGAGTCATCACATTAACTTCATTGCAAAAATTCAAAGAGAACATTGGTACCCACTAACAAGCAGATGATCCGTATTGATTATGAAGTCACAAGGTCAAGGGTCAAAGAACATTGGACATAGTAAAACATTGTATGTCTATTCAGTATTTTGAGAACCTTTGCTTGACAGCCATCCAACTTGGAACATTGCTAACCCCTAATGAATCAATGACTCCTATTGATTTTTGAGGTCACAAGGTCATAAGTCAAGTTACTTTAGACATAGGAAGCTATTGAGAACCCTTTGCTTGACAGACATATATCAAACTTGATACTTGATACACTAGTTCCTCTCATCCTCACATCAGGGTCTTGTGTCAACTCTTTGCTGTTGGACCCCTGACAAATTTCATTTGAAATCTTCCAGCTTGCTTCTCTCATTGAGAAGCACCAAATCAAATTGAAGTAGACAGATGATGTAAACAGAAAGGAATCAGTTGACAATTAATGCATCTGTTATGCATTGTTTATCACCGAAAGGCTTAATGTGATTGGTTGAGAGATAAGAAAAACAATCAAGATTTGTAATTTTCCCAAAAGATGTAGCTGCAGTCAGCCTGCAAGATATTGAATAAAATTTGTCAGGGTCCAACAGTAACAAGTTGACACAGGACCCCTGATGTTGTGAGGATGGTTCCCTCTAAGGAGTAGCTGACCTCCCTCGATTTTGAGGTCACAAGGTGAAATATCAAGCTATTTTGGATATGAAAACTGCTTACTGTCCTTGTCTGCTCAATATCTTCAAAACCCTTTGCTTGACAGACATTGCACTTGGTACACTGGTACCCCCTAAAAGAACAGATGACCCCTTTCGATATTAAGGTCACATAGTCAAACTACTTCAGACATAAGATATTGTCTACTCAATGGTTCAAGAACCCTTAGTGTGAAATCATCAAACTAGATGCTCTGGTACCCTCTAAAGAGAAGATGACCCCAATTTATCATCAAAGTCAGACTTTCTAAATTTAAAATTGATCCTTTACGATATTGTCACACTGGGGGCATATAGGTTTCTAATACAGTAAAACCGATTTAGTTTAAACACATTATAGAAAAGTTGTAGATAAAGCGAAGTTTTTTGGGATCTCCTACAAAATTCTTAACTTTTACTGTTGTAACAAACTTTAATATCACAAATATAGTGACCCATAGGGAGTTTAAAATGATGAAACTTACACCTTTTATGACGTATTTTTCAAGAACTCAAAATTTAAGATATTAAACTAGTTTTTTGACAAATTCTTTAATCGGAAATAAATTACATACACATGTATAGTGAAGTATATTCACAGGTCTCCAGGACTTTGCTATCAGCTATAAGTTTCAGCCTTTCTGGCCCAGTGGTTCTTGAGAAGAAGAATTTTAAAGATTTTTTCTGCATATTTCAATGTAAAACTTGGATTCCCTATTGTGGCCCCGCCCTACCCCTGGGGGTCATGATTTGAACAATTTAGAATCTTCACTACCCCAGAATGCTTCCACATAAATTTCAGCTTCTCTGGCCCAGTGGTTCTTGAGAAGAAGATTTTTACTACATATTTCAATGTAAAAACTTGATTTCCTATTGTGGCCCTGCCCTACCCCCTGGGGGTCATGATTTGAACAATTTAGAATCTACACTACCCAAGGATGCTTCCACAAAAGTTTCAGCCTTTCTGGCCCAGTGGTTCTTGAGAAGAAGACTTTTTAATGACCCCACCCAATTTTTGTATTATCTTGATTATCTCCCCTTTGATGGGGACTTGGCCCTTCATTTTTACAATTTAATAGCGATTCTCTGTAACCACTTAAACTTCTTTGCCACGCATGGTCCTGGATTTTGATGAAACTTTGCCCACTATTACAACTTGACACCAGAAACATAATATCAAACAAAATTTAGTTGTTATGTGTTTTGGTTGCCATGGTAACAGCCAGAAAAGTTGAAAAATTGAGATTTTCAGCTACTTTGATTCTTAATTAAACCTTAATAAAGACTAAGAAAAACAAACAAACCATTCTCACAAAAACATGACACCTTGTTGCCACATATGCTATAAAGAAACTATTTAGAATTTATCTCTAAGTAAGTGGTAACCATGGGTACATTTGGAATACATTTTAGATGCTGAAAAATGCTGAAAAACGCTCAATATTCATGAATTATAGATGTTACATGATCAAACACAATCAACAACCAAAGAAAAACAATAAAACTATTTAACCGTAAGTAATTAGGTATTGGCAATATAATTCTAAAAATATCTTTCAGGGTTGCCATGGTAACACTGTGTAACCATGCAAAATCTGTTGTGAATATTGGGTTTATGCTACTATCTTGAGGAAAAACAATAAAATTCATGACTGGCACATATACATCCTTAGGACCTTGCAACACCAACAACATAAGAAAAATATGGATTAATTGTTACCTTTCAGTGTAACCATGGAAACAATGTACAAGTTGTTTAAAGTGATATTGTTTTGCTGCTTTAGGAATTAACTTACCTTTTAATCAAAAAACGTATTATTTTACTCACCTTGAATAGTACTTATCTGGTAGAACTAAAGTTGAATATCATATATTGATAAAGTATGTTGAAAAATACAACACTGTTGCTATGGTTACCAAGAAGGGAAAATGTTCGATTTTGTTAATTTTATATCAATATTAAATCCTATGTGTCAGCTTTCTGCATCCAGTTAGAGATTGGGTGCTAGACAAAATTGAAAGTCAGGTTAGCTGTTCATGTATATCAATCATAAAACTTTTGGGAATCTACAAACAAGGGTACGTATCCAAGGAAACAGAATATTTTCAGATTTTTATGCAAATTTTTTTGGCTAATTTCCATAGCAACGCTGTATTTAAAGAATTGTATTTGAATTGTTTGAAATGTGAAAATTAGGGTCACACCAACGCCTTTAAAAATTGATCATTAGTTGTATAGAAATATGTTTTTTAAAAAGATATGATAAGATTTAAACACTAAGAGAGTAAATTTAAAATCCCTTTGTGGTATTAAAACCATGGCAACCACTGCCAACCTATAAGAAATATCATATTTCGTCCTTGGTATATGTTACATGGATCTCTTGTCTATTATTTGCTTGCATTTCAACCTATAATTGTTTTTATTCTTAAGTGTATGACTTCACAAATTTAAATGAACAAAATTATTACTTTTGAATACTTTGTTTCCATAGTAAAGTACGTAATAGTTGTTTATCATGCATTTAAGACATCAGGCCTTCAACTTTCAGAAACAGTCATTGCCACTTGTTTGCTTTGCTGCAAACCTTAACTGGGGGACTCTGAACATGTTGAAAAATGCCAATTTTTCAAACTTTAGGACATGTTGCTATGGTAACCATGACATGTAGCAACCAATTTTTGCCTGATTTGAGTTTACGTTGTCAAAGACTTTTATCATAGAGAGTTTGGAGAAATTCTGAGACTATGCGTGCCAGAGCTCCTATATAAAAAGTCAAGTCATTAAAGAGAATGGCTCTTAAACTCCCCTTCGCTCAAGGATGCTTTGTACCAAGTTTGGTTAAAATTCGTAAGAAGTCAAAAATGTGAAAAGTTTACAGACAGACAGACGACGGACAACGGGTGATCAGAAAAGCTCACTTGAGCTTTCAGCTCAGGTGAGCTAAAAATGCTGACCCAAAGGGCATATGCCCTCTGCAATGTACTAGCCCAGATTGAAAATTCACTGTCCCCCGACCAGCGGGCCATCAATTATTTCAAGCCCTGGCTATAATAAAATTTTACTGTACATTTCTTGTTTTAGTACAGATTTATATAGGAAAGCATTTGAAAGTTGAAAACATTAGAAAAGTAAAACAATTACCCTTAATGGGGAGAGGATGTGGGTGGGGAGGTGTGTATTATTTTCTCTGATTACTAAACTGTTTGAAAGGTACTCTGAATGTTTTGAAAATGTCCTATGAACTTCAATTTCTTTTAATGATTTTTCTTCCTTGAAAAAGAATTGCTTTTCCTTGGTCTTTGAAAACATAAAAGATAAATTTTCAATTTAGTTCTTCAAACAACAACCTGTCAATCATTTTTTTATCAGTTTATTGACAAACAAACTTTTAAATGTTAAGATAAAGTTACATCCTGTCTCTTTTAGTATTACAATTTCACTTCCCTCTGTCTTAATTCTTTTTAATGATCACTCTTATTTTTCAAGATCAGTCAGGAGTTTGGTAGATTTAGATTTTTCTTCTGTAGTAAAGATGGACCAGGTGGGCTTGAATTTGTTCTTCTCATAATCGTACCATGAAGCGATGCCATCAACTGGCTGGACTCTTCTCTTAATGAGGTACTCTGTCTGGGCGTCCACCCACTCATTGGTCACAGTGATGGGCTCACTTTCCCGATCTGTTAAAACAAGAAAAAAATGTTTTAACTCTTTCAAAGTACTGGTATGGATTTACTGAAAACATACCTTTTCCGTGGGGTCATAATTCAGTGGAATCACAATTTCTGTTCAATCCGCAAGTAGAAAATTTTCCAAACCAGAAATTTCTTGACAAGAAAAAAACAAACAAACAAACAAAAGAAACAACTCTCCCCCCCCCCCAAAAAAAAACTTTATTTCTCAAATGTATCAAACCCAGAAAATTTCTTGACAAGCCAAAAACAAAAAACAAAAACCCCTAAAATCCATTTCCCAAACATGAAAAAAACCTATTTCATGGTGGTGCTGGTGGAGTCCACATTTTTCTATTTGCTTCAGTGTATACTTTAAATAACTCTGTAAATTCCAGGGGGGTCCTGACCCCCAACCCCCTCTGGATCTGTGCATGCTTGATACCTTACATACTTCACTAAAACTGCATATAAAGTAGCACTTTTAAAATGGGGTAACTGTTTGTAGCAGTAGCAAATAAGTAATGTTGTAAATGTCAGACAATGTTGAGTCATTTAGTGCATTGTTTCTATTTTATTTATACCACAAATCTCACCAGTGACAACTGTAATCACCAAGACATTTTCTTTCATATCCAGACTTCTTTCATTAATAATATAAACATGTAGATTTTACAGCCCAGGTCAGAAATTTATTAACCCCTCCCCTTCTTTCTTCCAGATAGAAGTACTTTAAATTTTCCTGAGCTGAATATATTATATATCAAATATCAAAAAACGAAGAACTCTTTTAAACCTTGAAACCCAATAAATTCTTTGTAACATCAGAACCTGTTTTCCAGAATGTCATTTACAGACTATATCAAAGTTGAAGCTTCAAGGCATAAATTGAATCATACATGTAACTTACTTGCTGCTCCAACAACACTCATGGCGATCAAGACCAGGCCCATTAAGACAGCGTTGTCTCCCAAGCATCTTTTCCAGTCTCCTGAGGGGGCTTTGACTTCCTCCAAAGTGGAGTTAAAACTAGCTCTGTATACTGGAAATCAAACAGCAACATTATCATTTATGTGAAACAATATTTGCAAGAAAATGCTATTTCTGAATGCTAATATTGCTTAAAACAGGTACAATCTATAAATAAAACTTTGTCGCACATAGTTTGAATGATAAGACATTTTTTTGCAATCTTGTACATCTTCAGTCATCCACATCAAACTGGTTAATACTAATTGTCTGGAAATATCATTTCCCAAAGTCTAAACTATGAGTAAATAGTACTTGATTTTTATGTAGTGCTGCTTACAAGTTTTCTTTTCCTCCAATGTTAATAGTTTCCAGTCCCCCTTTTCCTTTTCTCTGAGTTTTCCAAGAGCCTCATCAACTTCCTTGAATCTGATAGCAGGGCAGGGTTGCATAAATGAATCTGTATAGTATGGGACTTCTCCGTACCCTACAATTTCTCTGTTACCTGTTTTCAAGTAAAATTCCTTTAAAATTTATGAATTAAAAAAGAACACCATCAGAAATGTCTTTTTCGAAATTATCATGCTCATGGCCATCCCCCAGATGAATTAAACAGCTAACAATTATCTTAAGAATATCACCCACCTATAACAATGCTATATTCCTCTTTTCCTGGGTAGTATTCATGGCCTGGAAGGACAGATTTAGAACCAGTGGTTGCAGGTGCATCCCGAGCAATAGAAGTAAGGGCAATTTTTCTAGATGGAGCCACCCAGATGGGCTGCTTAGCTAGGACACGTGGGGCACTCCGTAACAGGTTGAATGTACTCATCTTATCTCTGAAAAGCAGAAATGTGTTTATTAAAAAAATTATTAAATCTCTGTTTATTGAATCTCATTTATTCGTTTGTTTGTTTATTTTAACAGAAGTATGTAAATTCCTAGGCACACTATAATAGTTGACCATCACTGACTAACTGAGAATCAGATATTAAAAAACAACATTTCTGGAGGAACTTTTCCAAATGGACGACTTTCAAATTTACAAAAGTTATTTCCCTTTGTGGGGTCAATCTGGGGTCACTCGGCGTAACCCACTGTTTACCCTCTATAATATTACTTATTTTATGGGGCAAAGTCTTACAAACTAAACCTATATATATGTTCATGATGTTGTCTGTGTTGCCCTATACCATGGCAATACAGGAACAGTAGAAAATAGTCCGAAAGCGTTTGAAGGGTTTAAAATATTCACAGGTAAGTTACAAAGGATATAGTGAGAAAAATGAGCGTTACGCTGACAGAGATAACTCTTCAGAATGTGAAAGTCATCTATTTTGAAGATTCTTCTTCATTAATACCATAAGTACAATGGTATTGTAATTACCATTGCTATATTCCATTGCAATTGAACTATGTTTATTAAAGTTTTCTAATTTATCATTATATCGAGATACATGTATCGCATCGTATTATATGTATTGAGATACATATTGTATCGCAAGGCCTATTGTATCGTCCACCCCTAACAAAAAACAAAACTGAAGTTAGATAAATAAAATAAATTAATACCTTATAGGTCTATTCAAGTTTTAAAGTTTTATTTCAATGTAAGTACACTATATATATACATGCATAAGCATGTTGATAATACAAAAAGCGGTCTGATTTAGCTATAACTATAAGCTTTCCACTTTGCCTCTGCTCCTTTGTCGGGTTTTACAACTGGTGACCTTAAAAGGTTGATGGAAACAAGATTCAGTTTAAATTCTTATCTCAAGAAAAAGTGTCTAAGTGATATTGAATAAAGGCTTGCAAGTCATCATTTGTCTTTTCAAGTAATCTGTCTGTATTCTTAAGGACAAAATCTAAATCATTCTTTGGGTTTTTGTTACGCCGATGGCAGCATTTATTTTACAGAAATATATATAAACTAAGTTATTGAAAATGTCATAAAATACCATACATTTTGTGTCGATTTATTCACGATTCATCCAGGTGCAATTTCTCATTTATTATGAATTACTACTATAAACAAGAGTAAAAGTAAATATATTTTTTAATAAGAGATTCGACATTTTTGGTTCGAACAGCCGCTAAGTACATCAGAGAAAACTCGGAAGGAAGGTCAACGCAATTCAAGAAATTACAGACATTAGAAATCATGGCTTGTTCTAAAACAATGTAATTACTATCGGAAAAATTAAAGATTTTCAATACAATGCAAAAAATTACCATATGAAGTCCTCCGCACACTTCGTCCACGGAAGGTTACTTCTGCAAATTCTGGTCTTCCAAGCGCTTTTGTGACACGGAAGAAGCTAGACACCCCAAAAGTACACAATTGTAAACCTTTGTGTTTGTTTAAAATTTTATTTTACTAAAATCCCAATTTGGAAATATTATGTGTTGACTTTATAATTATTTTCATCTTTTGGTAAATGTCATTCTCTGGATTTAAAAACAAATACTGAAAACGATAGATACAATGTTTGACTACGTTCTACTGTGATATTAATTAATTCTGCATCTCTGCCATGAAAAGATTTTTAAAATTATTTTTATATTTTTCTGAATCTTGGGATATAAAAGTTTGTCAGTGTTAATGATATTTTGCGATGAAAAATAGAATAAACAAATTTACTACCGTTTACAGCAGTTAGTCCAACCCCATTGCTAAGCGTTAGGTTAACAATGATCAGGGGGAAAATGACGTTGGATCAGGGTAGTCACGTAGGATGCTAATATGATGTATCGCAAAGGAACGTTCTGATCTAATCATTCTTAGAATTTTATGTTTTGTCACTAACAGTATGTGATGTTTGGCCTTCTTAGAAATAGATTTTTGAAAATGAATAGTGGACATTTTAGGAGCCACGTTTGGGATCCTAAACTACTTTGCTTACAAATTGTGGCGATGCAAAGCCAGTTTTACTTCATGTTTGGGATGTGGACTTACCTGATGGACATAATAGGCAGATTTGATGCGTCAATGGACCAGTTATTTACACAAACTGTAAATTTTTTTTGTGTAAAACCTTGTGTATTTATCAGTCAAATTTATAAAATTCTGAAAACTGCCGTTTAACAGGTCTAGTACAATCTCTTGATGTAGCTATATAGCTTGAAATAGCTATAGCTTTATTAAGCTAATGAAAGTTGCGTGATAAAGCTATTTATATGCAGTTTTTCACAAAAGCGTTTTTTGTAAGAACTAGACAAAAACTCGCTATTCATGTATGTACTTTGGGCTATCAAAAAAGCAACCCAAATAAAAGGTAGTTCTAACATTTTATTATTTGAATACTTAAGCAAAAGATGTATTTCCATTGTTTCAATAACTGTTCACCACCTTGTGTTCATGAGTCATGGCATGGATAAGTATGATTGCTTCATTGTGCTGAATTATTACCAATTATCTTGTTGGTAATAATTGACTTCCTTTATAATTTCATTCAAGAAGTAACTGTGTCACCACAAATCAATTGCTTTATATAGCCTCAAAACTAAAAAAAAGAGATGCAATATGAAGAGCAATTTTTACATGCTTTGCTTTCAGAACAGTTTAAGGTTGAAGTTTGAACAATATTACTGCACCTTGGTGAGACTTTTTGTACATGCTTAAAAAATAACACATTTAGGAAAAAAAGTGAGATAAACTAGCTAAATCAAGCTATTTCCAATAACTTCATAAAGCTATATAGTTTATTCAAGCTCTTTAGCTAAATCAAGAGATTATACTGGACTTGATTAATTTGAAATATTAATACACTGTAAATGTAACAATTAATTTTAACATGTTGAAGAAATAACCAGCATCTAAGAATATCCCATAAGAATTAATATTTTGAAGATAGGAAATTAAAATTAAGTCAGAACAGTACCTGGTAATATTAAACTATGAGCATGTTACCTTTCAGGATCTTGACTTGCTTGAAGACTCGGGAAGAGTTCAAGTTATTGCTTTTCTTTTGAATAGCCTTACAAGGTAAGTTTTTGTATCAAAAATTTTTTTTAAAAAACATCAAGTCAACTTGTATTGTGGTTAGTTTGCAAGCAAATAGCAAAAATACATGAGTAACCAAATATATGTAATATGTGAAAATCAGCATAGAACCTGGAATCAAGTTACGAATTGAACCCTTGGCATTTAAGCCTTGGCATTCTCAGCAATTCTTTTATCACCTTGAAAGGGAACTCAGCCATCCATTCATGAATACCCTTTTTACAAGGCTGCTGAATGAAAAGTTTCTACAACTTGGCTCAAAATGAACTTGAGAAATACTGACAGCCATAATACATCCTTTGATCAGAATGTGACTTTAGCCTTTGGATAGGATGAACTGTAGAACTATATGAAAGAAAAATTACCAGTACATGTACTTTTCTTTCTTTTCAGTGCTGTAGCATTGTGGTACATAGTCCAAAGAGCAAAACTTTGTTTGGACTTTGCAGTGACAGCCCATTTCTTTCACTTCCTAGGATGCTGGATATTTAATCGACACATTCCACAAACTCTCCCCTGGTGGATTTTGAATGTGATAGGATGTGCTTTAATGACAGTGTGTGGAGAATTCTTGTGTATGAGAACAGAAATGAAGGCCATTCCACTAGCAATGGCAGGGGCCAAAGTGGATTTGTAAATGTCATTCATATCCACAAACTTAGTCCTTGTGCATTCTGTATAAATGATATTCATAATCATGCCACCATTTGAACAAATAGGCAAATACTTTTTTTTTCATCTTATATACATATATATAGTCAGTTCAAGTTAATGACATTAAAACACCATTTCTTGTTATAAACTCTTGCAATTTGGGATGTAGAAACTTGTTTGAATGATAATATCCAACAATCTTTCATCTTTCAAAGTTTTGTTAAGTATCCATGTATGTTAACTCGATGATTTATTTATGTGTCCAGCACCATTGTATCAGAAAACTAATGATGTGTATGACTCTAGTTAAAGTCATACACCATGTTCAGTTTTGTACAGTAATTTTGAATAAAGACTTTAAAACACAGAATTTTTGATTTCCATCTTCATCATAATATTAAATTAAAAACTGAAATTACTGACATACACTTCAGTCATTATCCATTTAATGAAATGGGTTTTAAATTTTCTCTCAAATTTCACTGGTCCAAGGACTACTAAGCTTGAGAAAATCATTCGTCCATAACATTGTATCAATAATCAATTTGCAAGTAAAAAATCAAATCGAAACATTTTTGAATAATTCTTAACAAAAAAAAAGAACCTGTGGTGGTGTGACTTGTAGTATGGTAAAGTAGTTGGTTGGGACCTTGGAACTGTATTGTTAAACCCCTGATGAAAATCTCTATGAACAAGTGTCCACTAGCCACTGAGATAAAAAGAGGTCCAAATTATAATGAAACCCTTTGGTCAAGAAATATTCCTCGTTTACAAAAAGAGGCCCAAGGGCCTTAATAGTCACCTGAGTGACACACAATCCTGTAAAAGATTCATGAAATGGTTAATAATTATATAACAAGACAAAAAAATTGAAAGTAAAAAAGGATGATCAGGGTTCAACAAAAACAGTCTGGTAATCGTCAACAAACTTTGAAACTTGTGTGTATCTGTCGGGGCTATCTACACTCCATCACTATCACCAAGCATTACTGCTTAAGCATAAAACATATTCACAGAAAACCCCTCATAATCCATGTTCCAAACTGGCCTCTCTTGACCTTTGAATAATACTTAATGTACATATCTAAGATATTTTTGCCAGGGGCCATGAATTTCACAATTTTGAAAAAGCGCTCCTGCTCATCATAACCATGACTTTGTATTCTTAATACAGAGGGGAAGATTTTCAAAGAATAAATGAATTCTCATTATATGACCAATAGAACCCCACCCTGACTGCAGAACCCCTGACCCAAGGGCTGTGAATTTCACAATTTTAGAAGTGGCCCTCTTGCTCATCATATCCATGCACTTCACTGCTTGATGTCCTGGAGATTTTAAAAGATTGCATTAATTTTGATGGTTTTAGCCCCATCCCTCAGGCCCCAAGGGGGGCAGAGACCATGAAATTCAGAAATATTGTTCCCCTTCATTCACAAATGCTATATATCAAAATTGGTTGAAATTGGTTCAGTGGTTTAACAAATTAATGATGACGGATGAAAACTGATAACAATAGGTCAACCCAGCACCATGTTTTTGTTGGAGAAAATAGCATACAACCTTGCTCTGTCTATGAAGTCTAGTTTTAGTTTAATCACCTCTTCAAATCAAAGGAATTGTAACACTATCACAAGCTTGCTTTAATACATACTTGGATGTTTAGTAGTGAGAAGTTCAAAGATTTATTGAAGTACTGGTACTCAATTTTATTGAATTCTCTTAATTTAGTGTTGGACAACAAGTGTTATACTTGGTACATTAAATTATTAAAGTCATATATTATAAAATGATTATAACATGCAAAGAAACAGTTACAAGAAGATACAAGACCATTATGCAGAAACCCTTTGTATAAGTTTCAATTCAGTTCTACCATGATTTAAAATCAAGCAAGAACTGAAATGTGTAAGTTTCAAAAATGGTGAAAAAGCATCTAAGTACACCACATAAAGCAAAATTTACATTACAGCCTATGAAAATATTAATCACTGGTTGTTCTGAACACTTCACAAGATACAGTGTACTAACTTACTACTGTTTCAAATATGCCATGTAAGATGGTAGATGTGTATTTGACAGGAAATATGCAGCGAGATTTTGAAATCCAATATACATGTAAATACCATAAGACAGGGAATGCACAAATACAAGTATCTCAAGAAAACTTCCATAGTTTTGCAATGTTTGCCAAGTAATTCTTTATGCCTTCCACCACTACTCAACATCAAATTTAACCTAACACGGACAAAAACAAAAATTGTACAATGGTCAAACTACAGCACTAGTTCCTCATACGATGGTCCCTCTGTGTCGGTACCGTCCCGTCGAAGTTTTAAATGTTCTACAGTATTCTGGAAATGCTTGTTTATCTGCTCAGTTTCTTCATTTGCCTCTAAATTGGGCAACGATTCTTTTATTTTTGCTATCAACTGGTTCAGAACTTGAATTGTTACCTGCAATAGAAAATTACAGTCTGATCAGAGAATATGATCTAGGTAAGTATATTAAAATAGTGAAAAATGCTTCTGACTCCGTGTGGAACCATGATAAGATGTTTCAGGGTCTGGTTTTGTAAATACATGTATATCAAAGGATATGGTTTGATACAGCTGTACTTGAATATTTTCAGTTAATACATAAAATTTTATAATGAATAGAACATCATTACAAGCCGCTATGATACATACCTGATCGTTGCCTTTTTCATAGTAGTATATATAGTGATTCAGAAGTTCCACAAATAACTGGACTTGAACAGAACTGTCCATGCACTGATTGGCTATCTTCACTCCTTTCTTAAGACAGTCAGACACTCTCTTTCCATCTTGGAGCTGAGTAAAAAAGAACACATTTATCTGTTATTACAGCAATATCAGTAACTACTGTAAAAGCAGAAATATTCCTTAGGGATTAAATTTCGTTTATTTCGTTTCGTTGTTAACAATTATCAACGAAATTAAATCCCAAACGAAATTTTTATATGACTATATATTGAATAGGGTTACTTTCGAAATGCCCACAAAACATTTTTAGAGGACAAATCAACGAAAATTGATCCCCATGAAAATTTGTCCTTCTACAGTATTAAAAATACTTAAGAAAATAAATTGGTAGTGTTTATAAAAAAATAATTTAATACTGATAATCCTACAATAACTGAAAAAAAATCTACTGTAAACTAACTAATACTTGCAACGTCTTTATTCAGAATTTGTTTGTTTGAAATCTATGCACAAAAACTAATTTTTGCAACTTAGGTACTGTAAACTAACTATTATTTGCGTCAACTTTTATTCCCGATTCATCAGTTTGAAATCAATCCGCGACAATTACTGTAATTTTCGCAACTGAGGAAATATTCTTTACTAAAACAAAACAAAATATATGGTTGGCGGCAATTAATATTCGCAAGTTTAAGTAGGTCGCGAAACTCGGGGATATTTCTCGTACACGAATAAAAGTTGGTTTACAGTATAAAATTAGTTTGCAGCAAGAAATATTCACGAGTAAAGAAAGATCACGATCTCGCATATATTTCTCGCACACAAATAAATGTTGGTTTACAGTACTCCGTGCTCCAGTGATTATCAATACATCAGGCCTAAAAAAATTTTATCAGAATTTGTTGACAAATGTCTAAATATGTCTAATGAAAATTTACCTTCAAACATCAGCAATATTAAACCCTTTGATCACATACAATATCAAGATATTTCTCTCCTGACTAACCTCCCCTTCCTGTGATGTGGATTTTCCAGACCAGAAAAGATGTGAACATGTGCAGACCCCACGACACTGATCTGGCTTCTTGAGGAGTTTGGATGCAGCCAGAGCACACTGGGTTCTGAGAGGCTCATGATTCTCATCCCCAAAACAGCTCATTTGTTCAAGGGTTCCGATGATCAGTGTAATGGCTGCCAGTTGTGCTTTGCTGTCACTGATTTCATCCTCGTACAAAGAAAATGCCTGGACAAAAATTATATTTGTGTTTATACATCACATTAATACATATTAAAAAGAAGTCTCTAATGAGACCAGGCCTTACAGAATTACACATTTTGTTCTCGTCTACATATATGTAAATTTTTATAGAAATCAGACCAAAACTGCCAGAGTAATAATTTGGGTAAAAAAATGTTTACAAACAAAAAAAAAACACATGAATGAGGGGTAATTTACTATCAAAATGTCTAAAAAGCAGCATGATGAAAAAATAATAACAAATTTAAAGGACAAATACCTGTGACATAAATTCATAAGCCACTGTTTCATGATTTTCAAACTCTATTTCCCCTGCTGTCGATGCTCCCTGTAGAAACAGTCGGAGTGGCATCTCCGCCATGTCTGCCTTTATCAGGGCTCCTATTGTCTGGTGACAAAACTGGAAGATCTTCTGACACTTCTTCTCCCAGTTTTCATCCTACAACAAACCATGAAAGACACAATGTATTTTGCTTCCTACACTGCTTTTAGTCTTAGAAAGCTGCATAGTTTGAACCTGAAGCAAACTTACCTCTTCTTTAGCTTCATTATATCTCATGGCTAATCTGTATGCAGCAAAAACAATGGGAGTGAGGGTATACTTGATTCTTTTGTCTCCACCAGCCCCAAAATGCTTCCTAGCTGTGTTGAGTATCTGAAGGAAACAAAGTATGTGTTAATAAATAAATATAAAATGAAGAGTTCTTTCATGATTAACAAAGTATGGTTGATATAAATACTGTAGATTCCTAAATATACGCGAGGAATTAATTAACACAATTTCATGAGAAGCACCACTTGTGAAATAAATCACTCACAGTTATTTTTACATTGCTGAAATGTATTTAAAAACTCTTGATGAAGCATCCAATTGCCAATTCACATTCTCACTATTTTTCCTCTTTGGGTAATTTTGCGATTTTTAGTAATCTCGTAAAGTAAGAATCTACAGTATTCCAAAAACATGTAATTGGAAATGTTCAAATGCTACTTATACTTTTAGCAGGGCATCTAAAGAGAGGGGATATTTGAATACAGCTTATAAAAGAACTCAAACATCTTACAAAAAATACACTACATATTGTGGTCTTAATCTTATTGAAATGTAATGGGTTGTACACCTTCACTTGTCATGAGCAACCATTGTAGTCCTATTTAAATGAAGTTGGCTCATGGTTACGACTTATCTCATGGTTATAATCAACTCTCAGTCTCTGGCTAAGTACATTTATAATTCTAATGTTACTCCATAATAAAGCAGTGACTTTGAAGTTGTACAAAATACCATGGTACCGGATGAATACATTTCACATATTTTATATTATTCTATCTCTTTTACCCCTTGTCATGAAAGTGTGTGTGTCTTACCAGGTATTGCTGATTTGGATCTTCTGCTTGGAGTAAGTGTATAAACCTTCCCATGAGCCCTTGCTCCTCAGCAAAGTCTTCTGGGTCATCTGGTTCTGTTGGTTGGTCACTCTGGTCTTGTACAAGGACATTCACAATGTTCAGAATGTTGTCCACCTAACATACAATAAAAGAAATAAAATTAAACTTCATATCTAAATACAATAATTAATTAATATTCTATGTCACTGTAAAGAGAGAATTATAATTTATGTTACACCATGTATGTCACTGTTAACAGAGAATTATACTTTAGATTACACCAAGCTATAATGCTGAGTGTACAAAGGCAGTCAAATTCTAAATTATATGTTTATACTCTGTACACTTGACAATCAACTCAATTTTGGTTAATTCATAGATCTTTTTTTTACTTCTCTAAAATAAGCAAATGACAACCATGCTTTCTCCCTTTCCCAATACTCTGTAAAAAAAAGAAGACAGCATTGTACCTGATCTTGTGTGGGTATACAGGTTTCATTTTCCAGCACATTGTTGATGAGGTAGGAGCACATGATTTTCCTACTCTGGTAGTCAAAGTAATCAAATATAGGACCGAAATGCTGCAGCTCTAATACCGTTAGGATGTTATTGTAAGAGTCCACTGGGATCTTCATTAACCGCATCAGCTCCTTAGACACAGGACTGCCGTACTCCAAACTGACAATAATTACAGACATAGACAAAACTATATGTACATCTTAGAATTTATAAACTATTTAACAACACATATGCATTTTTTTTCCTAATTCAGTAAGTATGGGAATAAAAAGGGTGGTTCAATGTTGACACTAAAATCTTCTGTTTTGACAAAATAAAGAGAGCAAGGGCACTGCAAAGCAGAGCATCCCCTCGCAAAAGAGCACATTGATCCGATATAAATTACTATTGAAGAGCTTTTGTTGTGCACCCTCTCACTCACTCACCCACCCACACAAGTGTATTACTATATCCTTTCCAACTTCGTTGCAAGAGGATAACAATTCAGAGGTAAGCTTGCATGGTATCATTACAAATGAATAAAATGCCTTTGTTTCTGTGATTAGGAGTACCGGTAAAAATTCTCAGGTAACTCATTAATGCTTTAACTGCCCTAAAGCTAAATGCATTGTATCTGCTATTTAAAAATTAACTTCAGATTCAAATTCAAAATAAAGGTGAAATGAATCAAAAAATAACAGAGAAAAATGAATTTCCCATAAAAAATGCACTAAAGGAATGCCTATTTCATTGTAAAATCCTCCAACTTAAAGTTAATACAGCTCTCAAATGCATAAGTATTCAAATAAACAAAGAACTTACTGATCCAGATTAAGTCTGTTGAAGATATCCTCTGTGGTTTCTAGCACTTTGTCAACATATTCCACTTTGTCTGGGTAACACTTCAGCGCTAGATTGATCAGCGCCACCTGTAGGGAAACAATGTCCTCTGGAGGCATGTCAGGGCGATTCTGAAATAAAATTATGGTATACTTAAGGTCAAGCTTCATATTTATGCTAATGTAAATTCATTTTAGAAGTACTTAATTTACCAGGCATTGCAGAGTTGTCCCTGTAATGATACACATGTCTCACACTCATACAATTAGACCTTGGTTTATTGAAAACTCAATAGGACTGCCATTTTTTTTTTAATTCCAGAGGATTCAAAAAATTAAAGTTTAGACTCAAACTTATAATATGGTCCCTGTAAACTCTCTTTGACGTATCTAGTATTTCACTTATACAATAAAATGCTTTCTTTGGTTGTTAGTACGGGAATTAATGTCGCAGCTGTTGCAGAAAAAATACATAACCCGCGTAAGCGGGTTATGTAAATTTTTTTCTGCAATAGCTGCGACATTAATTCCCATACTAACAAACAAAGAAAGTCATTTTAATTGCTTATATTTATATCTGTATAAAAAACATTCAAAGTAAAATTAAACATGTTAAATATTGTATTATAGATGTGTATGTCATTGTGTGTATAATTGATGGAACAGCCTTTGCTCAAGAAATCTATGCAGGTGGCTTGCTTAGTGATGTTAACTCATTGATAAACGGCAATGGGTTTCTTAAGAAATACAGGAAATAATATTCAAAGGATGTAAATATATATACATGTATTGTTCAACAGTTTACAGTGATGTTGCTTATGAACCCTGCATAAATAATATTAAGGATGCAAAAACACTAAGCCAAACAGCCAAACTATAGCAGAATATAACTGGTAGAGTGGGAAAGGATGAACAAAAAAATACAGGTATGTACATCCAATTCTATTAACACAGACATGAATCTATAATAATTTTGCATTCGAATGGCTAACCTGAATGACTTGAGCTATCTGTTGTGAGAATATGTCAAATAACTGGATCTCTGGGGGAATTCCCGATCCCTCCTCGTTCTGTGCAAATTGGGCAAGTCTGATCAAAGCAGTAGAAAGGGTAAAGTTAAGTACAAATCAGAGATGTTAATTCATATTTAACAATAAACAATACAATACGCAAGTGCCAAATATGAAATCTCCTGATTATTACAAAAGCTCATTATAAATGTATTTTTCTCTGGAAAAAAGTCCAAATGTATTTTTTACACTTATATATACCAATTTCTAGGATATGTAATCATTCACAAATAAATTTCTTTCAACCATTTCATAAAAGTCCAAAACACAAATGAATTACATTGTTAGTTTGGTAACCCAACCCCCCCCCCCAAAAAAAAAAGAAAGAAAATATAGTCCAACCTGTCCACTAAAGCTATAATGATGTTCTTGACATTGACACTCTCATGAAGTTCAGCACAAGCTTTGAGGAAAGGGTTCAGAGTTTGTAGATGAAAGTCATCAGGAAACACCTATTAATGATCAAGATTCAATAATGAGTACATGTCACTGTATTACAGTGTATACATACATTGATTGTGTTTTTGTTTGTGCTATTCTTTAAGGCATTTTTAAAGTTAAAAATTAAATATTTTAACATGCTTTTAAGGCACAACATTATTGTACCTGGATAATACACTCCATTAGATATTCCTGTGCAATAGGATCTCTACAGGACACCACTTGTTCTAACACTGCAGGCAGAACAGTCTGTAAAATTAAAAGAAATTCCTACAAACAATAGATAACTTCAAAAATACAGCTAACTAAGGACAAATATAAATTCTTCAGCTGTACAAAACTGACACTGCTGAATTTCATAGCTATTCCTTTTTTTCTATTATTACTTTTTTCTGATACTCAATTTTGAACAAACTGCTCTGTTAATGTCAAATCTGACCTTTTTGTACTTGTCAATATCAATACACTCCAGCTGACTAAGTCTGACAAGATTAGTCCCGACCAAAATTCGGAGTTCCCTTCTCTCCTGTTCACGCTTGGTACGATCTCGCGTGTGACCCTGATGCTGCATGCGAACCCAGAGCTTGTTCATCTCTGAGAAGTTCAGCAGGATAAAGTCAATAGAATCATTCACAGTTCCATACTCATAGTCATTTCTGCAATAAAAATGATGGTGTTAACAACATTATTAATTAGCAGTCTTTTCATTTATACCAGTGGCTTGTATTAAGTTAATTATTTCTCCTTCTTACGTGGCTTGTTCTTCCTCTGTGTCAGGCAGCACATTTTTGGTACAGGTCAGGAGGTAATTCCTCAAAAAGAGGCCCCTCAAGGGGTGCTGCACACCTCGACACATTTCCACCAGATCTTTTAGGATGTCTTTACGGGAGAGTTCATTGGATTTAATGTATACCACTCCAACTGTGATCAACAGGTAACTGTAAAATTGTCATTTGATACAGGTGTACATGTCAATTGTGAAAGCACATATACATGAATTTACTACAGACTTTGTCTTAAAAGCATCCTCTAGAATCCAGATTGTGTGGGAATATCCTGTTAAACAATTAAACTCTTCATTTGTCTTTTTTTTTCATTTTAAAATAAGAGTGTTTCCACATTTCAGGAAAAAGCGCAAAATGGCAAAAAAAGAAAAAATGGCATTCTGCCGGTAAGTAAAGTACAGCTTATGCATTTGACATTTTATTGTATTTTCTTCATATGATCACTTCTCCCCCTCCTCAAAAATACTGCAGAACAATTCCACTGCACACAAAGTAAAAGCAGTACATATACTTACAGTCTAGGAACAATGTTTCCTGCATACTGCACAAGTTCATAAAGGTCTGCGACTTTTCTTCCTTTTTGGAATTCATCACAAAGATACAGCTCTAAGTGTCTCAGTTCATCAGAAATAGCCATATCTTCCCCATTGTTAAAGAACTTTATACAAGTAATTTTTTTCATAACATATGGTAAGCTCAAATTATGTAATCATTCTAAATATTTTTTTTTTTTTTTTGCAAACATATGTAACAATTGGAAATGAGTTTTTAAAATTAAATTCAATACAACAAAGCAATCTATATAAATCTTAAGCTGTTGTAAGCTAAAAACTACTACACCTACTATAATAATGGACTTTAAATCTGTGACTACAATGTTGAAGATAAGGATACATAGTTCATAATAGCTCTTAGGAGATAAGAGTGAAGTTCTCAGTTCTCCTAGCATTGTAGATGCATGTTTTAGTCCATCCATTAACTTTCCCTTGTCCTGTTAAATAGAGCAATTAATTACATGAAAACCTTCATTGACAAACATGACAAATAAATTTAATTTTAGATAACAAATTTCTTTGCATGACATTCTCTGAAAATCTCTTAATCAAATGCTTATTAACAATATTACACTTTGTTTTTTGGTTAAAAATTTGAAAACAGCAAAAAATTAAATTGAATTAGTATTTATAACTAATTTACCAGTAAACCTTTCATCAGTATTTATTTTTAAATATTCAGTTTTTATCAAATCTTTGTTACCTTTTAAAACAATGTGGAAACTACAATTTTGAGAAAATGCTCCTGTGTATACATGAATATTTCATGTTTAATTGTAAAATTTTAAGTCTCCAAGGCACAGAATTCTTTTCAAATATAGCAAAATTTAACTTCCTCAAAATAAAACCTTTCCAGGTTATTCTTACCAGACATCTCTTCATCTGGAATGACTGGTTCTTGACTATACTGATTCCCTCCTCCAGCAATTTCTCTTGCTCCTCCTGGGGAGACAACTGAGGGGTGGAAGGCTGAAAAAAGTCAATGCATTCAATTTTACACTTTATTTTTTTTTAAATATTTAAAATAGTACAATTTATCTTATATATATGCCATAATTTTTGCTTTTTTTCAAATGACTTTTCACATTTATACAGTGTCACAGATAGAATTTGTTAAATAAACAGGTGCAGATAATTCTTATCTACATGTACATCTACATTACTGTAATACTAATGAATTCAGAGAGTTCCGAATGTCAATATATCGGATAAATTTGAATTGAGCCAAAATATTTCAGAAAGCGTGTTGAATTATTTCTTTTATATTGATTATTTGGTATAGGGTGGTAACGTTCCGACCAGAGTAGTTTTGTCCCACTTATATACAAGCCTACAGGTGTATGCAAACACAAAAATCATAGATTTTGATAAGTTTGAATTAGAATATTTTAGACCATTTTTTAGGCAAAATTAAACTTGTATGAATGATTTGGAAAGAATGACAACCCACAATGACCAAAGCGCTGCATTTCATTTCTGGAATTTTGCATAGCATTTCCGACATTTTTTAATTTCATTTCCGACAATTTTTATTTTCATTTATGACATTTATTTTTTTTCATTTCTGAAATTTTTGCTGGGTACGTTAATGTTAACCAAGTAGGTGGAAATGGAATTTTAAAAGAATTTATTTCAAGCCACATTTTCAAAATATGTCTTATAATTTCAATCCTAACATATTTGATTTCAAACTTAAACCAAACATTTGAAAAGGAGATGAGAGAAAGTTCATTACTCTTACAAGTGCCTCAGGGAAAGAAAAAAAATCTTTATTATTTTCGCTTCATTGATAGCTAAGCAAAACTCATTACTTGGATTTCAATGATTTATTCATTGAGATTCTTTAATTTTTTTTTAAGTGAAGTCTTCAATCTTGCTTTCATTGCCGAAAAAATACTACCTGGAAAATGTTGGAGATGAAAACTTGAAAATGTCGGAAATGAAAACTATAAAATGTCGGAAATGAAAAATTTCAAAAAATTCCGGAAATGAAATGCAGCTGACCAAAGTGGGGAAAGTAGTGTAAACAATAATTGGATAATTAACATACTTACAATTACAGCCCTTTTGAAGATCAAATACCTTCTTCCCATGTAGAAAATTTGATTGCACCAAAATTACTATTATATATTGTATAGACAATATTATTTTGAATTCAAATTGCATACAAAATATGTGTATACAGTCTGGTCGAACCCCTGAATGGGGGTATACCCCCAAACGAAGGTTTTCCGTCCCGTCATGCAATGCGCAAGAACAGTAACTCTTGCCGTATCCAATATAAACAAACTTACCTATATCATTTATCTTAGGAAAAAGATCGATAATATTGTTATTTCTGCTATGAACTTGGTAAAATGTCAACAGAAAAAAATTAACAGGTTAAGTTTTCCATAGTTTGAATTAATACTGTAGGAATAACGAAATATTTTCTGTCATTTCATGAAATTATTTAATTATTTTGTAGGACGTCTCAACTAAGATTATGGAATTTAAAATACAAGGAAAAATATTCTAAGAACGAGGAAAATATTAATTTAGAATCTGGATTTAAATAAAATAAAATATAATTGTGTTTTCCCCAAACAATCGTATTTATTAAAAATTACTACAACAACAAGTTGCCAAACATTTTATTTAATTCTTATAAGATAAAAAAGAAATAAATACGAAAGATTTCATTTAAATTTTATTTTTATATGAATTTTTGTTACACTTCCTGGGCATGATTATCGATAATAAAGCTAGTCAGAGGAAAGCGGACCTGACCAAAACCTACGATCATAAATAAATCGATATTAGCACCATTTTTTTTCTTGCATTTTATTATGAAAATAAAAGATATAAGGTAGAATAATACAATTTTTATAATTTCAATTTAATATTAGTTGCTTATGTCTGTTTATCGCAAATTTTATCTTAAATACCTGCATGTCAAGAAGCAAAAGATCGCCAACTTTGCCAGTGAATAAATCCCGATTTGTACAATAAAGTTGTATTTTTGTAAAATACAAACTCTAAGAACACCTTTTATCTATTTCCGAGTGATTTTACATTTGCCAAATAATCCGTTACTCTGCTCCGGCGATTTTTGTAAACCCCTACTTTTTGATTGAAATACGCACATTTTTAAGCATCTGCGCATGCTCGTACCCCCATTTGGGGGTATGGATTTCCCATTTCCGTTTACCCCTGTTCAGGTGTTCGACAAGACTGGTATAAATTTCAAATTATTAACACCATTTCTTTAACTAAAATTACCCTGGTATGTGATGTGTATATGAATAAAATTTTCCTATAATGCAGACATGAAATTTAATAAAAGATGTTTTAAAATCATCTTTTTACTGAATAAGTATCAGCGCTTGCCCTAACGGTCGCACCGTCAACATATTATGGGACATATCCTGTGGTGACAGACACATTTAAATTATTCCACCCCCATCAAGTTCTTTTCACTGGAAAAATAACCACCTTCTTCTCGCTTCATTTTTTCCCACATGCTGACATTCAAACCTTTCTGTATACTTTATTGTACAGTACATGTACAAGAACTATCTACCCCTGTTTATCTTGCCACACTGCCACGGAGGAGCCGTAGCCAATATATAACGATAAAATGTCCTGTTTAATTGTTCCCGAAGGATAAACAATGTTACTTTAATTTACCATATTTTTTCAGCGCCTGGTTGTGTAAACAGCAATAAATGAAATGTTATAAATTGCGATGCCTGCTTTCACTCTCAAAAATCAACTTGAACTTCTTCCTCGGAGTCAAACACCCACCATGTTTTAGTCATGTGACCTATACATAGTAAACACAAAACATGTCAGCCATTTAATTCCGGATAAATGATAAGTAGAAATGTATATTCATTTGTAAATTCGTGTAATTATTTGATGCGAAAACAGCATTTTAATAGAGTGACAACTTGAAAATGTTGAATATTTGCACAAATTGGAACATAACCAGCCTTAAAAAAAAGGAAATTGAAAAAATTGTCATATAATTTAATAATATATTAAATTCATATCTCGCAATAGGTAATACATAATGAGCTTAATTAATTCAGATATTTTTTTTAATTTTTAAAATCTTTGAATATCACTAAGTTGGCATATTAGTATCCAAGAAGCGTACAATCATGCATGTAGTTGTTTTGGTAAAGGCACCGTTTTCCGACGGGGGAGGGGGGGGCTGGGGGGGGGGGCTATCGAATCCAGTATTGGAACAAGTTTGCTCCTTTTCCGTTTAAAATTTTAAAATAAATAAATAAATAAATAAATAAATAAATAAATAAATAAATAAATAAATAAATAAATAAATAAATAAAAGCAGAGACCTATATAGTTAGTATATCATGGTATATAGGTCTCTGATAAAAGTAATAAACCTTGGCTTATTTTTATCGCACTGTTACCCTCACTATTACGTAAAAGAATTATGACGTCACAATAAAGATTCCACTAAGTTCTATGAAAGATTTATTGAAACTAAGATCATCATGATTGGTACTGTACATCTCGCCTTTCAGTCCGCTCAATGGACCTATAGATGGATGTCGTCAAAAATGGAAGGTACAACTTGTTATCTGATATCCATTTGTTTTGATACATTTTTTCCCCAATATATGTCAACGGGATTGGACACAAGTTCCAAAAAACTTAGGTAGTTCTTTCCCCATATCCATATCATAGCCATTTAAGATTCTTAATCTCATATTCATCGTGTAACATTGTTCTAAAGTAAATGCAAAGTTTTCTTGACTTCAGCAATGCGTGTTTGATTTCTCTTACAAACTAAGATTGACTGATTGATTGGTGTTGCTTTACGCCGAGTCGGCAATATTCAGTCATATATCGGCGGTTATAAACTAAGAACTTTTAAAAGTATTTTATCTATTGAATTTTAGTATTTTTTTTTAGAGATCAGAGACAGTGTCCAACCTGCAGGTAGGAGAGCAGCCAGGGGCCGACTCAGCACCAGCGAAGCTCTTTCTCTATATTTTGGAAGATTGCTCTTGTAAGTTAGATCTGTGTATAAATTTTCCATCAATTTACGGTGCTGTAATCCTGAAGAACTTTGCAACAAATTGAATAATGCCGTTTCGTGAATTTTTAAAACAACCAATTAACCTTGAATACACATTCCTTCATCTCTCCATCTTTCTAAGAATTTTTCTCGGACTCTTTACACTTTTAAACCATGTAAAATTTAGAACCGAACTCTTCTGTTTGCATGATTACATATACCTGACTTGTTCGATTGTTGAACCTCTTTTAATTAACAAAGAACACAACAACAGCAAGACATGCACGGATCTAGAGGGGGCTGTCTGGGGAAGGGGGGGGGGGTCCGCCCGCTCCCCGAAATTTGCAGAGGTATTAAAAGTACATACTGAAGCCAATAAGAAGTGACTTTGGACCCCCTCCCCCTTGGAAAACTTGGATACCACCATCACCACCACGAAATAAGTGTTTTTCACGTTTGGAAAATGGATTTTTGTTGTTTTGTTTTTTTTTTTAAATTATTTATTTATTTTATTATTATTTATTTTTTGCTTGTCAAGTAATTTTCTGGATAGGGAAGGAAATTTGTTTGTTTTGTTTTGTTTGTTTTTTTTGTTTTTTTTTTTTTTTGCTCGTCAACAAATTTTTGGGTTGGGAATTTTTTTTTTGACTGGAGTAGAATATCATGTTGTAAATTTTGAATTTACTAGGGGGAGGTAAATGCAAAATTTACAACATGATAGTTATCATGTTTTAAATTTTGCATTTACCTCCCCCTAGTAACTTCAAAATTTACAACATGATAGGAACAACCCCCCCCCCCCCCGGAAAAAAATCCTGGATCCGCGCCTGCAAGAAATATCTCTATACATTTATATTTTGGCTATATATTTACATTTCCGAATATTTCCGCCTAAGATTCTTCATAAGCAAGAAACTCTTCTTTTTCTTATGACTAGCATGGACGAGCATGAATATCTCGTAGCTGACATCAAAATGTAGTGCAAACTGTTTTGTTTAAAAATGATAGTTGAATGCAGTAATCTGATGTGGCAAGTCATCAGATTCACAAATAATGTTAACATAAGATATGAATTTGATATGGTTTCAGTGAATCACTAGTAAATGCAGATCTTTACGTACTACCAAGGAATCTGATCGCGAAACAAAGAACTCGAGGAGGATAGATCTTGGCATTGAATCATCATCCATCCATATAATGCAAAAATTGCATTGGATTGCAATCGCAACACTTTAACTGGTTCTACAGAAAATACCTATGTTGACGCTGAATGCTTGTCACGTGCTTTCAACCGCACGAGCTGCATACATAGGGACAGTTCTAGCTTCAGAGAGGAGTACATGCTGCTGTTTTCTCTTTGATTGTTCATTTCAAATAGACGAATGACTGTTAACAGAAAATAAATATAAAAAAAAAATAAAATGAAAAAATAAATGTTATGGTTTTTTTTTTTTATTCGTGGTGAACCTCGAATAAAGCACTAAGAACGCTCTACTTGTTTCGTCTTGGAAATGTTCATAATAATGAGATTTTCTGAAGTTTCAAAAATCTGTCCATACTATATTGGATTAAACACTACGTAAGATGTCTATTCATATTTTGTGTCCCTATACACAATGCACAATACACTGTATACTGTATTCCCACTTTCAGTAACCAAAAAAAAAAAAATGCATTTTTTGTGGAGATAATAAGCGATAATTACAATCTGCGATATTACATTCTGCATTAACTTCGACGAAAAATGTTTGTTTGTTTGTATGTTGTTTAATGTCCCTCTCCAGAATTTTTCACTCAAATGGAGACGCCACCATGCACTTGCCGGTGGAGAGCTGCAAATTTTGTCCTATACTCGGCACTTACGGCCATTGAGCAGTGAAGGATCTTTTTCGTGCCAGCACCTACTGCGACACGGGACCTCGGTTTATACGTCTCATCCAAAGGACCGGTCTCCACGTCCCACAGTGGGATTCGAACCCGCGACGTAAGGATCAACTCCTTACTCCACGACTCTAGAGCAGCGGCTCTAACCACTGCGCCACGCGGGCGACTCGAAAAATGTAATATCGCAAGACGAAATAATCCCCAAAAGTGTTGTTTTTACATTTTGCTTTTTTTTTTACATTCTGCGTTGACCTCGACACAAAATGTAATAACGCAAAAAGTAAAATCTAAAAATATGTAATTACATTTTACGTTATTACATTCTGTGTTGACGTCGACACAAATTGTGATAACGCAAAATGTAATAATCGAAAAGGTGTGTTATAACATTTCGCGTTTTTACAATCTGCGTTGAACTGGACGCAAAATAAATAAAAAAAAACGCAAAATGTTTAACCTTCAATAAGTCATGAAGTATATTTTCTATCATTTGTAGGCACTATTATATGCAAATATTCAAAAGATTTTTAAATATGGTAACCATTTATACATATCAAAGATCTCCCTAATACTATTTTTTTTAAGAAAGTCATTATGTTATACAAAGATTGAAGGAAATCTGTACTTTTTTTGCCACACTTATTATATTTACAGAGAATGTGGCTCATTTAAATCTTGATTTTAACAACCTTATGTAGATTTTCTGACGTACATGGTAAGCATTTTCTCTAATTAAAGTTCCAATGTCATCGCAATGTCATTGCACTATGCAATACTCATGCTGTATGCAAATAATAAAAAAAACTACTAGTTTCACGTGATATTGTTTATTTGACGTCACATAATGAAGATTTTTTGTAATATAAATATTAGATACAATATAAAAATATTTAGATGGCTGAAATCCAAAGAAACAAAAGACTCAGTTTTACATTCTATTATTTATTTTATACAAGTACAAAGAATCATATTAGATATCAGATTGATGTTAAGGCATAAAGTTCACTGCAATACTCCCAAAGATGGCTGCAAAAAGTACTCAGATTAAAATTTTAATATTTTTCACAATGCATTATGAAGATTAACAGGTCATTGTTTACTGGATGTCACATTGAAAATGTTTGAAAATAGTTATACATAACTCAGAAAAGCTTTATGAACCAAATATCATTCATTTTAGTACAAGTATATGTTAAAACAAAACCATAAATACTTATTTAAACGTAGCATATTACAGCACTTATTCTATAAATTCAATACAGCATTAAGCATCAAAAGTACTCAGTAATTGCATAGTCCCTTTCACTATTATTTAGAACTTCCAAGGAAAAATGTAGAAATAAAATGTTACCAAAAAACAATGAAAAATTGTGTCAATTGCGAAATGATACTGAAGTCTAACGATGAATGCTAGATATGGATTCATTTACTGGAAAAAGAAATCGGTCGATTTATACTGGTGTAACAATAGAATACTAGTAACTTTCTTGGGTGACGATAGCACATAAAAAGTTATATTTTCACCCCCAAAACGTCAAAGATACATGTAGAAAGGACTAAAAGTCGGAAACAGCAAGGTATTGATTAAAAATCACAGATCCTTCTCGCTAGGTCACACTTCCTTTATATTATGTCACAGATCCTTAACACAAGGGCACATACTCTTTTACGCAAGGTCACAGAATCCTTTACCGAAGATCACAGATCCTTAACACAAGGTCACAGAATCCTTTACGCAAGGTCACAGATCCTTAACACAAGGTCACAGAATCTTTTATGCAAGGTCATAGATCCTTAACACAAGGTCACAGAATCCTTTACGCAAGATCACAGATCCTTAACACAAGGTCACAGAATCCTTTACGCAAGGTCACAGATCCTTAACACAAGGTCACAGAATCCTTTACGCAAGATCACAGATCCTTAACACAAGGTCACAGAATCCTTTACGCAAGGTCACAGATCCTTAACACAAGGTCACAGAATCCTTTACCGAAGATCACAGATCCTTAACACAAGGTCACAGAATCCTTTACGCAAGGTCACAGATCCTTAACACAAGGTCACAGAATCTTTTATGCAAGGTCATAGATCCTTAACACAAGGTCACAGATCCTTAACACAAAGTCCAAAAATCCTTTATGCACGCAGATCATTGAAGATTCTTCACACAAAGTCACAACATATTTCTTTTTTTTTCTTACACATTTCTATCCATCCACAAAAAGAATTTATTCTGTACTGCACAACTTTCTTTGCTCCACAAATGTCATAGCTCAGATGATTTACTTGGATGTGTTCTATAAAAATAATCAATTGAACCATTAATTGGAAAATCAAAATGTAATTTGAAATAGACTTACAGATAAAGTCCTTTTAAAGCATCTATTGCAAAAAAGAAAACTAAGTTATACATAAAAATGTAAAGACAAACATTACATTTTTATTTTGAAACAAGGGGTCCATAGGCAAAAACAGTCACCAGAGTTTCTCAGCCAGAATACTGTAAACGTACTCATTTTAGCAGTAACCATATTTCAGCGCCACTTCATTTCCGCTTATTCATATACACGTTAATTTATGATTAAAACTAATACTTGTTGTTTTCAAGACTCAAATGCACGTATTTACAGTTGTGCTTTTAGGTTAAATGGGAGGACTGTACTAAGCTAATTTTGAGTGAGCTAATTTATGTATATTTACAGAATGATCTTTTTTCTTATAAATTTTTATTTACAATTCTGTAGTCCTCCGATGAGTACTGAGTATATTTTGCTTCAAAGGAAAAAAAAAACTTTGAATTTACATTACTGATGGACATTTTTGAATTATTTAAAATTTGAAGCCAAATGTTTTTTTTTTTTAATTTAGATTTCCACAAAATTACTTTATAAAACAATTCATGGATTTACACGCCATCTCTCCTTGATTTTGATTTAAAAGCAGATGATATTAACAGCATGTGAATTTCTTGGAAAATGGCCCCCATTCCTGCCCTGGTAGTCATGGATTGAATAGACTTGATTCTGTATTCTTGAAATGAGTATGTAAGTATAGCCTTTCTCAGTTCTAGGATTAAAAAGTAATGACACAGACAAAATTTAAACTACCAACTCATGTGATCTCGTCAAAATGATCATGGCTTAATGACAGACCTCTTGGTAAAGATAAGTCTTTGTAGAACACATGCCCCCCTGTTCCCTTTCTTATATAACATTTTGTCTTTTTCTGACTTTATAATATTTACACATTTGATCCCTGTAACCTTTACATTGTCTAGATGACATTTAGACCGGGTCACAATATACCCTTTGATTATGGTTAATCATCAACCACAGGAAGATGTGACATAATTCAATAACAAAGTTATGGTATAAATAAGAATTAAAAAACTCCAACCCACTGACCTTGACCATGTCCAAATGACCATGACATTGATTTGTGAAAAATTCGCTGGTTGTCAGTAACCTTTCTACCAAGTTTACTACTTAATTTTTTCACTTCAAAGTTATGCCTAAAGCAAGACTTTTACACATTTCTAAAACCTGTGACCTTGATCTTTCCCAAATTTTCATGGTTAAGAGTCAAAATACATCCACCAGCCAAAAGAAATTTAGTATGCCAAGACTAAATTATATGCAAATGTTCAAATGGTATATATTAATTTTACAAAGTTTGAAAAAAATGGATACATTAAGAAAAGACAACCAGACCAAAAATAATTACAGAGATAAAAATAAATTGTAAAATGGACAAGAAGATTTAAGTATAAAACCCAACAATGTATTTGTACAGGGAATGAAATAATGAAATAGAGAGACTGCAGAATGTAGACTTTGTACCTTACCGTAACTTCTTGTCTTGGTAAGCCGATCCTTAAACTATAGAACTCTCCTCACTTTAACTGCAGGTCTCCTATTCAACTTGGGATCAAAACCAGTCTTAATATTTGCCTGAATACAAAGAAAGTCAAAAATAAACACAATATAAATAATAATAAACATTGACAGATTGCAAATTGTGAGAGATTTTTTTTCTTACCGTGGATGCAGTTGACCACTTTTCTCGATACACTTCCTAGAAGATGATGGTCTCTTCTTCATTCAGAGACACAGAACTGCTTTACCTTTTTTTCAAGATAAAGAGACAAGATATCAAAATAAGTTGCAATCGTCAATGAAAATGAGCCAAGAAATTCAGAAAGCATGAATCTTATACCTCCTTCAATGGCTGGCTACTGTGGATCCCTGATCCCCACACTCCTCCTGCCAAAAAATGGGGTTATACTTTACATCGAGATGTAGGCTTTTTTAATCATCCTCCTGTTTACTAAGAAGGTCAAAGGAAGCCTGACCTGCCTTGATCAAAGTATAGAAAATGAAAACTCAAGAGTCAAAAAGTAACAAACCCAGCTTGTAAATTACTTTGGTTTTGGTAGGTAGCTATTTATAGCTGGGCTATAAACTCCTCTTCTTGCTGGACAAACTCCTCCTACGTCTTCCCTCATCCAAGTGTTTGTGGTGCTTCTCCTGATGGGTCCTGCTGCTCTGAATTCTAACATTTGGAAAGCAAAAGTCAAAGGCTGAATAAAAAATTATCAATAACAACAGGTAAAAGACTAAAAAGGGTATAGAGAGTAAATCCAAACTCTTACCGCATCCTCAAGTGAGGGCTGCAGGTGAATGGGAGATGACGACTCCTCACCATGGGTTCTAGTTCAGCCTAAAACTCGTTCTGCTAACAAAGGAAATCGAGATGTCAAAGGAATACTCAGACATCATATCAGATGAGAAAGAGAAATGAAAATTCACAGAGTGCAAAGAACAAATAAATATTCAATCTAACCGACACTTGGGAAGTTGGCTGCAGTTGATCCCTCCATTGTGGACTCCTCTTCTGTTAATTTTCTGTGAATTCCTCTTCCGCTGACAGTCTCCTTTCCTTAGAAGCTGATGCAAAGAAAATCAAGAAGGTTAATAAAAATGTTGAGGCTTCATCAGACAAAGAGTAATAAAATGCAACAGAATGCAAAAAGTACATGTATCATATGTATACGTATGTTTCTTACCCAACTCTTGGTGGCGTGCAGTCGATGCTTGAACTCTGTTGCAGGTGATCATCCTCACTTCCTCTCGGGGATCGAGATCAGCCAAACCCTGACCTGTTACAAAAGAATTACAAAGAAGTGCCAAAACTTACTATGAAGTAGGAAAGGGAAAGAGTGAAATACAGAGACCCAAAAAGTGCAACGAATGCAGTATGTTACTTACCACTTGGGCCAATGTTGACCAATGTTTCAATCTGGACAATGGACCTCTCTTCTTCTGCTGATCAGCCTCATCTTCTTGCATCCTCCCTCCTTCCCGTCCCTGAAAATATACAACTGGCAGAAGATTAGTAATGATTCAAAACAATTCAACAAATCACAAAAAATCAAATAACATAATCCTTACAACAAAAGAAGTTAAAAAAGAAGTTAGCAAATGGGGACAGTTAGGTAGGGAAAGGGCCAAATAGAGGATACAGAAGGAGTTGGTTAGTAATGTTAGAAAAGAGAAGGGAGAGGGATTAAATAATTAAAAAAAACTTCTCTTCCTGGGTCCCTGGCTGCTGAAGCTGCTCCTGATGGTGGGTCCGCTGCTGCTGCTCTGCATCCTGTTTATAGAAAATCAACAGGTCAAAGCCCAAATCGGTCAACATCAATTGTCAGCAAGTGGAAAATCAGTAAATGTGCAGGGAGTAAAGCCCCAATCTTACTGCATCTACAAGTGAAGACTGCAGGTGAATGGGAGATGACGATTCATCACCACGGCATCCAGTTCAGCCTCATCCTTCTGCTAACAAAGGAAATCGAGATGTCAAAGGAATACTAAGACTTCATATCAAATGAGAAAGAGAAATCACAATTCACAGAGTGCAAGGAGTAAATCAAGATTCAATCTTACCGACACTTGGGAAGTTGGCTGCAGTCGATCCCTCCACTGTGGATTCCTCTTCTGCTGAAAGTCTCATCTCTCCCTCGAGGCTGATGTAAGCCTAACTCTCTTCCTGTTTACAAAGAAAATCAAGAGTTTAATAAAATTGCTGAGGCTTCATCAAAAAGACAAAGAGTAATAAAATGCGACAGAATGCAAAAAGTACATGTATCATATGTATACGTATGTTTCTTACCCAACTCTTGGTGGCGTGCAGTCGATGCTTGAACTCTGTTGCAGGTGATCATCCTCACTTCCTCTCGGGGATCGAGATCAGCCAAACCCTGACCTGTTACAAAAGAATTACAAGGGGTCAAAGAAGTGCCAAAACTTACTATGAAGTAGTAAAGGGAAAGAGTAAAATACATCAAATACAGACACCCAAAGTGCAATGAATGCAGTATGTTGCTTACCACTTGGGCCAATGGTGGCCACTGTTTCATTCTGGGCAATGGATCTCTCTTCTTCTCCTGATTAGCCTCACTCTTCATTCGTATTCCCTCATCCAATTCCTTGAAAATACACAACTGACAGAAGATTAGTAATGATTCAAAACAATTCAACAAATCACAGAAATTCAAATTACATAATCTTTACAACAAAAGACTTTGATAAAGAAGTTAGCAAATTGGGACAGTTAATTGGGGAAAGAGCAAAATAGAGGATACAGAAGGGGTTGGTTAGTACTGTTAGAGAAGGGAAGGGAGAGGGATTGAATAATTAAAAAAACTTCTCTTCCTGGGTCCCTGGCTGCTGAAGCTGCTCCTGATGGTAAGTCTGCTGGTGCTCTGCATCCTGTTCATTGGAAATCGAATGGTCAATTCATCAGTTGCCAGCAATTGACAATTGGACTGCTTATGATTATATTTATATAAGAGCTCTTTTGTGGGCAGACTTAAACCAGTAGATGAAAAATCTTTGGGCTTTAGAGAATTATAAATCAAATATTGTAGAATGTAGCCTCATATTCCACTCCTAATTTGAAGGGGTCGGAATTGGCCCTACACTCCTGGTGTGAACTGCGAATTGATTAAAAAGGGAATAAAAGGGAATCTTTAGTAAATGACACTATATAAAACTGGATGTACTTTAGCAGTTAGCTCACAAAATTATAACCCCCCACCCCGCTCTCCTTTAAGTGTAACTGCAAATTCCATGTTTGTGGGAAAGCCCAAATATGTGTCTGATCAAAATGTAAAATAGGAGATGCACCATCTCACTGTGTTATAAAGATTCTTTGAAAGTCTCATTAAATTTTATTCAGACAGTGGTGTAGGAGAAGTTGCGGATAACAGATAGGTATCCCCAATATTATAGAAAGAATTGCATTCTCCATGTTTTTCTATTGAAAATCCCAAATATGTGTCAAATCAAAACGTAAAATATGACGTGCATAATGCACTATGTAATAAAGATTCTGTGAAAGTATCATTAAATTTTATTCAGTGGCATCGTCGGAGTTGTGGATAAGAGACGGGTATCTCCAAGCGTAATGGACAGATAGGCGGACGGACGGACACCTTAATATTCCCCCGCTTTTCAAGCGAGGCATGATAAGTCAAAATTTAATTAACATTATTCTAGACCAAGATATTGTAACTGAAAACATTATTTGCTTACACTTTTTCCCCAATACATACATGAACAAGTTAACAAGTGATTTTTGTTCACTTGTACTTTAATGTCTTTGAACATTTTTCCTGGAGAAATAAGACAGGCTGGGTACTCTTTGTTGAAAATGAAGTAGTTAAACTCAGTATGTACACCTTTATATGCTATCATATACTCAAAGCCCCCCCCCCCCCCCCAAAAAAAAAACATTAGTGTTTAGAACTTTCTTAAACATATTTCTAGTTCACAATTATTTACAAACCTGATCGGAGATCAAGTTGTCAGTTCGGATGAAAATCATCAGCAGGACCTAAGTGTATTTTGGTTAATTTTTAATTACATGCATTACGGATATAAATAGATTAGGGTTAGACTAATACCCCCTATAATGCACAAAAATGTCATCCAACATAGGCCTAATCAAGAAATGTTTTCATTCATTTAGTTTAACTTAATGTTAATTAATATTAACATATAAGGAAAAATTATTTCAACAAAAAAAATGTCTACTACCTCTTTTGAATTAATAATGAATGGAATAAAACTAAGCAATCCTCAAGTTCAAGTTTGACAATTTGCTTCATATTGATTTTTCTATAGGTAGAATTGAATAAAAATTTAATAACAAAATTCAAATTAATCTCATATAAACATACATGTATACAAGAGGCCCATGGGCTACATCGCTCACCTGAGTAACTTTGGCCATACATTTCTTTACCAGATTTCCCCCCTTGTAATACCTATTGTGGCCCCGCCCTACCCCAGGGGTCATGATTTGAACAATTTAGAATCTACACTACCCCAGGATGCTTCCATATAAGTTTCAGCTTTTCTGGTCCAGTGGTTCTTGAAAAGAAGATTTTTAAAGATTTTTTTATATATTTCAATGTAAAACTTGGATTCCCTATTGTGGCCCCGCCCTACCCCCGGGGGTCATGATTTGAACAATGGATGCTTCCACTTAAGTTTCAGCTTTTTTGGCCCAGTGGTTCTTGAGAAGAAGATTTTAAAAGATTTTTCCTATATATTTCAATGTAAAACTTGGATTCCCTATTGTGGCTCTGCCCTACCCACTGGGGTCATGATTTGAACAATTTAGAATCTACGCTACCCCAGGATGCTTCCACATAAGTTTCAGTTTTCCTGTCCCAGTTGTTCTTGAGAAGAAGATTTTTAAAGATTTTTCTTAAATATTTCAATGTTAAACTTGGATTCCCTATTGTGACCCCGCCCTACCCCCCGGGGTCATAATTTGAACAATTCAGAATTTACACTACCAGAGGATGCTACCACTTAAGTTTCAGCTTTTCTGGCCCAGTGGTTCTTGAGAAGAAGATTTTTTAATGACCCCACCATATTTTTGTCTTTTCTTGATTATCTCCCCTTGTAAGGGGACTTGGCACTTTATTTTAACAATTTGCACTTCCCTTCACCCAAGGATACTTTGTACCAAGTTTGGTTAAAAATGGCCCAGTGGTTCTTAAGAAGAAGTTGAAAATGTGAAAAGTTTACAGACGGACGGACGACGGACAACGGTTAATCAGAAAAGCTCACTTGAGCTTTCAGCTCAGGTGAGCTATAAAAAGAACTGTGTAATATTGATTCAAAATTTTAAATAAGGTTACTGCATAACTCTTAGATTTGTAGGGTCTATCTGCCTAAAACATTTTTTGTACTTAAGTGATATTTTGAGTTCTAATGAGTAGTTTTAAACTGCAATTTACATTTTTGTACAGATGTACCAACTGGCAGGTCCAGATTCTATGTCTCAAAAGTACATGTACCCAAAATGAAAAAGTCAACAAAAATGAAAAAAAAAACCCTGTAAAATGCAGAAAAATTAACAAATCATGATAAAAATACCAGGTGCACACCTTCATATGGTAAATAATGAATGTACAAATTTTCTGAAAAATCAATACAATAGTCTCTGACAACAGGTTTGGACAAAATCATGTCTACAGACAGAAGGGCAGAGAGATGGCAGACAAACAGCCAGACATGCTGATTCCATAATACCAGCCTAAACTTCGATTGTGAGGGATATGAAAAAAGCAGCTTCTTGCTTACCACTTTGGCATTGTGGGCTCCAGCAAAAAGCTAAGAAATGAACTTTTATTCTTTTGTTCACCCTTGGTCCTCCTTCCTTGTTCCTCTTCTGAGCCTCTGAAAATATACAACTGATAGAGATAAGTACAAATTCAAAACAAAGCAACAAATCACAGAAATTCAAGTAAAAAAATCATTACAACAAAATGAGTTGAAAAATCAGTTAGCAAACAATGACAGTTAAGTCAGGAAGAGAAAAATGGGGAAAAAGGGGGAGGGTGGTTAGTTATGTTAAAATAGGGAGGGGGATAGGACAAACAAAAAAGAGAGAAGGGAAAAAAATCCAAAAAAAATACTTCCATATAAGCTTCCAAGGCTGTTGATGTGGCTCCTGGTGATGTTCCTTCTGAACTGCATCAGCATCTCTGCACCCTGTCAATTGAAGGTCAAGAGGTCAAAGCCTGAGACACCCAACATCAATTGGCAAGCAAAAGCTCAGGAAAGGATGCAAGAAGTCTGAATCTTACCCAGCATTCTGCTTCATGTCTGCAATTGAATGGAAGAGAGACAACTCTTCACTTCAGGATGTTGGTAGGCCTTGATCCTCCTTCCTTCTTCCTCTTCTGAGCCTCTGAAAATATACAACTGATAGAGATTAGTACAAATTCAAAACAATGCAACAAATCACAGAAATTCAAGTAAAAATATTATTACAACAAAATGAGTTGAAAAATCACTTAGCAAACAATGACAGTTAAGTCAGGAAGAGGAATGTGGGGAAAGGGGGGAGGGTAGTTAGTTATGTTAGAATAGGGAGGGGGATAGGACAAACAAAAAAGAGAGAAGGGAAAAAAATCAAAAAAAATACTTCCATTAAGCTTCCAAGGCTGTTGATGTGGCTCCTGGTGATGTTCCTTCTGAACTGCATCAGCATCTCTGCACCCTGTCAATTGAAGGTCAAGAGGTCAAAGCCTGAGACACCCAACATCAATTGGCAAGCAAAAGCTCAGGAAAGGATGCAAGAAGTCTGAATCTTACCCAGCATTCTGATTCATGTCTGCAATTGAATGGAAGAGAGACAACTCTTCACTTCAGGATGTTGGTAGGCCTTGATCCTCCTTCCTTCTTCCTCTTCTGAGCCTCTGAAAATATACAACCCTCAAAAGATTAGTACAAATTCAAAACAATGCAACAAATCACAGAAATTCAAGTAAAAATATTATTACAACAAAATGAGTTGAAAAATCACTTAGCAAACAATGACAGTTAAGTCAGGAACAGGAATGTGGGGAAAGGGGGGAGGGTAGTTAGTTATGTTAGAATAGGGAGGGGGATAGGACAAACAAAAAAGAGAGAAGGGAAAAAAATCAAAAAAAATACTTCCATATAAGCTTCCAAGGCTGTTGATGTGGCTCCTGGTGATGTATTTCTGAACTGCATCAGCATCTCTGCACCCTGTCAATTGAAGGTCAAGAGGTCAAAGCCTGAGACACCCAACATCAACTGGCAAGCAAAAGCTCAGGAAAGGATGCAAGAAGTCTGAATCTTACCCAGCATTCTGCTTCATGTCTGCAATTGAATGGAAGAGAG